TGTATAAGTGTGAAAATTTGAAGCAAATCTGTAAAGTTGTTTTTCTGGAATCGTGATGACAAGATTTATCTACAAACTTCCAAGATGGCCACCAGAATGCAAGATGGCTATCGGAAAGTTAATCAGCTCTATAACTTCTTACCATGTAACATGTGTGAAAATTTGAAGTAAAACTGTTACGTGGTTTTCATGGAATCGTAATGACAAGATTTATCTAAAAACTTCCAAGATGGCCGACGGAATGCAACATGGCCACCGAAAAGTAAGTCAGCTCTAGAACTTCATACCATGTAACATGTGTGAAAATTCAAAGTAAAACTGTGAAGTGTTTTTTCTGGAATCGTGATTACAAGATTTATCTATAAACCTTCCAAAATGGCTGCCAGAATGCAAGATGGCCACTGAAAAGTTAATCAGCTCTAGAACTTCATACCATGTAACATGTGTGAAAATTTGAAGTTAATCTGTTAGGTTGTTTTCCTGGAATCACGATGACAAGATTTATCCCAAAATTTCCAAGATGGCCGCCAGAATGCAAGATGGCTGCCGAAAAGTTATTCACCTCTATATTTTCTTACCATGTAACATGTGTGGAAATTTGAAGTAAATCCGTTTGGATTTCCTGAAATCGTGATGACAAGATTTATCTGAAAACTTCCAAGATGGCTGCCAGAATGCAAGATGGCCACCGAAAAAATAATGAGGTCTAGGACTTTTTACCATGTAACATGTGTAAACATTTGAAGTACATCTGTTATGTGGTTTTTGTGGAATCGCGATGACAATATTTATCTGAAAAAAATTCCAAGATGGCCGCAAGAATGCAAGATGGCCGCCGCAAAGTTAATCAGCTCTAGAACTTCTTACCATGTAACATGTGTGAAAATTTGAAGTAAATCCGTCTGATGGTTTACCTGGAATCGTGATGACAAGAAAGTGAGACTTCAAAATGCCACCTTGTCTAACCCCGTTTTGGTGCCTTTTGCCCCTGTTTACATCAATAGAAGAGGTGTCTTCTTTAAGAGGGAAGTCTGTTCTTTCAAACGGTACAATCAGTTTATGTGGGAAAGTACCGGACAACAAAACTTTTTTTCAGAGGGTCCAGATCAGGGACTATAGTTTAATATTTGATGTTTGGACACTGTATTCATTGCTGAATATGTTACATACTGTAATAGGTTGTATTATATCATTAAGTATATTCGTTAATGTTCATAGTAACTCCCATTATATTCATTAATTCTTATCCTTTAAAGTAGTTACCAGCATTTTGTAAGCATTTGTATGCCTTTTCACTCAGTCCTGGAAGACGTGACACAGACCGTCTTTGCCTACAAAATGTGATTGTTTCCATCGGTTGTGGCCTTGTACCACACACACCGTATCCCCCAGAATTAGCTGGGTGTGATTTCTATCTATTCCCAACAGTGAAGAAAAATTATGAGGTATCCACTTTGAGGACAGTAATGAGATCATTCAGGAATTTACGCACCAATGTTACAAAGTAGGCAAAGACGGTCTGTGTCAAGTCTTTGAGGACTGAGTCAAAAGGCATAACAAATGCTTACAAAATGCTGGTAACAACTTTAAAGGATTATAATTGATGGAAGTACAGTATAATGACAGTTACTATGAACATTAATGAATATACTTAATTAAATAATACAACCTATTACATATACAATACACTGTATGTTACATATTCAGCAATGAATACAGTGTCCAAACATCATATAAAATAACTGTTGTATTTCAATTTTGGTATTTTTCTGAGCTCCACCTTGTCGCGTCACCAGTTACCATGGTAACAAAAATAATAGAATAATGATGTCATAGAACAAAGAAATCTTCATGGTGTGATCCTATATATTTGGGTTATATTATGTGAAAAAATCTGTAAGAAAGGACAAAAAATGGCAAAAATAGAGCCAACGGTCCAGAAATTCCTGATCACCCCTCGTATGTACCTATGATATAAGAGTAGACACTGAATGTTGTTACTTTTTGACGATAATCACAAATTATATAGTATAGTTTTGATCTTGTGATTGTAAGTTTTGTAATCACTTACGTTACAAAGGATTTAGCATTACAAATGTGTGAAGAAAGATTATGTCCCTTTAATCCTGTATATATTCATTCCAACATATAGCGTATGTGACAATATATTGATTCATTACGTGTTTTGTGCATAAATAATGTTTGTGTTAGCTTTAATGTTTCTATTGCAAAAGTTAGTTAATTACACCATCATTTACGTTACATGATGGTCCACAGAACTATGTTTTTTAAATGTTACTATTGGTTAAAATGTAGTGTAAACATGATAAAAGAAGCACCAGTTGATGGTTTAACCATGATCACATATGATATGACTCATTCTACGATGTTACTTTTTTTTGGATCATATACGTTACCAAGGGTGTAACGATATACAAATCTCAAATAAATTTTGTATGGCATATCAAACACCAGGATATGGCTATCATTTGATTCTGAACACTATCTGGTGCTTCTTTTATCATGTTTACACTACATTTTAACCAATAGTAACATTTAAAAAACATAGTTCTGTGGACCATCATGTAACGTAAATGATGGTGAAATTAACTAACTAACTAAATTTCTAATCAGAAAAGAAATATAAATTAAATGTTATCAAACTGAGTTTTTATAAAATTGGAATGACATGTAGCACTTAGGTTTTGTTTGTGAAAAGGAATAATAAGTCACATGTAATTGCTGACTTCAATGTGAATTATTTCCACTTGTGTATCTTCAAAATGCCTGATGTATGATTTAGTATTAAGGCAAAATATATCCTTATTGTTAGGTACAAAAACAGACATGAGAATAATATGTTGAATGAAAATATAGGTCGCTTGCTTCGACAACCCCCTATAACGTAAATGACAGAGACTTACATTTTTAAATGAATACTAGATAAGCTTCAACATGTGACTTTTCCATGAAGGGGTATGAGATTGATGAAGATATTTTCACTTTAGATACTTAACATATATTCAAATAGAAATACATCAACTTTAAACCATTTAAAGCTACTTTAATTTTTGTCAGATTCATACCTGGAATTTGCATTCTAATTGAGAATGGATGTTAACCGCAGCTAAAGATAAACATCTGCTGCGATATATTTTTATATTATCCATATCGATCGAATCATGATCATGTCATGGAATGATCTAATTTTATGACGTGTCGCAAAAAGGTGGCGCATTTGTTTTTTAAGGGTATCGCGTGAATGTAAATTTGATTCCCCGGATTATAAGATAATATTCTAATTAAAGTTATATATCATTTTAAAGCTGTTTCGATGAAGATTTTAGATCAACTACACTCCGTTCACATTTTTTGCGCGTTCGTTTTTAAAAAAGAGTTTTTTTACCAAAACATCTGGCAAATATCCCATGTTGACACGTTACATTTTGAATTATTTTTCGTCTTTAAACGCTCATAACTCAAACAATATATGACTATTATACTTATTTTTCGTCTTGATAAAGGTAGATGGAAGTTTTATTTCAAAGGATGAATTTTAGAAAGCGTCCCATATTGTGACGTCATAGAGTCTGAAAAGTAGAATCTGTTGACAGCGACCCTTTTTGCTCATTTTTTGGTACCTTCAACTTTTCAGGTGTACATTAAACAAAAAATACGAGATCAGTTTTTAATAAATCATACATGATTATTTTGCTCCTAAACTCTAGTTTATTAATAAATAGTTGATTTTGTTCACAAAAGTATGTGTTTTCTGTTGTATGTGGAAAAGTGGAGGACGAAAGGTTTTCAAAATTCATTAAAATAGGGCTAATTTACGCCATTCGCCTATTTTCAAGCACAGCAACACGTATATTTATTTCACCTAAAATATCAATTGATTCGTGTTTTATGATGCTCCTAGCCCATTAACAATATATATATGATATCAGAGTTATTCGTCTAAAATGTTTTGAGATATAGAGGTAAATGTGGAGGACGAAAGGATTTTCATGTGTGTACATTTTTCTCAAAAACGTCACATTCTATCCTGTTAAAAGCGAGGATCCTCTGGATTACGCCACAAAATGTGTAACAATGCGTGCGCGAGCTTTTTGCGACACGTCTATATATTGTACACATTAATTTAAATTTTGTTCAATATTAGTTAATAGTCCGATTTTTACATGGAATCCAATAAAAAAAGTATTACGTGGCAAAAGTTTTGTTGAATATAGTTGTCCGATGGATTCCTCTCAAACATATATTAAAATCCGGGTCCTATTTCCTTTTTGCACCAACAAATTAACTAAGTTAAGAAATTGTAATTTACAGAACGTGATCTCTTTCTGAGTTGTTTATTTAGTTTTCGTTTCAAAAACTAAGAAAGTTCATGTTATAAGGAAACGTAATCATGAAAATTCACAAATTGCAATGTTTAATCATGAATTGCAATTCAAGCTGTTTGTTAAGTCATCCTCCATGCTACTTACCTTCCTTAGATAGATATATGAATTGCATTATTTTGTTCATATCTGATGTGTTCTACATAATACAATTGTCAGAATGTTATTGAATATTGTTTTCATTGGAAATAATACACGCCGATTGTATTGTCACCTGCTTATCATTAATTACAAGTACATACACATATACGTGGCATTTTGTTATTTATGTTGTGTGTCACCTGAGTGTATTATTGTTAATAGCAACGCTTTCGATGAAACAGTGAATGAAATGCAAATATCAGCGATAACATCGAGATTTTAAATGTTATATCAGAACATACTCTTAGTCGCTGTAAACCAGAAAAATATTCAAATTGAAAACAAAAAATCATCCATTTCATGATCAAAGTACTTATGTTGAGCATGTCATCATTTTGATTCAGCGATGAATATCATATGACTGGGGATATACAAGGGTTTTAAAGGACGTCAAGTAAAACGAAATGTAAAAAACATGACTTGAAAATAAAAGCCCTTGTATTAACTTATACTCACAAGGGATGTCCAAACCACCTCCAATTTTAGATCTTTCCTTCGTATTATTTACCAAACAGGCTTCTCCAAAAGAGCTAACAATACACTTTTGGTATCCAGGTACATCTACGCTAAAACCCTGTACATGATAATATGCAAATTTTAATTAATGTTAGCATTTCAACATTTTTAGATTCACATACAAAACATAAAATAGTGGATTACATTTCCGTATATCCTAAACGAGTTTATATACGTATTTATGGTGTTTTAAGCACTGTAAATTCATGAAGGTCAAATCAAAATTGTTTATTTGGACTATAAATAATGAACTACATAATAAATAGATTTCACAAAAATGGATCATGTTTGTTCTTCAACGAGATAATATATTACCTAATAAGCGTATGTACATAGTATACGAAACTTTAAAATTGATGCACGTTAACTTACAAATGGAACAGTACATTTGGTGATGCTTGAACTTGCAGAATCACCACGTTGCCGTTGGTCTTCGTAACACGGTGCAAATACAGTTCCACCCTAATAAAGTAGAGCAACAATCACTTATGGAAAACATGACGTCCCAGACCTCTTATTTAACAATAATTGTGGAATATCGTAGAGAATTAAACAAAGGCTTGAGTGGAACCACGTACATAGTATCGATATGCGAAAATGAATTTGAGCATGATAGGTTAAAAATGTATAATGTTTATTTCCATGGTTAGAAATGGAAGGTAACGGAAATATGAAATGATGATTAGAAAAAAGCTCTTCTCCCATTCTATTATGAATCTTTTTCATACATTTCGTAGAGTGGTAAGATAAAGGCAATCTTCAGCATGTTCTTCAAGTTGTGCCTGGTCAGCCATGCAATCTCGATAACCCTGGTCGTAAACTTCTCCATACTGTAATAAGCGTAATCGTTACTTTTAAAAGGCTAATTAACAATTTACTGCAGCGTTCGAGGAAATATAATTTTTATTCAAAAATTAAGATCTCAGGCAAACATGCTGACAGGTCGTATTCTGAAGTTTGTGAAATGAGTTGAATAGTTTAAACTATAATATATTATTGATTTACAAGTTTACTATCGTTTTTTTCATTCGATTGCTTACATTTCGATTTCTCTCTTTCGTAATGTTAAAGTAATATAGACATAAAGATGGCAGTTCTAGCTAATCCTCTGTTGATTGAATGATTCCCTTTGATAACGGAGCTACGTGGTATAGTCCTGCAAAGAACCCTTGAGGAATGCCCAGATGTGACCCAATTTACAAGGTAGCTTATTTATGATCAGAAGCTTGAACAAATCCTAGATAGCTTTTTTATATAATGGGCTGTACCTGTACATACTGAGTGCATTGTAATATGTGTTAAATAAATGGTAAACGACGTACCATTGGTATTAGACACTTTTCTATGCTAATCACTGCACTTTTTCCCAACGCTCTGCATGCGACATAACATTCACAATGTACGTTCATGCCCTACAAATAGAAATATAAAGATGACAAAGGTATGCATGTACCAGTACATGCGATCAATGTCAACGATTGTACTGTTTTACTTGTTACTATTCTCCCCATCCCCACCCTCCTGTGGTTTTAAAGTCCGAATATTATTCCCAGGCAGCTAACAGTTTATAAAATATGGTCAACAATGTAGACTTATGGGCAATGGTGCCCCCCCACATAGACCGGGGGACATAAATGAAATAATTTGAGCCTGGGTCGTTCGACTCATAATCGATTTTTCATAGATGTTCTATGATCTACGATGCCCCCGTTTTCCCGGTATGCACTTTACTTCAATTTAATTTTTATATACCCTTGGTATAGCTGTCTGCTCGCGACACGGGGTCCTATCAATGCTACACTTTGGCCCTACACATTCGTCCACGCAGTCGTCATAGCCCCGTTTATAGTCACAGACATTCTAATAAATGTAAATTGAATGAATGTGTTCAAAATGTTTCCTGTAAATCCACAATAAAACTAGCACGCCGGATAACACTCATTTAGCTACAACTGTTACAATGATATCATCTCTTACTCTATGGGTAAAAACCTTCCTCAAAATCACCATGGCCATTTTTTTCCTGATTTGGTACCGACTAACCCCAGGCTGATCGCCTAATATGAAGGTGAATAGAAAAGGAGTAAGAAAAAATTGTTTTCTAATTGTGACATAATATGACGAGGGTTTGTTTCCTATACGTTGGTTTATACTAAACAGTATCATAGCATACATTGTAGGAATTACGCCATTCGTATCGAAAACAAAATGTAACATATCTTACTGATGATATCTTGCATTCGGAAATGCATTGTTCATAATCCCGGGAATTGTTTCTACATCGTTTATAGCACGACACGTGATATCCAACATCCTGTTAAGACGTAAATTCATTTTGTTTATACACATACAGTTAGTCTATACGTGTAGCAAGTAAATAATGCATAATTATATATCCAGAAAGGTTATGACATCTTCCCTGTTCTGATGTTACATAATATACATTTACATGTCTTTGACTTAGGATGCAATATTACAATTAACATTTAGTGTGGGAAGTGTACCTCTTTATGCTGGCATTTGGTGGCACATTCGTTGTTGAATCCACCGACATGATCGACAAGCCGGGAACAATCAACGTAACAATGGGGGAACAACAGTGAATCCTGCAAGAAGACCACGTGAAATCATGAAAAAATACGAAAGGGAACAATTCAAGTTGCGGGAAAAAATACCACCTATATTTTCTATATTCAACAGTTAACGTAAGTATCCGACAAAAGTATATACTTACATCCGGTGCAGAGCAAATATCCTTACATTTGCTAACATCGCCAGGTTCATAGTTTTTACAATCTTCATAGCATAAAGCAAACACATTGGCATCCTACAGAATAGAACAAAACTGCCATTACTATTCATAGATAAAACGTATATATTAAGTCTATATTTGTATTCTCTATTCATCACCTGGATTGTCGACGATGTCAAATGATCTGGTTTGATGTTTAAGCCATCAACCACCCAGTGTTGTTTAATAAGTTATATCTCTAGCAAAAGTAGCATTCTTATTCAACTTACTTCATTTACTGTGCGTTTGCATGTATTTATGCATTCATCATACTTGCTTGTAGGTGGACAACCTTGATAACAGGTCTCATACTTTTCGAGACGACCTGCCTCCTGCAATATGATATAATATGATTTCATACAGACAACTCTTAAACCAACAGCAAGGAAACAACTTCAATTGTAACCAATATTCAATCTATAAGCCACTACTACAATATCAGTATTTCACGCCTACCTGGATTGTACATGTTTTTCTGCACAACTCATAATTGCCATTGGTTGTGTTTTTGCAGTCATGATAACATGGGTCTACAATATCATCTTTCTAAAAATAAATATTTTGTTCAGTAATATTTACTAAGGATTTTTAGTTATTTCTGTCGTGCATCCCGATACAATGTAACTTTGTGATCTATGTGATATATTTTTATGACTGATTTTGTGACTTTGTAATATATTTTTATAATTAATTTGTTTTCATTTGCTATCATGTTCGTTTTTTGCCCTTATCACATGAAATAAGCAAGAGCCCAGTGAATATTTTGAACACTTTTTACATGGATTCACATGTTTAAAGAAATACTTACAGAGTCGATTATGCACGTGTCCTTGCAATGGAAATAGTCCTCCCCAGATTCGGTACAATCTTCAAAACATTCGGTGTAAACCTCAAACCCCTATACATATGAAGATGGTTGATTAGTATGGCATTTGACAATTTATCATGTTGATTTTCAGTGCATAATATCAACCCCATTCTACTTCACATTAATTTATAATAGGTTAGTAAATGAATTTAGTTCATTAATAGTATCTTTATGTTATAGGTACTTTTTAATAAAATAATACCTCCGCTATGAAACATTTGTTTTTGCAGTCTAAATATGTGCCGTCATCTTTGATACACTGTGTATAGCATAGTGTGTACATTCCTCCCTATATGCAATGTAAACAAATATTTCCGGTTTTAATATTAATTTCAAAAATAGCTTCCTGTTTTGAGTGATATATACCAAAATTATCAAGTAACTGTTCTAACTAAACGTACGTATGTACGTCTGTATGAATGTGTATATGTAGTTCATCAACAGAATAATCTTACTTCGTTCAGTGTACACTGCCGTAAACATCCGTGAGGTAACATTTCTTCCCCATCCATACAATTCTCGTAACATGGGCGATACCCATCAGATCCCTAAAATACCAAAGGGGGTTTGGGTAATAAGTGATTCTGGTATTATCGAATTCATGCATGGGACCTTTAATTTCTCGGCCTATTTTAATGTTCTTCGAAAATATACTAAGACACGTTGATTAAGAGCATGATTTCTGGAATGATTCGCCAGTGTTTAGCTTAAATATGACGCAAATCTGTTTTTAGCCAATGAGTTGCCTCGAAATAAAGTAAAAACTAACTAATTTTAAAAGCACCTATCTTACATTTGGTATAGTGCATCGTTGGAAGCACCGTGAGTATGGTTCGCCGTCCCTAATGCAGTCGACATAGCATGGACTGAATAATTCGGCACCCTAAAAGAGATACAAAAATTATTTTACAGTTTGTAATGACTTTCAACACATTCAGTCGCTCGACGTGTTTGAAATGACTTGGACATCGTCCGCATAAAGAAAGAAATGGCTCGATCTCCGGTCCAGGCAATACAAATTGCTTTCCTGCTTGAAGAAATACAATAAATGATGCTATGAAAACAGGGGAAATTCAAGGGAGAACTTTCCGAGTGTGTCTCGTGTGTTTAAGAATGTAAATCTCGATACGCATAGGCATGTCTGTAGTAAAACACAAGATGAACGCTCGTACATGTCCACTTTCAAAATAATAAAATATTCAATATAATAAAAATACAATACAATACAATGATCAGGTTATAATAAATTGATAGCAATACTAGTAGCAGATAAATCAAAGATTACATACAATTTTAAATACACGTCATGTATAATATTTAATACAAGTAACATACCAGCGTGAGGGCGCACTCGGATGTACACTGGGTTTCTCCGGGTATGTCTTGTTGTATCCGATGACAGTCCTTCCAGCACTCATTTACGACATGATTGTCCTAAATTATACAACATAGATGTCAGGTAATATAAGATAATACAGTACTTCACAGAATACAGTAGTATTGAATGATCGGTATGGAATCGTTTAATTTTACCCAAACTATATGACCATTGAATTAATGATTTTACATTTACAAAGATTTATCTGTTGGGAGTAATTTATTATTTCGAATATACATACTGACAGTTATATTATTTCAATAAAATAAATCTATATTTTATTCCCAACACTTACTCTTGCAATTTGGCAATGCTGTTTACATTCTTCAATGTTATTTTTATTCTTTGTACATGAATCAAAACAACTGTCGTGTATGGAAATTCCAGTCTGAAACCAGAACATTACAAATCATATTAGATACCAATCAGGTGTAACAATTCATATGATTATAAAGGTTGAAACTCTTATAATATGAACAAGAGTGCATCAAAACTATTATTAGGAAAAATGACCAAAGTAAGTTTTTATTGTATCATTATATACGGTGACCATTGCTATCCCATTTTTTGCAACTGAAGTATGGTTACTCTCTGACTATACATGTAGCAAGTTGTATAAGGTATTTTAGACTTGAACAGTTACGCTGCTCTTGCAAAACTAATGAAATAGCAGACTATAACTCAGTAAGCGTATTTCCTGTATTCTTATGTATAATGCGTTAAAATACATCCTGTTGTTTTCATATTCATTTTCCTCCAAAGGTTTGTTTTCCATCAATCACATTTAATGCATGTCAAACGTGTGTTTGATAATCGTTTGTCGATGTATCCATAAGTTATAAGGTGTTGACAAAACAATTGAAAGACAACGGCGTGGGATGTATTGATTTTTCCACTTAACTTGTTGACAAAAAAGACTCAAGCTAAATAATGTGTTGAGCTGTAAAACATACATGTACACGTACCCCCATCTGACATGCGTTGGTACAATATCCAACATCCTCTCCCAACTTACGACATTTTGTGAAGCATTCAATTGAAACTAGAGACTCCTAAATATATAAAGGATATGCGATAATGCAAGTCAATAAGATAACACATTTACACATGTCGGTGACAAGGTAACGATGACTTTAAGCCACAATTTTTGTGATGCTGTAATAAATGTGAACAGACGACAAAGTAAGTATTTGTTGACTTAATTTCAGACTGTTAATGAATATAAATCATTATTATAATAAACAAATCAGGTGTTGTTTTATTATTTTAAAATTGCGCACATAACTAGCCTATTGTATTAGATCCATTTACTTTTACAGATGGGATGAAAAGGCTGGTGAAAATAATAAAAACAAATCAGAATCGAAACTTTACTAATACATATATGAATATTAGATTATTGTAAGGTATTCACCGGTCTGCACTGATCTTTGCATTTCATGAAAGCATCTCCATCTTTTATCTCCTTACACAGTTTCAAGAAGCAAGGAAGGAACAAATTCAAACCTCCCTAGGATATTGCAAATTAAAACGGTTAATACACAATTTTATAACGGGGGCGTCTCATTATTTCAAGGTAGTGTGTCTACATCTTAAAACAAAACAAAAACGCTCTCCTTCATCATAGCTTGTACTCGAGGCCTAGCTTTTACACCTCCTTCGCCAGAGCACACATTTCCTCGAGTCTCCTTCTCAACACTAAACACCTCGGGCATTGGCTCAAAATATGGATGCAGCCAATGATATAATTAATTTTACAGAAATGGCACATTTATATGTTCTTCGCACTGCATATGATCTGACATTAATATACATCGATTTGAATGACAATTACCTTATTCCTCGTCCAACATCTTCTACAAACTGAATAAAAAACTAACCTCGTTTGGGTCACATGCTGAATAGCAAGCTCGATGATCCAACCCACTGTCCCTACACATGTCATAGCATATATTGTTTATGCCACATTCCTGAAATATTGAATTACCTTAATGTTAAAATAGTGTTGACTGATACAGGGCTAACTTTAAATCAAGAAGCCATTGCACCCTGTATATGATTTAATATTTAACAAATATTTGCAATATTTGACAAAAAGAGGGACTCGATAAAGAAAGGTTACAGAAATACAAATAGAAAAACAGTCACAATAAGAAATAATGTATAGGAAAGTTAAAATCTAACATTCTCTTTTCGTCAGGAATATTTTAAAATCTTTGTATAAAGCTTGACATTAGGAAGGCAATTGTCTTAAACATAACTTACCGTATAAGAATGTGGTTTGGAGCAAATATCTTTTGCATCTATAATATAAAAAAATGTAATTCTTTCAATGGCCGATTGAGGTATTTTGTCGTTTTTTAGTTGTTAACTTATTTAATGACTTTATTCATACGATTTCTGGATATCTCATGGTATGTGTGACAGTTCCGATTAGTTATCGCATGCGAATATAACCGTAAGGGCAAATGTATATTTCAACGCAAACCTTAACTGCAAGGACAGGGAAGACACCTTGTTCACATAAATGTAAACGATTGGCCTGATTCAAATGATTTTGATTACCACAAGAACAAGCTCACTGAATCCAAAACTATCTAAAAGCTAAGTTCCTCAAAATTAAATACATTCAAATATACAACACATAGACTGCTATCGGCGGCAGTTGGATGTAAAGGTAAGCCAGTCACGAGGTAGCACTGGTCAGATGTTTTTTCAGTGAAAATGGTGGAAATAAAGTCCAGAGGAAGTCATATATCTCCTCTATTCTTTTACCGCGTCTATTAACATTTGCCTTGTCAAACTATTATCTTTGTTACGCCATTGAACACATTTACCTTGTAACTCTGGTAATTCGATTTCCTCACCAGTTGCTGGATCGAATCTATCACTGGGCTCCTAAATGACGAGCACATAACTTGTTAATAAGTTTTACATGTTGTTTACTTATAATGAGGATAAAGAACACGTTCTATACTTATCGTCTCAAGCTCATCAATAAATATTGTTCTTCACATTGCTTGTCGACTTTAATATTATTTCCAACTGTTACGATCAATCACATTTGACGTTGGTCATCTAAAAACCATATTGCTAAATAGTCAAATGAGGCAACGTTGTTGCTTTTTCAATTGTTTCACTACTTACTCTATCATCCGTTGTTTTATTGGCACAAACTTCAGGCAAATCTATGGGGCCGGTTGTTGTACCTTCGTCCAACATGCACTGGGCGTAATCCAAATTATTGATAAAACCTCGCTGAAAATGTAATAGCATATGCTCTACAACAACCATGTTTGAAAATCAAAATATATTAAAACTTGGTAGTGTTAGACACAATACATTTTCGGAAGTGATGATTGAACACAATTTCAAAACAAAGGAAAGTCTGTTAATGTCCATGATTAGCAATAATGTGAATGTGATGTGCATGTGAAAGCTCAATGAAAGGATATAATTTTGACTCATTCGAAACATCTGATCCTTTCGCAGTTTTCAGGTTAAATCTCTCATTATAAGTTACTACATTTAGTTGATACTTTATATAAAACAACAATGAGGCATTTACTTTTATCAGGATGTGTATACTTCTAAAATTGATCGTCGATAAATCTCAACGCCGATTATATGTCAAGATGTACCACTAGTTAGGTAATTTATGAAGCGATATGTACTTACAAAGCGTAGTCTGCATTTAGCAATACTTTCAAATGAGGAAAATCCCAATTTACGATTGTCTTCATAACAATTTCCATAGACAGATCCTCCCTAAAACACATTAATAAAGGTGAGAGGATTTCAAAGCGGAATACCATTATAGAATATTTATTGAGTACATTCAGACACCGAGTGTCAGGTACAAGAAAGTGTAATACATAAAAATGATATATATGTACATATTATTTTACACTAGACTACCATATACTTTATATAATATCTAGTCTGTCGATTATATTTAAATAATTTTCATTATTGAAATCTTTCTTGTAAGTTCTATATCTCTGTCCGGGGAACCATTGGTTTGTAAGAGTGCTGCGGGATCATGGAGGCTCTCAGGGCAATGCTTTTTTATAAATCATAATGCTTTATTTCCGTTTTAGTACTCGCCCGAATTGGACAATGCTGAATAGGAACCTTCAAAAGGCGAACTTCTCCATTTCGACGTTTTAAAAACGTGTACATGAATATTTTCTCATCAAAAGGTTTAACTTACAAACTCCAGTGTTGATTTTTCGAGACAGATATGTGCAAATTTTCGCTGGTTTCCATTGTCTGCTAAGCAGTCGCCATATCCTCTATCATTCACAACTGCATACTGTTTGAGTAATTAAAAAAAAATTGAAACAACACTTAATAAAGTGTCATCAAACTCCTCCTAAACATTGTATTACATTCACTTTTTTCTTTGAGTATCGAAGTCTGTGGGAGAGGCTATTCAATTATTTTTCTTTTTTAGAATCTCTTCTGTTGGTATGATCGAATTTCAATCAGATGCACTCTTTGATAATCCTTTCTAAATGGTCTACTTTCACACCACCCGTGCTTTCATATTTACAATATCATTAATTAGTTAGTATAATTATGCATTTCTTTAAAATGTTTTCTTGCTTCTAGACTTGCTTTAGTTTATGTTTGGTTGACTCGGTCTTACCTCTGGAACAAGGCATTTATTTATGCTTGTGAATGCAGTCTTTCCTAATTCCCTACATGCTATATAACACGGCTTATAGACACTGGCACCCTGAAATTATTATTTGTGATGCAATTATTTCACAATCTTGTAATGGCGGTATACCAACCGCTGTCCGGGTACTTTATAAAGGACTGGGCAGTACTATTTCTAAAACGAAAGATTCTTGAATCCCAGGCTCTAAAATCGGTTGAAACCAGAGAATTTTTCATTTTTGCCACCTTTTGACAATTTACTACTTACCTTTACAACTTTAGATGCTCAACTTAGTAAAATTATATTGCAGATATCATTTCTACACGTTTTAAAACAATTTTTTTTGTAAATTGGATGAAAATTGTTCAAATAAGAGCAATTTTTGTGAAAAAAATTTGTGACGGATTTTCTCGTCCCTCTGGGTTTCAAGGTCATATCTGAGGTGACGAGAAATCTCGTCATTCTGGGTAGTCAAGAGGATAAAAGCTTACAAAACACTTTGTCTAATACAAGGGGCGATCCATATATTCTGATAAAAATGCTCTCATTTTGTGATTGTTTCACATATCCCTCTCATTTTTTAGAAAATGAAGATTATGTAATTACACATACAATGCTAAAGTATTACAGCGATGTCATAAATTATTAATAAAATAGGGTTGCTATGGTAACCTGTATTAAGGGTAGGCAGGTCAATCAAATTAAAACACATAAAATATCGTAATAACTTGTTATTTTAATAACTTTAAAGCATGCGGAAATCAAACATTTTTTTCTAAAAAAGTTTAGTATTGTTGCTCGTTGTTTGTTGCTAAACAAAAGTTTATTTGTGCTCACTATAACATCACAACTACTCACAATAGCATTGTATGACAGAATTGGCCAGTTAACATTACATGTCATGAGACACACCAAAAATCAAAATGTCAGATGAGGTTTGTGTGGCTGATGCAGAGTGTGACATTAACAGATACATTAGGAGTACCATTAGATTTTATGTACTATCAAGAATAAGTAAAATGACCATGTCAGAGACATATGGACTTGTTAAATGTATGGGCAAGGTGTTATATCTGCTTAAAGAATCTATGTATATTATTGTAAAGAGGAAGGCATGGTAACTGTTGAAGGTATCCACTATCTGGTTGCAAGAATAGCTTGTGGACAGAGAATAACACTATAATAAATTGAGATGCAACTAATATATAGAGAGAACTATCCCACTGTAACAATTAGCAAACGAGGGCAACAGGGGTATGGAACAGTTCAACAAATAGTTGGCAATGACTGAAAGATGCGTTTGATCTGCCTAAAATAGGTACCGAGGAATGATTAAATTAACAAATTTATCTATTTTATACATTATAATTTATCTGACCTGCCTACTCTAAATACAGGTTACCATGGCAACCTTATTTCAAAATTAATTCAAGATATAGCTATAATATTTTAGCATTGTATGTGTAATTACATAATCTACATGTTCTGAAAAAATGAAAGGGATATGTGAAAATATCACAAAATGAGAGCATTTTTATCAGAATATATGGATCGCCCCTTGTATAAAATCAATTATTTTTACCTGCCCTCAAGCTAAAAAGCAGTTACATTTGAGAAATATCTTATAACAGATAAACTTACATTCGAAATTGTTGTTTGAAGTCTGCAATTAGTTCTGTTCTTACATGACTCCCCGACACATTCATCTACACAATCTTTGTACCCTGTTTTATACAATGCATCGCCCTGAAAAATACATTAACTTCAATATCATACAATACATTTAGATAAATACAATTATGGAGCGCATTGAAAAATGAAAACTATTAAACCACTCGGGAATCCTAAACACTAAAAGTTATTTTCTCGGAAAACTGTTGCTTGTGATGACAACTCTATACATTAACACTGATATGTACTGTTTAGGCATAAGCCCGGTTGTCAAAAAGGGAAAAACAATATTACAAAAAAAACAAAATAGCAAAATATTACAACAAAAACACAGAATAGCACAATGTTACAAAAAGCAACCCAAAATAGCACACTTTTACAACAAAAACACAAAATAGCATAATATTACAAAAAGCAACACAAAATAGCACAATATTACAACAAAAACACAAAATAACTCAATATTACAAAAAGCAACACAAAAGAGCAAACTCTTACAAGAAAAACACAAAATAGCACAATATTACAAAATGCAACTCAAAAGAGCATAGTCGTCAAGAAAGACAACAATTCTTACAACATCCCAAACAATGATCTAACACACCGAGAAATAATGTCCAACACCCAAACATCCCCGTGATATATTGTGAGTCTTTATAGAAGATGTCTACGGATTTAATACAACACAACAGAATTTATTCTCGCATCTCTTGAATCTATTTACCGATTGAATAAATCAGGCAATATATTTGACATGTCATTAGCAAAAAAACATTGAATAGCACATACAATCAAACACAACATGATAGCACGTCACAATGTGCCAATCCCATTCCAGAAAATTAATGCTTGTGTATTTTAGATATTTAAAGTAAAGTGAGTATAAAATTGTTTAGTTTAAAATAGCTGAAACATATCATTGACTCACGGTTTCATAAAAACATTCCTTGTTGCAAACGTCGTGAGTCCCTCCCGTCCGCCTGCAATCTTCATAGCAGGAGAGATATACTTTCTTATTCTGAGGAAAAGAAAATGCAATTTTGTCAATAAATTGAGACCTTAATAAATCATCGTTGATTGATTCTCATAAGGGATCATTTCAAAAGATCAATGTCAGAATATTAACAGTATCTGAACAGTGAGCCAGAGGGTCATTAGCCCCCGACATTGAATAATTATAACGATCTGAAAATGAGGCTTGAGGAGTAGACAGTACCTTATATGGTTTCATTTATCGCCTCTTTTTAATCTCGTGTGACCTATAATTTTTGTCTATGCGTAAATATGTTTGCAGTTTAAGGTGTCCTTTGTTATTTTGAAGGATCTAATATCTCTATAACGATTTCTTGTGCTTCGCACCTTTGGCACCGTGCATCTAACCACACAATCATCTGTATCCCTACGTCTTCTTCTACAATCACTGTAACATGCAGGGAACACTCGACCCAACTTAAAATATTATAATTAAATTTAAAGTTATTAACAATATGCATCACTTGGCAATTAATCGCATCGCACCATATACACTGTAGTATAAGTTAAAGTAAGTGTCTGAAACCCCCTAAATTACAATAGGCAAACGTTTCAGTACACTCCTTTGATCTTTTTAGATTTAATTGATCCCAGAAACGATTTGACTGTTTTGCACATGCTGTCATAAGTAAAACAATATTTCATGGTCGGTAAATACTACTTACATTGCTAACAATACACGTTGACATACAATAGCAAAGTGTTCCTCCAATCGTACGACAATCCTTATAACACGGTCCAAATATATAGCTGTTCTGCAAGCATTTAGAATGAAAACTTATTTGAAATTTATAGTCATTATATAGATTCATTAAACTAGATATTTAAACTGCAATATTTGGTTGTTTTTTGGTTCTTCCGTCTGCCTTTTACCGCCCGCTCTCATTTTTTGAAGTTGTCAAAAAATGAATCCTCATCTGATTTTTTAAAGAGACGCCTCACCCTTGGCAAATCCTGGCTACGAGGCTGATATATATTCTTATTTCTTAATAGTATACTAGTATTGACCAACCGTACCTTAGCTACAGAACACATACTGACACAGTTGCCTGCTGCCGAATTACCACTAGAGATGCAGTCGTCATAGCAGCCATCGAATACTTTACCACCCTTGATATAGAGATACAATTTTGTATATTTAATTGTTAATCAGTTGAAACTGGTTACACATATTTTGCATAACTTCTGATTAATAGCCTAGCCTAAGTCGGTATTTTATTTTACTTATCTCGATCTTCAATTATACCGCCTTGTTGTATCCAATTCATCTCCGCTGATATTATGATAACTTATTCGTCAAAGAAGATTGGCTATAACAGGGTTCGATATTCTGCCATATATGGACACATGTTGTGATTACAAAATTCAAATTGAACAGCCGCCATTTTTTGTTCATATCTTTTGAATTGCTGATTATGAATTTATAGCAAGTAAAATTTTCAGACAACGACATTTTCAATGTCGTCGATATCGCTAAAATATTGGCAATTCCCCTTGCAGTTCGTTCGGGTGTTCTTTACCATAGAATTCAACAAGGAATAAATCGATTGGAGATTTTAAACATCAAGTTAGAACTCAGGGAGCCAATCCTCCTTGTAACGCGCATGCGCTATCATTAGCCAATAGCGGTAGTAGTAAGCATAAACAAATCCATGTGCTCGCCACGCGATCTAGTTTGGCTGGTCAAAAATACATTTCCATTTTCAGCGATCTTTTTAACGTTTCTTTTTTGTTAAAATCCTCGCAGCTCCGTGTATCCAAGCGATGTTTCAGTAACCACTATACTCTGATTAATATACATTCGATAAAATATTTGTATTTTCACAATGAATGGGTCAAGATTTGTTTGGTTTTTGAAGAGCGAAATATTTTTGTCGTGGACTGAGCATAAATAATGAGCTAACGCTGTAACGCCGTAGTTGATTGGCTAAATAGTCCATGGTATGAAATCTCTAGGACGTCTAATAAAGGAGTTGGTAGCACACTATAGTGCAGCGATATTTGACCTTACATAAACATACCTACATATGTCCCCCAATAATTTTTATTATAACTGTTCAATATACTTCCGGCTTCTAGGCTGAATTATGCCTGCCATTAACAGAGGTCAAAAAAGCACCAAAAAATTAAATCCCAATTTTTCACAATTTGGAGTACACAATGCAACAGAAAATAATACAAAATGATTTTAAATATATGATTTAGGTTTCTAAGCTATACGTTTGAGGTTATTTTTCTTATCAATACCCAAAAATATGTAATCAGTGTATCGACGTTTTGTATTGTGTCTCAGGTATTAATAAGATAAATGTTACAAGTGAATCACTTTTATATTGGAATGACAAATGTTTAAATTATGCTAGCTTTTCACAAAAGGGGTCTCAATAAGTTTTGAGATATGGACTTTTATTCAGCGGTGAAAATTATCAGTAAATGCGGGCCTATTGCTCTTCCTTGACTAATTGGGACTACAGCTAAAATTCTATTTCCCGTAGTTAGATATAGCTCAGTTGCTTATTAAACAACCATCAAGACTTGATCGAATTAATGAATAATTGAGAAAAATCGTTATCATTATCTTCCTAAAATTTGATTGTATCCAGCGGTAAGGTCAAAGAACAAACCAGTCATCAGATAACTTGATGATAGCCACAAGTAACGTCGAGGAAGAATTTCAAGGCGTTCGATTGCATATGACTCTTATAGATTATTAAACATGCCCTTGGAATATATGAACATTCCAATACCTCTATAACATTTAATTAGATATAAATCTTACCTATTTGTTATTGTATTATGTTTTGTAAAACATGAACAATAATTTGCTATTAGACCCCTTGCGATTATATGGAAAAATTCTGGTAATAAAATGTTTTAAGTGGTAAGAAAACTAATATGTTCCCAATCATAAATTACCTAAATATTCCACATAATTTTGTTGAATCGGCTTGGCTTATATTTGAAAAATCAAACAAAATCTGAAAAACACACTTGCATAATTACACTAATTAAACACCGACATCTACGGTAAAATTAAATAGTATATTTTGAAATTATGATGACTTATTTTTGTTCGTATGCTTAGAGTAACGGTCCGTGTCTTATAAAATGTATAAAAGTTCGAATCAAAATATTTACGTTTTTTGACCCCTTGTGATGGAAGACGTTTTTCGACCCGAAAGCCGGAAGTTTTTTCAGCAAATGGTATTTTAAAAGAATCGAGACATGTACACCTTCATAGATATTGCTTCAAATGTTGCTGCGCTATAGTGTGCTACGGATCCTTCATATTCGGAAGTCATACCATGGACTAAAAGCGGAGCATTTATAAGTCTGCGCGCTATTGGTCAATATACAGACTGTTGGTAACGCAAATGTCAATGTGTTTGGTAGAAGGTGTTGATGTAAAAGTAAAAAATGAATAAACAAAAAACTTCGATTTCGGCAAGGCTATTGATCAATATGGGAAAAAGTACAATTGTAAATATACATAATATAAGAGAGTTCTTTAAAACGCATACAAATTGAACTGTGCAAACGTCAATGCATTGTCCATACGACCTCCCTGTATCGCTACATCCGACTGAACACTTGTCATACACACTGTCTTCCTGTAACACAATAACACAAATTTTGCAATGTAACCTTGAATTTAATTAAAGTTAAATTAACAAGGCCACATTGACTCTAAGCTCTGATAAAAATATCTGATTCGATCTTTCTGAATTGTACACAAAATCGTTTCAAGTTCTAACAATTCTGGCTCGAAACATTTGTCTTGAAAGTGTAACATTTCGAATGTATTCTCCTACTCAATGAAAAAATGATAACACATGTGAAGTTTTTCTTATGAAATTTACTTTTTGGATTTCAGGAAAGTGCCTTATTCTAGATGCATCCTAAGTGTTTTGTTTATACTTAACGTTGCTCATATATTTTGATGTGATGACATTTTTGGTAATCTTCTATCACTGTACCCTCCAACATATTTTTGAATGCCTTATAAAATGCTGTTCTGCTCTTGTATTTCCTTTAATGCTTTGAGCGAAAAGCTTTTCCGTACATGCTATTTTACATTTATATCAATCAAGTAATATAGTCTAGAGTAATAGTGTCTATAGTAATTGATGACCGAGTAGGTCCAGTAGCTGACTGGTAAGTGTGATATTTCATTAGCAATATAAATATCTTATCGATTATGATTATCATTTAAGATGGTTCAATAAACGTTATAAACTTGAATAATATTTTGAGGAAAGAACAAAACCAATTGTATGATGAAACTCTTTCGATGGGAAAGGTATTGGAGAGAATAAAGTAACGATCGCTAATAAAGCAAGTATCTAACTGATATTGACAATGATTGTTAGAGAACAGAGAGGCATTCCTTAAAAGTGATAGAGAACGCAAACGTGCGCAGTATGTTCCAAGGAATTGGCTTTCGAAGAAAAAGTTAGATAACTTCAGAATTCGAATCAAAATTGCCGCACAAGCATATAGAAAGAGAAAAGGGGAAGATCTTTCGCAATCTATATGTACACGTACAAGTGCCCAAACTGTTGTCAAGGTAGAATTACTTGAAAATTCGAAACAAAATTGACGTACAAGGATGTAGAAAGAGAAAAGGAGAGGCTCTTGGGCAATCTATATGTACACGAACAAGTGCCCCAAGTGTTGTCAAGGTAGCATTTCTTGAGAATTCGAAACAAAATTGCTGTGCAAGCAAAAAGAAAAAGGAGGTCTCTTGAGGAATCTATATGTACACGTACAGGGTGTTCCATATGTTTCAGGAATGATGCTGTGTTTTATTGGTTTTCTTTTCAATCTAACTGAATTTTTGACACAATGTGTCTAAACATGTTTTAAATAAGTTTGGAAAGTTTCATATCGTGAAGTTCAGTAGTCTTAAATATATGGTTGCTATAGTAACCTAGGGGTAGGGTAGGTGGAGCAGGTGTAACAACGCGCAAAATATATGAAAAATTGGTAAAAAAAAAGTTTTTTTGTACGAAGTGTGACTAAGTATTAGGTTGTCAGAGTTGGATCAAACTTGTTAGCAATTAAACAAAAATGAAGGTGGATTCCAAGAAAGTAAAAAAAATGTCACCACCCATGATCGCATCACAATTTAGACATCTGTCATGTCATGAGTCACAATGGAGAATAAACACAGGTAATTAGCAAAGGAAAACCTTCGACTTAGGCAACACTCAACAACCTGTGACAAGACATGATGACATGTGTGAATAACAGTTTTCTGCAGCAGATACAATTAAACTCCTAACGAAACCACATGGGGACTCAATGATGGTAACCTCTAGAGTGTACGAATGGTACAAGTGGTTCAAATCTGGAAGGAAAACTGAGATCGATTATCCAAAATGTTGACATTCGGGAACAGTGAGAGCGCTAAATAATGCGGAAGGGATACTAGTAGATGCTGAAATAATGATGATGGCTAATAAAGGGTGTGATAACATTTTTAATTTCCAGGAATCCACCTTCATTCTTTTTAATTTCCAACAAGTTTGACGCGACATGACAAATTCATACTTTGAACACTTTATACAAAAACTGCTATTTTTACAAAAATGTCATGTTTTGCGCGTTGTTACACCTGCTCCACCTACCCTACCCCTAGGTTACTATAGCAACCATATTATTCACTCTACTGAGTTTCATGATATGAAACTTTTACAATTTATTCACAACATATGTGGACACATTTTGTCAAAAAATCAGCTAGATTGAAAAGAAAACCAATAAAATACAGCATCATTCCTGAAACATATGGAACACAGGTCCCGAACTGTTGTCAAATTATAAACACACTAAAAACATCCTAGAATCTTCAAATCAAAATAAAGTGATGATGTTATTTGACCGCCGACATGGTTACACTTCACCCAGATGTTATTATAAACCATCCGAAGATTCCCCAACCAGCGTGAGATGTTTTTGTACTGTATCTCCAACATTAACTTATGACTCAGGAACAGTTCAAGCAATAATCATCAAACGAATTCCTGAAATCCAAACTCTCGTCCGTCTCTTAATTACATCCGTTACCTTTCTGATTCACAGATGTCACAATAAAGAAACAAATCAATGTTTCAATTGTAAACTATCACAGCTTCGATTTTCCACAGATGAAGGCAACATGGAATTATTTAGAGGTATTGCTTGGCAAATGGCCCCGCGATGGTGAAACGATCCGCGGATGATATATTAATTATCGAAATAACCATATCAATTTTTTTTTAAAGTAATGATGTACGATTTTTTATTTCCCAATTTTGGCGCATATATTCAGCATGACTGCAATACGACCCAACAGAACACAACAACTAGTATCGGTTGCCCTATACAAGTTTTTATCCCGCGAGAGAATGAACAATTACATGACAAGAGCTTACTTTATCAACCTTACACTCCTCTACGCATTGTACTGCGGTTTGACCATCTTTTATACAATCATTGTAGCATATTTCATTTACAGATGCCTCCTTAATATCAATGGATGAAAAAAATTAAGTACGGTTAAATAGTTTATATGCAGAGGATCTTTACTATAATAGTTACCAATAAAAAAATTCAAAATGCATGGGGTGCAAAACACAATAACACATTTAAGTATATTGGAAAATTATAAGATTTTTAAAGTTATGTTTCGACGTTATCTTTTTAAATTTCTGAACTATTTTTATTAATTTTGAACCAGATATTTTTAACTGCAGATGGACTGCAGTCGCATATTAACGGTACACAAATCTACATTCCTATAATATAAAATTACGTGTTGAAAAATGTTTACTCCATACATCTATTGCAGTGCACATTCTTTTACATATTCCAGGATTTTCACCAGTTGCTTTACATGCTTCGTAACAAGGCGTATACACCTTATCAACCTACAAAAAATGTATATAATTCTACGAAATTGCATTGGGTTAACGCATACATCATCCAAGTTCTCAAAGATTGATAATATTAGAATATTTAAATATGTTTTATAATGTGAAAAAACAGAAATGTGATCATAAAGATATTTGTGCACTACAAAATACAGCTATTTAGTAAAATACAATTAAATGGGTCACCTCGCGTATAGAACATTCTCTCATACAAGTAGGATATGCCGTATTTGGAACCTTCATACAGTCTTCGTAGCAAAGTGTGTACATATCACCCTGGAATTTAATCATGTCATTAATATGCACTCATATTTAGCATATGATAGTATTTGCATTTTTGACATTCTCATAGCATCAAAACAAAAGTACATAAACGTATCAAATGTTCAACATGAATCAGTAAAGCCGTCGCCATAATCAATAAAACACTACACTTTACAAGGGTGATTTAGATCCCTAGTCCTCATCCATTAATGCTTAACATGTATTTAACTCATTTTATGTATTCTTATCCCGCCCACCTTTAATTAACTTCAAACTTAATCAGATTGGCCGACCGGTCCAGAGCGTTGTGAGTGCTGGGCTAGGTGCTGATGTCGTAATCACAAGAGGTCGTGAGTTCGAGACGTTTCAGCTCCCTGCTTTTATTCATTTATGATATAGGGCTTACCTCGGATATTGAACATTCACTCAAACAACCTGCATGGCCTTCACCAGTGACGTCGTAACAGTCGTTATAACAGGGGCCATATACCATGATACCCTAATAATGTTATAGAGCACAGATGTTAAGCCATTTTTCTCATACTTCCTTTAGTACTTCCTCAGTACTAATAAATTCTATTATGATATTTCCCCGTCAACTATGCATTTCATTTAGACCGACATTTATTGTAACACATTTTTGACCCACACCTTCAACATAATATTTCAATCAGACAATACCTCATCGACGAAGCATTCCTTTTGGCATGTTTCAAAACTTGAACCATTTCTCCTACAGTCTACGTAGCATAACTCAAATACAGAGTCTCCCTGGAAGTAAATATTGTATATTTGGATAATTTGTTTAAAATATTATATGTAAGGAAGGCGTTGTTGGAAATATGGAAGTATATTTGACATGTGTAAGATACCTGACCCATGGGCTTTCTTGGATACTATACATTACTTTAATATTACATGTGGTACTATAGTCTAGTAGGAAGGTATGGTCCCCATGCACCCGAAAGATGTATTTTTTAATGTACATTTTTGTAATCCTAAAGGTCCATACTAAAGATTTTTGCATGTTCCAAGAATGAAATATTGTCCCATGGTATCCATTGGCGGCCATCTTGTCGGCCATCTTGAATTTTTGAAAGAGTTGGTGTTAATTATCTCAAAGTACAATAACTTCCACAGTTTTGAGAATTGAAAGCTGTAAGTGGTACCAAAATGAAGCTTTTATAGTATCCTATATTATCAGATACAATAATTATGCAAATTGCCTCATTTGCATAAAATGTGACATCATCAATCATAATTCTTGCCTCTTTACAACGGTATCGCATTATACCTTTCCGCCTGAGTGATCAGTGTTAGTCATTCATGAACATAAATGAATTTAAATATATAGGTACATTAATTTTGAACATATTTGCAATTGAAAGTTTTGGAAAAACATTGTCAGACACATGATTATGTAACTGAAAAGGGGCGTGGCACTTCTTGCGAAAGAATTGATGTTAATCATTTCAAAGTACAATAACTTCCACAGTTTTGAGAGTTGAAAGCTGTTAGTGGTACCAAACTGAAGCTATCACAATATCCTATATTATAAGATACAATAATTATGTTAATTACCATATTTGCATAAAATATGACATCATCAATCATTATTTTTGCCCTTTTTCAACATAATGCATATTGCCTTTTCCTCTGAGTGACCATCTTGGTCTCTCATGAATAAAAAGATATTAAATATATACATTCATTTTAAACATATTTGCAATTGAAAGTTTGAACATATTTGCATTGAAAGTTTTAGAAAAACATTGTCAGAAATTAAGGTATGACCTTTCAAATGATTATTGTACTGAAAAGGGGCGTGGCACTTGTTGAAAATCTGTAATGTTATTATATAGTCAATGTATCATTTGTAAAATACCCAGGGGTTCACTGAATACACAATTTTGTAGGGGTCCTAGGCTGAGCCCTCAAATATCATTATGTTCCCATACCAATCTCAAATTTCAATGTGTTCCCATACCAACCAAAATAATGCCCAAAAGCCATACCAAATATCCAAATATAAGACCAATGCTATATCAAATGTCCAAATATAGGACTAATGCCATTCCAAATATCCCAAAATTATAAGACCAAGGGAATGCAAAATGTCTAAAGCCCCTGGAAGAAGGCAGAACTTTTAGGAAAATGATCCAAAACAACCTCAAATTAAGGACATTTGTAAAAACTAGACCAATCCCATACCACAAGTGAGAGGTAACCTATTCTCCATGATCATTCTTGTACCACAAAGTAGAAAAATCCGACCATTGTCATATCTCAAAAGTCATATTTTGGGGGCATTCTCATTCCAGATCCTAAAATTTGGATCCATTGCCATACCAAATGTTAAAAGAGGTACCCCCGTCAAGGTTTATATATAGTGAACCCCCTGGGTGTAAAATATAGCTTTTGACTTTTAGAAAGTAGCCCAGTGATGTCCCTTATTCCTAGCTTGTTCAGAAATTCTTGTTGGTCTGTTTGGCAGACATTTAAATTTCAGCCAAAGATATATAAGCTGTATCGCTTTTGAACTAAGTACTGTACAGATACGAATGACCACATATCCCCATATCATTTTAGGATAGGCAGTGAACTGAAAAGGGTACCCACAGTGTTTAGTTCTTAAAGCTATATAATTATTAACTCAATATGTATTATGCCTGTACTTCAGTTCAATGTTTTATCCAAGACATCCGACTGGACTCTCAACTGACCTCTCCCAAAAACTCAGTGCTGATGTCAAAACACAGTAGGACCATCATCTTCAATGAGCTAACGGTACCTTCAGAAGACCAACTAAAATATCTCATCAGCTTAAAAATCCAAGACCTATTTATTGACAAGAGGGTGGTATGCAGTTATGCAACCAATAGAAGTGGGATGCAGAGTCCAGCCTCTTCACTATGCTACCTCTTATCCAAGTGGAGGAAACATCTGTGAAACACCATTGTGTTGGGCCAAGTAGAAGACAAAACTTCTCTTGGGAAGGAGAGATGAAGCCGGCAGTGTTATTGGATGGCTTCATCACTGGCAAGAGAGCTTCAACAGATGCTTCTTAAGAGATTACTTCATCTTAGTCATCCAAAGATTCTTCTTCCAAAGATAGAAACACTCAGGAAAAGAGAAGCATAGGACCAGGAAGACATTCTTTGAAAATCTCTATAGGCTCACATCAAACTTGTTAGGGAACCAAAGAGTGCCCATATGGCATGTACGCAGGATCAAGCAGAAGCAAATACTTTGGCAGCACACAGTGACCCAGATCGAGAGATGCCATTGGGTAATTTTCCAATTGACATCCCACCAGATTTATCATCAAAACCGTTTGACCAGTCAGATTTCAAGCTTGATGAGGTAAGAACAATCATCAGGAAGGCTCAGCCTCAGGTCTAAAAGGTGTGACATACAGGGTCTACAAGAACTGCGGAAAGCTGTTAATACATCTATGGCGATTGCTAACAAGCATCCAGAACAAAAAAATCTAGCAAGGACTTGGACTTAGGCGGAAAGGTGCTTCATTCCAAAGGAGCTAAAATTTGAGCGACTGAACCAGCTCAGGTAGACATCATTATTGGATGCTGAGGGAAAGATCTTCTGGGCCATTATGGTCAAGCCTCGAAGCTGTTTCCTAGTGGCCTGCCAAGCATTCAGAAAGTGCCAACTTGTGAAGGAAGCCAAGAAAGAGAATCAGTAGTTTGGCTGGACAGAAGGCCTACCTAGTGTCCCTCACCAACTGATACTAGAGGTACAGTTCACTTTCACGTACCAAAAGCAACAGATGTAGTCAATCTGACAATGGGAAACGCAAACTCCTTGAAGTTGCACAATACATTTTGCAATTATACCACTAATTAGCAGAGTTCGGAGAAAGGCACAGTGGCAGACTGCACTGCATCAGTAGTTCTCTTCGTAACATCCATGAACTCTAAATGCAGGGATGATGCAGTGTAAGGTTCCACACGCAAATGAAGGTGCAAAACACCTACCATACAGAGCTTTCATGGATGACATCACAGTTATGACCCGTTCAGTAGTGAGTACCAGATGGCTTCTATTAGCTATGGAAAGAATGGCAAACTGGACTTGCATGAAGTTAAAAGCCAACCAGGTCAAGAAGCATGGTTTTGGTTGATGGCAAGCTTTCTCCAATGCATTTCAAAATAAAGGGCAAGCAAATACCAACAGTGCATGATAAAAGAATCAAATGTCTAGAGAAGAACTATGACAAAACCTTGCGTGGTTTGAACAATACAGCTGAAGTCTCAAGGGACCTGGACAAGTGGCTTAAAGCCATTGACTCAAGTCATATATCGGGGTGTTATGACATTACTCCCCAATTTCAGCGGCCTTTCCAGATTTACGACATTACCTGGGAACCCTCACTTCAGCAATTCTTGAAATGGAATGACCTTTGGTTCATGGACCGAGGGGAGTTCAATTTCCTATTAAGAGCTTTCCTTGACCTGGTCTCAACTCCATCAAACCTCAGACTTTGGGGCAAGGAAGAAACTGCCAACTGCCCCAAGTGCATGGCAACTGAATGACACGTACATTAAATCATATACTCGGTATTTGGGTTACAGCTCCCACTGATGGACAATAAAGATGGCGTCATGATTGAGGCTGAGGATGCCCATACTTTGATCTGGGCCTATCTTCAATATCTATCTTGCGTTTCATTGATCTGGGCATTATTCACCATTACCACTTCTAACATGTCTCATCAGATCGACTTTTGCATATGTGACAATAAAATAGCCTGACTTGCATTGTGCTGTCATATTGGAATTACACTATCATAATGAACACATCATGTACTCGTAAGCGGTGCACACAAGCTGCAAAATTTGGCCAACATTTCACCAATAAGCAACATTGAGCTCTACTATCTACATGACTCTGCTAGAGCAGCTTCAGCCTTTGAAGTTGACATTAGTGTTTAGAAGTTAACATTTTGAACAAGAAGTGCCCCCCCCCCCTTTTTTCAGTTACATAATCGTGTGAAGTGTCAACACTTAATTTCTTATAGTTTTTCCAAAATTTCAATTGCAAATATGTTCAAAATAATGTACCTATATATTCAAAATCATAAATGCTCATGAATAACCAAGACTTTAACCAAGAGGGAGAGATATTGGTCGTTAGCATTGAAAAAAGCCCAAAATGATAGAGCTTGTCACATATTATGCAAATGGGAAAGTTTGCATAATTATTGCATTTTCTATAAAAAATATATAATATATAAGTATATTATAATAGCTCCATTTTGGTACCACTTACAGCTTTCAATTCTCAAAACTGTGGAAGTTATTGTACTTTCAAATGATTAACATCAACTCTTTCTCAAGAAATGCCACGCCCCTTTTCAGTAGCATAATCATGTAAAGTGTTATAACTTAGTGTCTGACAATGTTTTTTCCAAAACTTTCAATTGCAAATATGTTCAAAATTAATGTACCTATATATTTAAATTCATTTATGTTCATGGATGACTAAGACTGGTCACTCAGGCAGCAAGGTATTGTGCGATACCGTTGTAAAGAGGAAAAAATTATGATTAATGATGTCACATTTTATGCAAATGAGACTATTTGCATAATTATTAATCTCATAATATGGGATACTATAATAGCTTCATTTTGGTACCACATACAGCTTTTCAATTCTCAAAACTGTGGAAGTTATTGTACTTAACATCAATTCTTTCGCAAGAAGTGCCACGCCCCTTTTCAGTTACATAATCATGTGTCTGACAATGTTTTTCCAAAACTTTCAATTGCAAATATGTTCAAAATTAATGTACCTATATATTTAAATTCATTTATGTTCATGAATGACTAAGACTGATCACTTAGGCGGAAAGGTATAATGCGATACTGTTGTAAAGAGGCAAGAATTATGATTGATGATGTCACATTTTATGCAAATGAGGCAATTTGCATAATTATTGCATCTGATAATATAGGATACTATAATAGCTTCATTTTGGTACCACTTACAGCTTTCAATTCTCAAAACTGTGGAAGTTATTGTACTTTGAGATAATTAACATCAACTCTTTCAAAAATTCAAGATGGCCGACAAGATGGCCGCCAATGGATACCATGGGACAATATTTCATTCTGGGAACATGCAAAAATCTTTAGTTTGGACCTTTAGGATTACAAAAATGTACATTAAAAAAATACATCTTTCGGGTGCATGGGAACCCCTCCTTCCTACCCGTCTACTAGAATGACTTGAAAACATCTGGAAATGGAATATCGCTTTGTTCTCCAATATCAGAATAACTCCATAGATGTCGCTGTTGAAAAGGTAGAAGAGAAAAAATAATTTCAGAATCAGAATGATGCTATGGTTGATTCAGAATCAAGTTTTATCAGTGCAATCAAAGAAAATATGACTTTACACTTTTTTGTTTATCTTTGTATTAAAATTTCCTAAAAAGTAAGACGAAATAATTTAGCTTACTACAAATATTTGACTTTTTGTGATGGTGTTCTTGAATTTTAAATCTGTTGGAAATTATTAGAAATTCGAATAAAATGGCAGAAAAATAGATATTTTGATTGTGGTAGATTTTTAAACATATCCTGAAAAATGTCCATGTTTTAAATTGCATTGTATGGGGCCATGTATTTAATAATGAAATCACCCCATGCACAAATATGGTTGTAACCATTAACCATTAGGTTGTAGCCATTAACTGTAACCTAATATTTTATTTTATTCGTTTAAGTCAAAAATATAATATTCACCGATGAAACATTTTTATTTTGACATCTGAGAATAAGTTGCGACATTTATACTTTTGTTTGCAATTACTACAAATAAGATTCTGATTAATCTACCTGATGTACGAGACACTTTGTCACACATAACTTCCGGTCTTCGCCTGTGTTTCGACAATCGTCATAACAACGATCAAACAAGTTTCCCATCTAAAAAACATTTTCAAACAATGTACTTATAAATCAAATCCCAAAGCTAGAAAAAATAAAACGATCGATCTTTAATCTGTATAAATCAAAGGTAAGCGGGAAGCTGCACATTAATCTTTTACAATAATTTATTTTATAAATATGTGTTTATGTATTAATAACTTGAAGTCTTACTTCTGTCATTTTACATTCAACAACGCATGTTCCATAGTTACCACCAGCTCCGGTGCAGTCATCGTAACATTTCAAATTGACACCATTATTCTTAAGCAAAATAAATTAAGCACTGAATAACCATATATACTTTAACAGCTGACAAACGAGGGTTGTGCAAAAAAGCTTCAAATCGTTCCTCGTCATTTTGATAGTATTGGGTTCAGGAAAGAATGAACATCCGAATGTTGAACAAACTAAATATTAAAATGTAAAGATTGTGTAAATGTAAAAGAACCATTATGATCATAATTCAAAACTGTAAAATAAGTTGAAATTTCTTCAGTCATACTGAAATGCAGTAATGCATTTTAATAAATTGTGTTTGTGTTATTTCAAAATATTCTAATACTCCTGTATCACCCTATGCTTAGTGAGCGGACCTAATTTCAAGGGTGATGGTAAAGACGAGGCATAGCGCCCAAAAACCAAAGAATATTAGTACCATAATCTTTTAAGTAATATTATTGCAGCATTAGGTGATGATATTGTGATATTTTATGCTGTTTTAGAAGTGAAAGATGTTAAACTATGCATACCGTTTGTTTTACATCCAATAAAACGAGTAGTTAAGATGAAACAGTCGTTTAAAGATACAATTTGAATTTACCGCAAGAAATTACAACCTAATATTGTCAATATGTCAATAATTCCTGATCGATGTCACATATAAAGATATATGTACCTAGATATGTTTTATTTTTTCATATATGCGAAATAAGGCGGTCTCTAGTTATGTACATCCAATACAAAATGAATGTTTACTATTCGGCGATCAGAATTTCGATGACGAGCAATGGCGATGTAATTTGCGAAGAGGAGTGGCTATGGGCAAGCACTTAGCTGCTACGTGTACTGCTGAATTCAGCTAAAATGTACACTGTCAATTAATAAATTAATGAATTTGGGCAAGGTTGTCATAGGCTTTAATCAATGGTAAAAACTTGCAAAACATGTAGTCACTTGATTTTATGATTTATCAAAAAGTGTTGGTTGTTGAACGAATAAATAGAATAACTTAAAAGAATTTTAAAATTGTATAAATGGCAACTGGCCCACACTTTTTTTAACAAATGTTGACAAAGTCATAAAAAATCAGACGCTTGACAGATGTAGTCAGAGATTGTTGATGCCGATGGCAGGTGTATTCAGAAAGTGTTAACATAATAAATGAAGTCAGACTTTATTTACATGACAAGTGTAGTCAGAGGCTGTTAACATGGCAGATAGAGTCAGAGATTGTTAACATGACAGATGTAGTCAGAGGTTGTTAATATGACAGATGTAGTCAGAGATTGTTAACATGACAGATATGGTCAGAGGTTTTTAACATGGCAGATGTAGTTATTGGTTGTTAACATAACAGATGTAGTCAGAGGTTGTTACCACATGAGAATAATTTCTTGTAATTAATTTTATTATTCCGTTGACATTAACGATTTTTCGAATTTTCATTTCATTTGTAGGGTGTTTATTGATCAAGTGGTGTATTATTTCATCAAAGTCTTTTGATGTCCGTGACAGTAGCAACACTGGAATCCCACATATCAAAAAATAAACAGGATAAATGTAATCCCTATTCCACGGCTCGTCCTAACATGCTTTTATTACCATAACCATTGCTCTTCCTTTCGAGGAATCAAAATCTCCTGATTTGAATGCAATTACGGCTCAAATTGGGAAATGGATGGTTTACGATATAAATACGTTCATCAACAATAATTACATGCAATATCAAGGAATTCTATGCAGGAGAAGTATCATTATTTTGAAAATAATCGAAAAAAAAATGTGCAGAAAATTAATTTTTCTTTTCACATCACTTCGTATCCGTTTCACATATAAGTATGAATCTTTCTTACATCACAAATCTAATTATGGGCATCTAAAGCATCAGTGCACCTAGTTACAGGCCAGCACAAGGCCAATAAAGAGTAGAACTTAGAGATATAAACTTACTGCTGGTCCGCCATAGTTAGGTTTGGGCGCCCTGCCTCGTCTTTACCATCACCCTTGAAATTAGGTCCGCTCACTAAGCATAGGGTGTGTATACTTACACCATTGAATGTACAATCCTTTAGGCACATCACGTGACCCCTCCCGGTCAACCCACAGTCAAAATAACATTGTTCATAGATCTCGTTGTCCTAGGATAATGGGTGTTCTATATACATTCAATTATTATACAAAATGGGGTTTAAAACTTTTCTTTGACATATCGAGTTCTTCCAACGCTCTCCCAGACTTTCTATATGCATTTATACATGTAGATAATATATTCGGAGCAAGTCGAACTTAACGTACATGTATATAATATGGATGTTGTAGGATACATTTAAATTACACATCATTGTCTGTTTAATATTATCATTTATCTTTATATCTTTCATTATTGTATAGTCTACTTTAAAAACGTGCTATACGGTTTTAATCTTTAACTTTGAAATTGTTTACCATTTCCACTATGCACTGGGCCTTGCAAACAAAATAACTCATTCCCACTGTTCTGCAGTCTGCATAACATGGCGTGTATGCCATCTCATCCTGTGTGGTTTTAAAACGTAAATACATGTATGACACGATCGACGTCAAAAATGCATTTTACAGTCTTAATAAGCACATCAACCCGTTATTTAAAAATGATTATAGCAATATAAGTAGCATTTTATCTTTTTAGACAATGCTCAAGATATAGACCAAAAGATTTTAATTTAGCACATTTTCTTCTTAATCTTGAGCACATTTTTGGCTCTGTAGCACAATTTTAATTTTTGTGATAAGACCAGATTTCCTATGGCCAGGCTTATATATATATTTGCGATGATTTTATGAGGTAGTGCTTATGTTATATGTTGTTTTAAATTATGTAAACAGCAGCATTTTTAAACTACTGATTTCATGGTTAATTTAATATACACTTCCCGTAAAGCCTGACCCATTTTGTTATCCATTTACATCGGGGTATGCTCGGTTTATAACATCCCTTATCTGTTTTGATGTCCACGTTATAAATCCAGGGCACGGATTAAATTAACTAATAAAAAACTTATTTTGGTTAAACACCATAGATTCTGTCAATTACTATAGTTTTTCTGGTTTAGCAAAACGGGTCAGACTTAATGAAAGTTGATTACCTTTGTTATTGTACATTGTTCGGTACATATTTTGTATTCCCGCCCACTTTCTCTGCAGTCATTATAGCACACACTGAACACGCTGTCACACTGTAGGACATTAACCGACATATAATTTGATAACCATTTACAATAACTACACACAATGCGTTAACAAACATTATGTGGTGCGTCCGCTACATCTCAGTGCGATTAAGGCGATTAAGATATTGTGATTACTTTGAGAAAATGTAGAAATAAATATGCCAAAAAGTGACTGAAACGCTGCCAATCTGTGAAGTAATTAAGAAAATGAATATGCCCCCTATCTCACACATATGGAGACATTTCTTATCAATCAGGCCGTATTGAATCAATGCTTTCCTTAATAGAAAACAACTAGCTTTTGATCGATAAATTAGGAATCTGACCTTATTTTGACATCGATTAGCGACGATGCAATGAGTTTTTATTTATTGATACTATTTTGAACTTCATGTTTATAATTTATCGGTGCATGCATTGTAATATGCGTACTTGTTCCACATTGTTAATACAATAAATATGCAATAGGCTCTTATGCAAGATGTTATAAAACCGTTGACTTTTTGATTTTAGATTATACACGCGAGTAATGTTTAAATAAATAACATAGTAACATACTTATTTGAAATGTATTTATAGACAGACGAGTCATTGATTCAAATGATTCTTAAATTATAAAAGAACACACCCACCTTGACAACATTGCAACATGAAATTACATAAGCGAAATAAACGTGTATTATCCAAAGACTCATTTCTCATCATTAAATTAAGTTGTCATCTGGAACGGACATAGTTAACAATTTAATCCGTCTCTTATTTCGTATAATGATAACATGTTTATCAAGAAGTTTGTTTGCTGAAAAAGACAGCGTTTTGGTTCATTTGACAAATAAATATTTTATTTAATAAATGTCAATGTATATTAATGTTATTCAAACGCAAATCAACATAAAGTATGAAGTAGCTGTAGCAATACCCGTACGGGCACCATTCGCCATCGTGTCGCTAATTTCCGGCACCATAACTAGCTCAGATCTGTGTAATGGGGGATATCTTGCTGTTTTGCCCACCGTGTATCAATGCCGTACGCCGCCGTCTGCCCAAAAGTGTTGATACGGTTGCGAAAGATGAACTAAAAATTATTTAATGTGACTGTTCCAGTAGGGATCACTGATCGTATTGTCCCACATAGCAAGATACATATCCAGGGGGTCTCCCAAAGCTCAGTGTTGGTATTGGGTCAGGCGATATCTATGTAATAGGGCTTGCAGGACCATGATGGGATAGCTAATATGTTAATCCCCCAATACCAAATACTACACGAATACCTTGATATTGGAACTTGGCTAGATGTCACAATTAACATCTATACACGTGCAATGCGTATTGGACCACAAATAAAGTTATACGTAATAAGGTTGTTGTTTTGATGTATCCCTTCATTTTAACAAATGTATGTGGGTCTCCATCGTTGTTACTAGTACATGATGAATTTGCTACTTATCGTCATAGAATTGGCCTCTCGTAGTTGTTCAGCATGTTTTATGAAATATTTCTTGAGTAGGCAAATCGTCTATTAATTTAACGAATGTGAGATAGTATCGTATTGGGACGATTAATAATAGTGCTAATGGCAACTGTTTTTAAACATTCTGTTTCCACAACAATAATGAGGAATTATTTTGATTATTGGCGTCTTGAACATATGATGGTCACAAATGTGTGCGCCAAGAAATTGTAAAACATCTGCCTACATCTCGTGAAATCGTGGAAAAATATTAAGAAATGTACCTCCAAGGATGTACCATTTTGATACCCATATTGATCCGTTTAAGTAACCAGTTTGAAGACTTCTTTTACAGTGACTATTTAAGGTACATATCCCTCGCAGCATAATTGACCCGACGTGAAATTTTGTTTCAAAATTAATGTGTATCTTGTTGATTTTCTGAGCTTTTAAACATTGTTTTTGTACTTTTATGTTTTTGATAATTTTGATTTGTTTTTAAATAACCGTTTATGTATGTTCTTGGGCGAAACTGCATTAACATTACTGATTCCTGTCAAAGCAAAAACACAAAAACAAACACAGACACACAGCACCATATAAGGTTCCAGATGGTGAAAAAGAGTGGGCGATCCAGAAACTTGGAACAATACTTCATATATTCAATCTCCTTAAAAAGTCATGTGCAATCTTATGAAATGATGAGGTAATTTTATACAGGGTGTCCCGAAAGTATGCCCCCCCCCCCATAGGCAGACATATACCAGTGTCGTCATAGTATGTGTCATATATCATTTTAAAGCAATATCCAAAGTTACATTGATTCGCCAAGTATCATGGTTCAACATTCAAATGTGAAAAACTTACACGCATTTCAAAGTGCATTTCAAAGGCATACTTTAGGGACACCCTGGGGTTAATGTCTGCAGGGGATTCGTTTCTTTTTTAGCTTGCGCCACAGATATAAGACACTTTTTGAAGTAAATCCCGAAGGTGATTGTGGGTATTGTATCTCAAAATGTCATGATCCTTTTTTACCCCCTGGGTCACCTCGATTTGACCTTTGTTGACCTACTTTTTCAAAGAATACAATGATTTTCCGAAGAGTAATTGAATAAAGATTAACAACAATACCAACATTGAAATCAGACGAGTAATAAAAATCGCAGAGGGGGTCAGGAATCCAAATGAACCCCACACTCTCTTGTGACTTTGTTATGAAAAAAAGATTGCAGACATTAGGGTTGAAGCGTTAAACGTATCAATCATTCTAAATAATGAATGTCGATTCAATATTCACGTGAAGAAACTTTAACACATAAAGCTATTAAAGTTTTCTGGTTGTAACCAACATATCCCCTGGAGAAACACGTTTTTTAAACCCCTCTAGTACGAGCTAAGAAACTACAGCATATAAGCTGACAAAATAACACAGCTTACGAGATCATAGCCATTAATCGAGAGTATAATTATATATTAAAATACGATTAATCAACTAATAAATTAATTGGACGATTTTTTATCCTGCTTGTATTTATAAATCCTTCATCTCACGCACGAATACAGTGGATCTTTTAAAATGTCCAATATACCAGATATCGCACTCTGAGGCTCCAGGATATCAAATATTTTATCAGTTATTGCTTTAATTTCATTTTCAAGACTCTCCTTAGTTTTTTCCTCAACCTTATGCGGTACTTGAATATATGCTATGGAAACATTATTCGCTTTCAGTTGGTTCGCAAATTTTATCGTATCATTTCGTCGAGTGACCGGCGCTGTCCTTCCATCTCCGAATACGATCATCAAATCTTTGTATTTCCCGTCTTCCCGATCATTAGTGCCGTTGAAGAACTTTTTGTTTGCGTACCTGAAGGCAATCCATGTTTTTGTCCTGCACACCGAGGGTGTCGTATCGAGTTTGCTAAATTTATCACTGAATGATAGCGCTCCCTTTTCTTGGTCTCCAAAATCAAAATCGATATGCTGTGTCACCACCCCGTCATAAACGATCGCACCCAAACAGGCGCCATTCTCGGCACCTACAACGAGGCTGTTGCTGATCGCTTCTACTAGTTTGATTGCTGCGTCTTTGAATTTCTTTCGCACGGAGCAAGAGCCATCAAGTACGATCACAATGTCTGCACATGCTGAAACAGTGAATTAAAGGATAATTTATATAAAAATGTACATTTTAGTGAAACAAGTGCCTTGGTCAATATATCAATATATTTCCATAATATATCTTCGGTAATATAACATGAACGCGAATTTTCATATTTGCTATAAAACATAGATTAGATATACTGTAATAAATTAAAACAATATATTCCCCTTCATCACAGAAAATTCAGGGAGTAAGTATTATTGTTTATCTTTTTGAACATAAGTTTGCATTTTCAAGACTTAAAAAGAGTAGACATTTTGATGGACATTGATTCATTGGTGTTTGAATCCTTCATTCGAATCGTATTGTTCATAACTACTGTAAACGAAAAGATAAATAGTTACTACGATTATGAATGATTAATACAATTATTTTTGTTTCATTCGCTATTACAACAATAAAATTATCTATATATTCCAAACACAGCGAGTCAAATCAAAACGATATAAACGATTTGAAAATATTTTAAACTCCATGTGGCATTGTCTGTAAGACATGCCCAATACTACGGAAGCAGTTAATTCCTCGGTTGGAAATATATGTGAGGCACAATAGACACAGACATGATTTACAGAGTCACGTTTGAGTTCGCCAAAATAAGTTTATGATAACTTTACATTAGAATACGCTTATGTAAGATTGTATTCATTGAACAATTAATAACCATTGGACTGTAAATTAATGAATAGATAATTGAAATTAAAAATAAATGAGTTGATAATACAGGGTGGTAGAATAAAACGGCAACCCTATCGATATTTTCCTCATATCTTTGTCATTTTAGAAAAATACTCCATGATATTTGGTACATGTGTACATCATTCAATCTCTTACCAGCCTACAATATTTCACGATTAACAGTTACAATGTTACAGCACTTTAAACAACATGCTCCAGAGGCCAATATTGTGCTGTGGGCAAACCTACACCCGTCGTCCAAAATGTTCATACCTGACTTCAACCTGTGGACAATTACACACCTCAAAAAGGAGATCATAATTGTCATTCAGGTCATCTGAGGATTGCAGTTGTGTCATAGACAACTGTACACATTTGCCTATAAGCGCGATGATGGCCACACCTGGGGCATGTTGTTTGAAGTGCTGTAACATTGTGACTATCAGTCTGATGGTCATATTTGATAGGCTGGTAGGAAATTGAATGATGTACACGTGTGTAAAATATCAGGGAGTGGTTCCCTGAGATGACAAAGACATAAGTAAAATACAGGGTTGCCGTTTTTTTGCCCACTCTGTATATCCAAACTCCATGTCACCCAGACACTATTTGTATAAATAGAAAATTGCAAATGAGCAAATTAAATCATACCAATTTTTAACAAAGTCGTCATTGGTATTGACAAAACATCTTATTATTGCTTTGTGTGTACTTGGCTAGGTTTATTAAATGGATTTAAAAGGAAACTTTACCAGCAACTTTTTTGATGAATATTACCATTGGAATTGCCCAAAGGTTTAAGTATTTATAAAACCATTAGAGGGTAAATGACCAAAAGAGGGCATATTTTCCAATTATCACCCCTTGTTGTAAGTTCAATTTCCTTCATATAATGAATATATAGCAATATACTTGTAGAAACGGTGTATACCAAAAAAAACGCATTCAGTAAGAATGTATTGGCTAAATGTTCATTGATTTGTTGAGGGAAGCTACGTTTAACTTGAAAACATGCATTCAAAAGAGATTTCGTGCAGGTGAAGGGATCCGAAATTATATGTTAATGTTACTGAAGCTTCCTGTACTAATACCTGTGACAATCGGGTATCCGATGACGGGAAAATCAGGTACAATATCCGAGGAGCGCCCTTCAATAGGCGGGTCAACGATATTGCCATCATAGCTGCCAATTTCGGTTGTGGTCGTTTCAGGTGTCGACGTTGTGGTAGGGCTAGGTGTTGTCGTCGTCGTCGTTGTTGTTGTGGTAGTAGTTGTCGTTGTTGTTAAAGTTCTTCCTTTGCATTTGAATCCAAATTTAGCTCGTCTTATTTGTCCGCCAGTAATAAGACATTTATATATGTTCTGGCTCAAACCAGCTGCATTAATAACGTCCGTATCAACAGTATACGTTACCTCCTCTCCATCTATTATGAACGTAAGTCTGGTCGTTTCACCTTGAGTCACTATACCGGCTGGTTCAACCGGTTCATCAAGTTCCTCTAAGGGCTCTGGATCGAGTGTAGCATTGGCATTATCCAGCGGTGCGCCGAATGTAAATGCAAAAATAGTGGTACTGACCAAGGCAATATAAAATCCTCTCATTGTCGCCATTGTGCTAGGTTTTAAATAAACATAGTGTCAGATTTAAAATAGATCCAACATTAACACAACAATTAGTTAACAAATTAAAACCTAAGAGTAAAAGGATCAACACAAAAGGAGTGGATTGATATCGCTATAAATATCACATATCTATGCCTATTGTTTGAAAATCCCTTGACATTACCAACCGAAGCATTGTTTAATTTGACAATTATTGTTTTGTTAATATCGGAATTTCAAGATCAAATAGTCATTAATTTAAGGTTATCCTTACAACAAAATGTCAGCGATTATAAACCAAATACGATGACTGTCATACCAATCCATAAACTATATTGTTTATGTTACATAGTTTTTACGATATTGTTAAGCAAACATTAAAATGTAAACATATTCATTTAAGTGTGATTGCAGGCGGATGAATAAATCGTGGCTTACCTGTAATCACTGCAAACCGTACTAGTGAACGTTTTGATAAATTATGAACCAACATATATTTAAAGTAATTTTAGCATTGTCTCTAAAAAACTATTTGCACTGGGGCTACCGAATTTTATCCTCTGAAATACAACGAATGACAGAATGCACCTAATTTCAAATCGTGTCTGTATCCCAGGCAATTAGCGTGCATTTACTGTACCTAAAAATGAGACAAATATGTAGATTAATAATCCTACTCCTCCCGTGGTATTTTATAACTTTATAAAGAAACTTCGAAAAGCATTTGATAGATAAACTGAGATGTAAAAATCGTTATTAATCAGAATCTGAACAATCATTCATAATATGAAACATATAATTACACCACCCCGTCACGTGCAAACAATTTGTCAATACATTTTGATAGACTTCTTTGACACAATGTGTTTATTAGAAAGGATGTTTGTGTTGTCGGTTCTTGGTATTTGTTATCATTAACATGTTATGATATTCAAATGTAAGTAAATCGTTGTCAAATGGCCATCAATTATACAAGCATTCATAAATACAGTAATGACATCTCCCACAAACGATCACTCATCGTTGTTTAATCGATATATATGATTATCGCTATTTCATTCAGAGGACAACAAATTAAAAAAGATATTTCAGGTGACTCGCAGTGCCTACATGTAGTTTCTCAAAGTACAGCGGTTATGCCTGGGTCACATTTGCTCCGATCCATCGGCAGGCGCCCGGCCGATTGAGTGTTTTGTTCAATATTGTATTCAATTTTGAACAAAATACTCAATCGGCCGGGCGCCGTTGTGAAAATCGGAGCAAATGTAACCTCGCAGACAATTATGATGTAACTCATCCCTCAAAGGGTACCGCCTTGCAGAAAGGTATGACGTAACTTGTGTACCACAGTGTCCTTGACAGCGCCATCTATTGGTCATATTGCATACTCCTTATCTACAACTGACGTCACACATTGCTCAGGTCGATAGTAAAATGAATGCCTTCTAAACTATCTCTAAAACCCCTAGAACTGGCCCAGTGTAACAGATCTAAGTGTCCCACAGTGGTCAGTGTCCGTGGGACAGCCAACCCTTGGGATCGGTGTCCGTAAGATATCGAAATCGATGATCGGCATCTCCCTACTGTGGCGTAATGGTATAAGCGTTGGTATAACGTGTATTTATTATTGTGTTTGTATCTATTAGGTTCCAGGTTCGAATCCTGCTTTGGTATATCTTGTCTAAATATGGTAACCGTCTACACTGTTCATATTGTATTGTATGCTTATATTGTTCTCAGAGATTTTTCATATTGATCTGTAGGCCTATTTACTATTCTGTTATATCATAAGCGATATCGTACGACCAACATTATTGTTTAAATATTTAGTTGGAGGAGTATTTTGAACACATGTGCATATGAATTAATAAGCCCCTGAATCTACATTACTATGTAACTCAAGTAGATTTGAATTCACCCATGGACAAGTAGTAAATGGATATTATGGTTTATACTTTAAATACAAGGGTTGTTCAAAAAGTTTTGCAAAATATATCGAATTATAAAAATAATGAACAATACTTGTAGGTATGTGCCCCATCTTATTCCCTTACTCTGTCGAGAGTTCATGTATACCTCTACTCCAAGACTATGGTTCATATCATTTTGTAAAATAAAACCAGTAACATATAAAGAACAGTCAATAATACTACACATGATAAATTTACTTACATAAACTGGCAACTAAATTTTTCTTGTTTTTCTTCGGTTATGCCAAAGAAAGACTGTGACTATACTTTTCAAAAGAAGACTACATATTGGGTACTACATTTAGATTAAATATAAATTAGTCATAACACAACCTGACTAACAGCTGAAAAAACAAAGATTGACTGAACATTTCCCGCCAATTATGGCATCCACAAAATCAATTCAATTAATGACGTCATGGGCCTATTGGTTCAAATTTTAAAGTCAATGTTCCTCAGGAAATACATTGCTTCAGCAGATGGTCCCGAAATTTCATTTATGTTTGTAAGAAGGATGACACTATATCTCTATCAAATTTCATGTAAAAATAGTAAAATCTCTTCTCTTGAGAAGCTTTCGTGCAAAACTATTCAAGCGACCCTTGAATTTAGGATTATTTTATATAGGCGATAAAATATGACCTATGCTCATTAGTAGCAGAGGACAGTGAGTCCATAGGTTAATGTAAACTCACTTGAAGTACATGCAAATAAAAGCAATGTCTACTTACTTTTTGTGAATTGTGTTATATTTGGTCTATATTTAACGTAACAGAGTAGTGCTCGATGATGTATTTATGATAAAACGCATCATTTTTATCAGTTGATACATAAATAAAGGGGAGGGGCAATTCCGTTTTTGGAACGAGACTACTGTACTTGGACGTCAAGTCGAGTCGAGTCAAAGTAAAAGTCAAGTAAAAGTCAAGTTAAAGTCAAGTTAAAGTCAAGTAAAGTATGACAATGATTATGTGTCAAACTTCATCTTAATTCAAGAAAATAGTCAATCGATTCAAATTATAAGTAACCCTAACGCGTTTTGTCAAACTGCGTGTAGGCACAACACTACAACAATATACCATAGGTCATGATGTTTTAATTTTATATTGTAGTTTTTTCCTCTAAATAATCAACCATCTTAAAATATAGAATAGCTACAGCACAGTGTGTCATGATTGGCTATGCCGCCTGGATACGACATTTCATTAAAAAGTTTATGTTAATAAAGATTTCGCTCATAAGTGAAAGAACAATTCACGTTTATTTGTGTAGCTATACGCTATGAGTGAATTGAAATTTGACGTTTTGCCAAAAGATGTATGTCTTTACTTATCGATTAATTCTAATGTTCTTTCAAAAAGAACGTCTCATAAAGGATGGTTCATTATAAATGAATAGAGTTGTGCAACAAATGATGACATACAGTCACACTTTTATAAGTTATAAACACGAGGGTTTTATAAACATGCTGTAAGTGAGTTGTAAAATTTCTTAAAATGCTCTGATCAACGTTTTACCGAACAAAATTTCGACAACACGCATGTATTCGAAAGTCCCATTGTTATGCAAATTTATATATTGCATGCTTGAATATTACACATCAAGAAGCAATACAAGAAAATCGATTTTTAAGATGCATGAGAATACCACTCTTTGCGGCGTCCATGTCTAATATTGAATATATCATGCTAGTATTTGTCACAACCTTTTTTATCTCATTTTCCAAACCGAACTCTGTCTTTTCTGGTACCTTATGGGGTAACTGTACCCACATTATAGTGACGTTGTTATCTTTCAGTTCCTGGGCTGCTCTTAATGTCTTATAACCCATTTGATCCGGTGCCGTCTTTCCATCACCAAATACGATCATGACGTCATTATAATATAGGTCATATCGATCATGTGGATATGAAAAATATTCGTTATTTGCATATTCAAAACTAATCCATGTTTTTGTTCTGCATATAGATGGTCTAGTATCCCGAAATGCGTCTATCCTTGAACTAAAATTATTTGAAGACCTCACGTGATCATCAAACTCAAACGGTATATGGTGCGTTACTTCTCCATCGTACACAACAGCCCCGACGCATGCGCCGTTCCAGGGATCCAAAAAGAGACCGTTGGCAAGACCCTGGATTAGTTTAAGTGCATTTCGTTTGTGATATGTTTTCATTGAGCAGGAATTGTCGAAGACGAATACAATGTCAGCACAAACTACAAAATTATGAACATTATATTATCCACATAATTTTAAACAATAGTATAGGTTTCTTTAATTTTTTCTTTCTTTCAAGTTTTCCAATTGTAACTACTAAATTTCTCAAGGTAGTAAATGAAATTGTTGTGTTACGATGATTTATAATAAATTTACAGTGTACAATACTATAAAGGGGCAGGTGCAAGCTTTTTGAGACAGCTCTTGCTTAAGTTATAATAATCATTTGACCGCAAAAATATGCACTTGTTTGGCAAATGTGCTATTTTCAATAAGGGGCAATAAAATGAAAGTAACGGTGAACGGATTATCTCTTAAACTGTCCTTAATCCACTCATCTTCACCAATTTTCCGCAATTATGAGCCAATTTTTAGCAAAAATGCAGCATTTTGTTCCAATTTTTAGGACTAAATTGAAATGTACTATAAGTCATGATTTAATTCTGAAAATGAAAAGTGAGTCCCCTTGGGATTAGGATAATCAGGAAACAATTGCCTTTTTGTGGGATAAAAACTAAACATTGCGGATTTGTTTAATATTTCTGTAAAAACATAAGACCCCGCTACTCTTTTTGAGTTGGACAGAGGTTATTCTTACAATAGTTCTTACTTCTTCTTGCATATATTTTACTAGTTAGTAAACAAAAATATATATATATCAATTCGGTATTACCTTGATGTGGGGGTAATGGGTCACTCATCGGATTCAATGTAGTTGCCGGAACTTTTGTCTTTCTTTGTGTCGTAGTACTTGGTGTTATTGTTGTTGTTATAGTTGGTCTTGTTGTTGTTGTTATGGTTTTCCCTACGCATTTTACTCCGAAAACAGTGCCAACTATTTCACCACCGTTTAACAAGCATTTAAATATATTGCCTTTTAAACCTTCTGGTGTAACTATAGCTGACGGTACCTCAAATGTCATATCCTTTCCATTTACCTTATATGTAAGATAGGCCGTATAATCCACTATCTCCACCATTGCTGGTCTGACAAAATCATCAGCGGTGGCTTGATTTAAACGTCCAATAGTTGCAAATAGTAAAAAACACGTCAATAATGTCCTAAAACCCACCATTGTGCTCAGAAATATAAATCTAAAGCATATGGTTGTGAGGTGTGAAAACACATATTTTAAATGAAAAGAAAAACTATAAATACCCACCTAATTTATGAACAACAAACAATAATATCGCTCAGGATGATGATTGTTTATGAGTTGGGACATCCTGACATTCGTAATATACGCTACCACCCCCCCCCCCCGAAGATGACAAAATTGAACTCGATAGAGAATATTCACGGACAATTTAGTTCTTTGTTTTAAACTTTCATTACTTGTGCCGACATTTTTTAGTTAGTTTCGTTGCAACCTATCAAATTTAAAATTAAAAAGCTGTGATAGAGTTGTAAAGGAGTGATTGCCAATAAACCAACACCTTTTTACGTATTATAGATACAAACGTTTTAGGATATGCACATCCATTATAGTGTCAGGATGGGTTCATACCAGTCCACCCGTATAGCGCAGCGGTAACGTTTGTACCGATTTCGCAATAGGTCCGGGATTCGATCACCGCTTCAGGCAAGACTTAATTCACTTATTTGCCCTTAGTACTTTAGCGTGTCTGACTGGCTGTTCCACATCTCTTACAAAAGGTCGTGGTATGTACTTGTATTACTATGCATGAGCGCATATAAAATAACACAGTGTTCCTTGAGGGAGGGGTTCACCATCATTCATGGTAAACAAAATAGAATACATTACAACCAGTGTATTCAGTGCCTTTTCCTGGTACTACGTCACATTTGCTCCTATTTATCGGCCGGCGCCCGGCCGATTGAGCAATTTGTTTAAAATTGGAGGTCAAATCTCAAATGTGAGGTCAGATGTAAACTTCTGAGAACTTGACAATAATTCTTTAAAAAGTTTTGTCAATTTGTAGCAAGTTGAAATCAGTTTTAAACAAAGTACTGCAATCGGCCGGGCGCCGGTTGATGAATCGGAGCAAATTTGACCCGGGCAATAGTGCAAATACATGTAAGTGGAAAATAGTTAATACTCGCAAATTAGTAAAAGGTTTGTGATATTAATCTCATTTGATGATACATTTACAGCACCAAGCATTTGTCATGTGTTATTGTGAAACAAATGTCGTGATGACATTGCCATCTAAACTACAAATGTTAGAGTTAAACAGTACATTGACATTAAAATCTTTTGAATTCTGATTTGTTGGGACACATTGAGTGAAATATTTTGAACGGGTCCATGCATCGTGTTTTGTGAAAAAAATATAGAAAATTACATGCCGAAGTACAATGGTTTTATATTAACCGCAAATATACAACAAGTTATGTAGTGGCTATTTATTACAATAAAAGAATTAAATAACAACAACACCATATGACTATAAACAAGAAAACAAATTGTTTAGATGCATCAGTATACCATCTTTCGCAGCTTCAACATCCAAGATTGAATAAATCATGCTAGTTTTTGAAACAACCTTCTTAATCTCAATATCCAAACTTAGCTCAGATTTTTCTTGTATTTTATGAGGTACTTGTACCCACATTATTGTAACGTTGTTATCTTTCAGTTCCTGGGCTGCTCTTAACGTTTCATCCTTTCTTCGTCCTGGTGCAGTTTTTCCGTCTCCGACAACGATCATGGCGTCATGATAGTACATATCATATCGGTCATTAGGAAACGTAAAGTATTCTTTATTAGTAAATTCAAAACTAATCCAAGTTTTTGTTCTGCATATAGATGGCCGGGAATTCCCTAGAGTGTTCAACCTTGAGCTAAAGTTCTTTGACGACCCTTCGTGGTCTTCAAACTCAAACGGTATATGATGCGTGACGTCACCATCGTACACGACTGCACCTACACATGCACCGACCCATGGATCCAATGTGATACCATCGACAATGCTTTGGATAAGATTAAGTGCGTCTTTTTTGTAGTGTTTTCTCATAGAACAGGAATTGTCAAAAACAAATACAATATCGGCACATATTAAACCTAGAAAAAGAGATACTGAAGGTTAGAGTCTGTCATCACATTTCATTTCGAAAATTTTGCTTACAGTGTTTACTACTTCATGGAGATGCCGTTGACTAGTTACGAAAGAGATTGAACAAATCAAACACATAATGTTGTGGATTATGATACGTTTCTTTGTTTACTTGAATAGCTACAGTACCTAGTATTTATATGTAAAACGAAATACAGGCTTCTTCTAATTTATCAATTCAATTTGCAAAGTGTCAAGCTAGGTTTTGATAAATTGAAAAATAGATATTTGCAGGGACTTTAATGTATGTTACACATATATTCACAAATCGGTGGTAAACTAGTTTTTTCCAATAATCTTTAATTTCCAATAAAACTGTATATTATCACTAGGCTAAAGTTACATTAAATATATTAGATATCATACACACACCATTTTCAAACGATTCACCTCGTTTATTAAAGTGTTACCTTTGTTCGATTGTAACTAGTTTCTGTACTAAGGGTCATTACCTTGAAGTTGTGGTATTCCATCCTCCATTTCAGGTATTCTCTTGGGTTTCGTGGTTTTCCTAGGTTTAGTGGTAGTCGGTTTAGGAGTGGTGGTGGTGGTGGTTGGTGGTGTTGTTGTTGTTGTCGTCGTCGTCGTTGTTGTTGTTGTTGTTGTAGATGTTGTAAGTGTTTTTCCTTTGCATTTCACACCTAGAACAGTAGTCACGATTTTCCCTCCATTCACTAGACACTTAAATATATTCCCGGCTAAACCTTCAGGTGTAACTACCGCAGATGGTACTTCGAATTTCGCCTCGTGGTCACCCACTTTGAATGTAACAATAGTCACATCGCCGACACGTTCAACAGCAGCTGGTCGTACATACTGATCCTCATCGGCTGATATCTGCGTTTGACTAATAATTGTAAATAGTAAGATACTCCTCAGAAATATATGAAAACTGACCATTTTGCTGAGAAGGGAGTTTTCAATTATGAGATTAACGACATTATCTAAATATCGACCTCATTATACATGTACGACTGTCTGTATTGCATGTAGACATAGTTAACAGTAAACACTTTGACAATCTGGCATTATGAAGTTTCTTAAGATACATTTGTAAATATTTTGAAATGTACATCCCCCGAAATAGACATGGAAAGGTATAGACTAATTATTAGGAATATGATGGTATAAACAATTGGTGTAGGCCTAATCAACTAAATAAATCTATAAATTACCAGCCACAGATCGAAGTAAAAATATAATTAAATAATTAATTTGTCACATGAAAATATAGAAAAGAAGTTACATACTCAAATGAAAATACATTCTGTACATTAAATCGGCCAACACACATCTATAACTCTTTATATCATTCTCTTAAAACACTGTACTTAAAACAGCCCCTTCGACAGATATGTTCCAAGATAATCCCAAATGTTGTACATGACAATACCAATGGGGCTGTCGAGTTGGCCGGGAGGGCTTGAGTGCCAGCATGTTCAGACTAGGCGATTGGGCGCCGTAACCACGAGGTTGCGAGTTCTAGACGCGTGTGCTCCTTGTGTTTATTCATATACAATCCATGACTTGTCGAGTTTGTGTGTCGTTGATAGTGGGAGAGACTGTGAGAGAGTGTTGCTTTGTTCATCTGTTATTTGTTCGGGAATCTTTGACTTGCGTATTTGCATGTGACTGCATGTGTAAAGCGAATACAAATAGCTACTAGAGGGTACTGGATTAGCCTACTATTTTATGAACAACTTATTTAAATATGAGTAGTACCTGCCACTATTCAATTCATAGTAGCCCGGACAGAATTGTTCAATGGTCACTTTTTCTCAAATAACTTTTTTTAATTTTCAGTATTATCATAGTCTGATCACATATTTGAAAACTAGAGTAAAATTCTGACATACAAAAAAATATTTAAAGAACATCTCCTAATTTATTGATATTATAGGCGTTCGTAGTATGACTGACTCAAATATATTATTCATCATTTTTCCTCACATTTGTTCAAAATGGCGGCATATTTTGTGAATTTGAGTGTTCAATTAAAAGTTAATATTTAAAGATTGTCACATGACTATAGGGCCATGCTGCCACTGTTACAATCCTGATGTAATGCAGCAACTGACCAATCATCAAATACAAGAAGTCAACTACCTCCAAGGGTAAATGAAATCAACTCTATTGAAATGTTCGGGGTTGTGTTCAAAAGGATGTGAAAAGGTGGCGCTCCAATGTGTGGGGTGTTATGAGAGTAGGTCCTCAATCTTTTCAAGAGCTCCAAACAGCCATCTCAGAGGCCACTGAAAAGCTGAAGAACAATTTACATGCATGCCAAGGATGAATTAAGAGGTGTGTGGCTGGGAAAGACATTACAAACTGTGGCAGTATGACCCTATAGTTGCACAGGTTAAACGAATTAGTGTTGCTAATCCACTACGAGTAACAATGGAATGGCCAAAAAACTGTTAAGTCCTGCGACCTAACCAATATACTGTACATACAATGTACAAACCTTTTAAGTAATGGTATACTTACAAGTCAATTTAAAACAAAAGGTTATAAATGCAGTCATTACCTCATACCAAAGCAGCAGTCTACATGATTTCGTAGGCCTATGCCATTTCTTAAATATTAACTTTCAACTGAACATTCAAACCACAAAATATGCCCCCATTTTGAACAAATATGAGACGAAATGGTGAATTATGTATTTTTGTCACTCATACTATGAACGCCTATAATATCAATAATTTAAGGGATGTTCCTTAAATATTTTTTTTGTATGTCAGAATTTCACTCTAATTTTCAAATGTATAATCAGATTTTGATAATACTGAAGATTAAAAAAGTTATTAAAGAAAAATTGACCATTGAACAATTCTGTCCGGGCTACTATTTAAATGAGTTGGTCATAAAAAAAGTAGGTTAATCCCGTAGCCGAAACCGAAAGTTGCTTTCCCGAATACAAGCTTAGATTTTTTAGCTCGATAATACTGACAATGCCTTTGAAGGGAGATGGCTATAAAGGTTAAAGGTCAGGGTCACATGAACTTCGTCAAATCATATGATGATTGCGTTTGAAATCAAACAGCCATTTTTCAAATTTCCAAACTTATTTTCAATGAGTCTATTCATGAAGCATTTTCCAATCAATCATTATCATGATGTATATAGATTAATAGTTTTATTTCAAGGCTAAAGTGATCTAGATTATCTATCTGCATACATCATTAATGAGAATGGAGACAGTCTAAATAAAAACTGTAAGATTTAAAGCGCGTGTTTCCTCTGCTGTAAACTTCTTGTAAATTGAATTTCTATGATAGTATACGAACTGACTGGGCGGTCCAGCCGGTGAAATATTGTTCCAAGTCTTATAAACAGCTGATAGGGAGACTAGAACGCAGAGGGATTAAAATAACCCGTTCGATACCAGTGTACGGTAATTAATTATCTGTGATTACATAAAAATGGTCCAAAAATAATATGACAAGTATAGTGGTTTCTGAAAAATAGAAGTAAGAAGACAGGCGAATTATAGTAAGACTTAGTATCATGGATTTCGAAATTGCGTTTTGTTAAAACGAGCATTTCACTTTCACCCATTCTCAATAAGAATGCAAAATCGATGTCCCAGGGCTCAATCTCAGCATTAACATTACCAACATCACTTTTTGTTGTATATATAAATAGTACATATGACCCTCTACCTAGCACATATGTAATATATAATTTCTCAGTTACACCTATTTTATTATATGTACTAGAATAGGGCTTTTCATCAGTTACGTGACTGTCGCCATATCAAAAATAAGGATTGTATGGTGCCATTAGAACACTTTTCATGCGTTACATCCCATATAAAGTGGTGTTTTATACACAGGACGATCCCAGCTTCTGGTTAAATGACAGAAACTATCATTTTAACATATTTACCATGTTGAAAATGTTCCTTGACAAATGTCGCCAGACTTTTTTATATCAACCCCCTTGTGCTATAAATCATATAAAAACTGGTGAAAAATTAATGTTTTATATGTGCCATATTCGTATCTGAATCCCAATTTGAATACTTAATAGAACGTCGTACAAGTTGATATTTGAAACGTTGAGATTTGGGGGCCAGAAAATTATAATTCCCGTTTTTCATGAAGTTATAGATAAGAAAATCATTTACGTGATCATAGTTTCCACAGGCAATAAGTGTCTGAGCATATTAATGTTATATCACCTTATTGTATGGTAGGAGTGACCCTGGCTGATCAGTATTTTTAATTAAATTGACATTGTTTGAATATAATACAGCCAGCAAAAGGGTATTTGCATCATTTACGACACCATCATTTACGATACCTAGTAGTACGAAAATAACGGTTACCATACTCCTAGCTCTGAATAAAGTTTATAAAGCGGGAAATTTGAGTATCCATATTCATTTGAATCTGAATAAAGAAACACTACCACCTTTTTAGAGTAAATCCACACAATTTAAGGTATATATCACACCTAATATAGTATCTCTCTTGTTAAAAGAAGATGTAGTGTTAATTTGATGTTATCTATGGCATAAACACAGTCGGTATAAATGTGAAAATGAACATAAAAACACTTTTCTATCATTCATTTTGAAGTGAACCTATAGTCTTGCGTTTTCTATGTCATAAATTACGTTACCCATGGTAACGTAATTGATAAATTCTATTGCACACATTTTCTATCGTCAAATCTTTACAGATATGTTCATTTATCAACTTGTACTTTTCGTAGATGGGAAAGCATCCTGCTGAAATTCAAGAAGACTATCGTGATAGGAAAAAAGCACCAAATAGAGCGTGCTCGGGTTCATAAATACATTGTCTCAATAGCTGCGTGCACTATCTGAAAAGATAAAGACCATAAAAGAAAAAAATATGTCATTGCGTCCGAGACATGTTATGTTAGTCTCAGATAGCGTAATAATACAGACAAATCAAAAAGAAGAAAACTGTTAGCAATGACCCAAGTAATGCCGATAACAATGATTGTGACCGTGTTTATGACAGTGGTACAAGTAACACACAATTTATAGTTCATATAAATTTTGCCTGGAATTTTGCAAGAGGACATGCATGGCTCTTTAGAAAACGGATAAGTAGAACTTGGGGACGTACGTACCCATAAGAAAACAAAGCTCCCTGAACATAGATAAACAGGGAAAAAACAATCACAAATCATTCCCAAGGATCTTACAGAAGCAGAGAAAAATAGAATGAAGGGTCCAAGCACGCCAAAAACACCAAAGAGTGCAGGGGAAAAGTGATGCGATGCACATTTTAGCATAGTGATATCCCTAGAGTTGAGGAGAAGATTACAACGAGGAAAACACGTAGTTGAAGAGGCGAAGCAGACGCAACATGACTGGCGGGGAAATGCCTGAAAAGTGTTCAAATCTAGTTGATATAATATTACTAAAGGCGATGGAAGATGATACAAGCTTAAGGGCCTTGCTTGGCTGGACAAAAATGAAATGAGTACTCGACGTTTACCACAAGCAAAGGAATATTTTGTTGAAGCAAATAAACAGTGTTAAAAGTGCACCGCACAAAATGAAACGAACCAGGAATGACATACAAGAAGAAACAACCAAGAGTATTCTGACAGGGCCATCATGCGGACTGAGAGTGGAGATAAAGAGCTACATCTTGGCGATTTTTTTCACTGCAGTTTACAATACTGTTGGTATGTCGAAAAGGCACTGCATGTGATACTGATGATGATAAATACTATTTTTTAGGAAAAGAAGAATCTCCAATGGTCTCTAGAATGTTACGTTATTTGGATGAGAGTCTCAGATTTTGAGTGTGTAGTAGAAGAGTCAATCCCAACAGGGAAGTTTAAAGGGCTATTTAAACTCTAGATCTGTGTCCTGAGATTTAAACTCATGTTCTATGGGATCTATATGTCCAAGCTAGGATTTAGAAACGTTTTCAGGAGTTCATATGTACCAATGATATAAGAGTAGACACTGAATGTTGTTACTTTTTGACGATAATCACAAATTATATAGTATAGTTTTGATCTTGTGATTGTAAGTTTTGTAATCACTTACGTTACAAAGGATTTAGCATTACAAATGTGTGAAGAAAGATTATGTCCCTTTAATCCTGTATATATTCATTCCAACATATAGCGTATGTGACAATATATTAATTCATTACGTGTTTTGTGCATAAATAATGTTTGTGTTAGCTTTAATGTTTCTATTGCAAAAGTTAGTTAATTTCACCATCATTTACGTTACATGATGGTCCACAGAACTATGTTTTTTAAATGTTACTATTGGTTAAAATGTAGTGTAAACATGATAAAAGAAGCACCAGTTGATGGTTTAACCATGATCACATATGATATGACTCATTCTACGATGTTACTTTTTTTGGATCATATACGTTACCAAGGGTGTAACGATATACAAATCTCAAATACATTTTGTATGGCATATCAAACACCAAGATACGGCTATCATTTTATTCTGAACACTATTTCTAATCAGAAAAGAAATATAAATTTAATGTTATCAAACTGAGTTTTTATAAAATTGGAATGACATGTAGCACTTAGGTTCTGTTTGTGAAAAGGAATAATAAGTCACATGTAATTGTTGACTTCAATGTGAATTCTTTCCACTTGTGTATCTTCAAAATGCCTGATGTATGATTTAGTATTAAGGCAAAATATGTCCTTATTGTTAGGTACAAAAACAGACATGAGAATAATATGTTGAATGAAAATATAGGTCGCTTGCTTCGACAACCCCCTATAACGTAAATGACAGAGACTTACATTTTTAAATGAATACTAGATAAGCTTCAACATGTGACTTTTCCATGAAGCGGTATGAGATTGATGAAGATATTTTCACTTTAGATACTTAACATATATTCAAATAGAAATACATCAACTTTAAACCATTTAAAGCTACTTTAATCTTTGTCAGATTCATACCTGGAATTTGCATTCTTATTGAGAATGGATGTTTATCAGCGATTGACATTGAACGAGCCCATTAATCAATTAGTGTATAGATATTAAAAGTATATGCAAATTCTAAACATTCCACAATGCAATGGATTTTTTTGTGTTGAAGATCCTTTGCTCGTTGAAATTGATATTGACGTATGAATGAATGTATTAATAGATGTCGCATCTGAATCGTTGATACAGGTATATTGTCATTCTGATATCTCTCTCTGTTGCATCGCAGATCTCTCCAGAAGGATATATAGAGATGGAGAGGGCGTGGCTTACCACGATGGTATATTGTAAGTCTCAGAAGTCCAAAGCTTGTATTCATGAATGCAACTTTCGCATGTCGGCGGCTACGGGATTAACCTATTAGTTTATGACCAACTGACTTAACTATGAATTAAATAGTGGCAGGTACTATTCATATTTAGATGAGTTGCCCATGAAATAGAATCCAGTAGCTGCTATCTGCTATTTGCATTCGCGAATACAAGCTTAATCAAATCTGTAACAATCCCCTGCAGCTCTGTCATAAGACACATAAGTAAACATATGAATATGACACTTATGACACTTATGACAGAAAATGCAAAATTAGTATATTGTATTTTTTTTATAAAGATCTAATTATATATTTATAGGATAGTTTGTATTCTAATGCATGCATTATGTAACTAAGTTACACTATGAACGTTTACTTTAGTCTAATGCCATTCACCATTCAACAAGTATGTATTCCTTGATTGATCGATACGTATATAATTATCTAGTGATTGAAATAATTTAGCAATTCAAACAACATAATATATCAATGACGTATCATGTGTCAACGAAGTTCCCTTTCCCAAAAGATGTGCATCGATCAAAAATACGATTCAAGAATAAACAGATCATTACCACATATGTTAACCCACATTAAACACTCCCGCCATCTAATTCACAGTTATTGCAATCCTTTATAAATCTAGAAACGATGCGAAAATACAGAAAAACTTCCTGCGAACACTCGATCGATATATGACAGCACTTATTGTTATTATACAACAACAAATCGCGTTTGTTTACGAAAAACAAATATTTAAGTACGTTGAATAAAATACAGATAAATATATTTATTTTATTAATATCATGATTGCTATGCTGTTCTGTCACACTGTTTTTCCATATTAAGCTGAGAATGGGTTAATGATGCAAATTATACTGGACTCAAATGTCAAATGTGGAGTGACAATTCCTCGAAGGGTTTGCTTTCCAAAATTAGCTCGAGATGCGGAGCATCGAGCGTTAATTTTAGGAAACAACGCCTGAAAGGAATTTTCATTACACATTGAACTGACACATTGAATTCAAAAGATAAGAAATCATTAAAATATCGTATTTTCAATGAGACTTTTTGCAAGGGTCAAGCTTGCAAAGTATCAATATCATTTTGTAGAGTCCAGTCATCACCATGACAACCGTTTTACTAGTGACCTTGAGTTCGTTATTGGTTATATGACGGAATGCAGTTACGTGAAATAGCGTGTTCTGATTGGCTGGATTTGACATGTCTTGCCTACCTGTGAGTGAATTTCCTCTTACAACAATACATTTAATTTTTTTGATTTTTTTCTCTTGATCTCCCTTCGAAATGTTAATAACTGGAATATTAAGAAATGGATTATCACCTCACTCTACTTTTAAACCATAAACGTTAGATTGTATGAATGTATAATTCACAGGGGGTAGAAACGTGGAATTTTTTCAAAAGTTACAAATTTTAAAAGTTTTAACATTTAAAAGTTTAAAATTTGTTAAAAAGTTTAAATGTTACAATTTCATTATATTGAACTATATTACGAAATGTTAAATCTAAATTGTGCTTTCAAAGTAAAGGACTATCTTGTCATTTGAAAAAGGTGGAACCCCAAACCCACTCAAGTATGAGTGGTAACACTAGATATGTACGATCGGTTTCGGATATATAGTATATCCCTCGGGAAATATTTATATCTTCCCTTGGTCCCTTCGCTTCTTGGGGAGATATAAATATATCCTTCTGGATAAACCCCATATCCAAAACCTCCCAGTACATAACCGTTATATATGGACTACTTGGTAAATTTTGCTACCTGAAACTAGAATCACCGTAACAGTATATACCCCCTGGAAAATAAAATATTAAATTCACAAATCAGATACTTTATTGTATTGAATTCCAAGTGATCAGAAATAAAGAGTTCGTATGAATAAATAAATGCAATTACAAAATAAAATAATAACCATTGGCGTGATATTGTAAATAAAGTGGCGATAAACTTACGTAAATGTTGCCGCGACCTCCATACGAATTAATAACGTAAACAAAAAACAAGTAATTGTACTTTTTGTGTAATAAATCTTAGATCCCCGAGTTAACGTCTCTACTTTGAATAAGGATCAATTCAGAGCGTACTTAAAGAAACTAATCAAAGACCGAGAAACGATTTTATTAGACTGAGTTAAATGACCCGTGAATTCAATATTGCAGAAAACGCCATCCCTCAAACTACTGCGTCTACGAGTTTTATTTTTAATGAGGTGTTAATGACTCTTCATGAAAGGATCGATAATGTATCAAGTGTATGAAGATCAAGGGTAATATTTTATCTCTTTATGAAACGAACACAGTTTTTAAATAGCAATGCATTTGTTGATTTCGATAAGAAAATGCCATATGAGCCTGGTCATAGGAAAACCGGTCTTATCACAAAAACGAGAATTTTGCTATAGAGCCAAAAATGTGCCCAAGATTAAGAGGAAAATGTGCTAAATTCAAATCCGACTTTTTGCTCTATATATGCAAGGGAAAATAGTTAAGACATGGCTCATTTGAAAGGTCTCTTTGTGCTTTCTAAGATAAACAAAAAATCAGAATATTGAAAAAATCTGTGATAAGATCCCTTTTCTTGTGACCTGGCTCATATATTGTTTTTATTTTATGTTATCACAATAATCACAGTGTCTATGTTTTTCATGAGAATATAATGTTGCTGAACTATTTATAACAAATAGTATGTTACTGATACCAGCCCTTGGCAAATTTGGCCAAAAATCACTCAAAAATAGTCAGAATGGTGAAAAACTGCATGATTTTGATAGAAATGTTGCCCCCTGGCTACGGGCCTCGGTATACAAATAGATGGATTAGATGGATGTAAAGCAATATTTCAAAAGCTACATTAATTCATGTTTATTAATTTCAATGGCACGTTATTTTTATTACGAGTATTCTTTTTAGTTCAAGGATAGGTTATTCAAACACATAATTTAACTGACAAATTAACATCTATGGATGTGGTACGCCGATAAGACATTGTATTGCTAAAAGGACGTTTAAGTCCCATAGGTATGCCCTTATTATGTATCATTTTAGATACCTGAGATCATTAGTTTTAGAATGATATATAAATTGTGACTTCACTCTGGGGTTGCTACGAAAAGTAAGAAAATGTCAACCTTGGCCTTCGGAGTAGTTGCAAAACGAAAGCTGAGATTAAAATTCTAAGTATAGATACATTGAAGACTGTCACCTTAGCTGTTTCATTTTATGTTAGTTTAGAGCGCATGCGCCATTGACATTAACGTTCACCAACTTCAGGACACGGGAAGTCCCGACCTAACCAAAATGACAGTTCGTCTACTATTTGATTCGTTTTAGTTTTCCCAACATCGAAAATCATTTGTCCAAACGTTTCAACCGTGGACGCAATGGCTTCAATTTCATCCAAACCGTCCTTTTTCCTGTTGTTTGGCATTACCAACCATACAATTTGTACGCCAGTGTTCGAAGTGAGAGATTTTGCCTGTGCGATGGTGGCCTCTTTTCTGTGCGCCGGCGCAGTAAGACCATCACCAAATACGAACAAAACATCCGGGTATGTGGCGTCGTCACGATCAAGATCAGTATTAAAAATTGTCTCAGCTTTGATAAACGCATCGTATGTTTTTGTTCTACATCCGAATCCCGATTTGTTCATCGAATCGAGGGAGGACAGAAATCCACTCGGGCTTTCAGTTGAGTAGAATGGAACTTCATTTCCAATTTTTGTATCGAAACTGAATGCCGTAAGAATGGCTCCGTTTTCTTGGCGTATCGAGGCAAGTTCTGTTATCCTTTTAGCTATATCCACGGCAATATTACGTTGATCTATATCAATTGAGCAAGAGAAATCGAACGCAAAAGCGATATCAACGCAACCTGAAAATCCAAAGTGATGAGACACATAAATATAATGAGCATCGAACATATGATAAAGACTAAAAAAACGACACTTGGCCACACGTGAAACCTAGCTCGGCCTGCGTGAAACCTACACACCAATAAGCTTTTGCAATATGACGCATTGACGTTACTATACATAAAAGTAGAGAGAGAAGAACGGAAAATAAACCTTACCTTGAAAAGGATCTCCACTGTTACATATGTAACGGTCTGACAATGAACGAATGATGTCATCCTGAAGCGTGGCGTCAGTAAGATTGAAAAAATGTTTAGAAGTTGGAGTGTCTGGAACCATATCAAATTCACCCACATCAGGTTTGAATTTTCTGAAATAGAAAACACAAATTATTCATAGAACTGCGTTCACTGCTTGTTTAACCTAGGACGAGAAAAACAAAGAAATAACTTTCCTTATACTTGTTGAATCTTTATCAATTTCTGTAAGATATCAATACAGAAAAACAATGGTGAAGATCACGACTCACGACTTTGAAAACATCGAGTTCATGTACTCGTAGAAAATAAGACTTTGTTATGTGTTGCATTTAACTCAAATCGGCGTAAAATTATGGTGAATGCATTACCTATTGGCCACTCCGATGATGTTAAGCTCAATACCCGCTTCTTTCAGGGCAGTGGCTGCTTTTACAGTATCGTCTCTAAATTTTCCAGACACAGTTCGGCCATCAGTAAACAACAAGGCCACATTCTGTATACCCTGTAAATAAATGATGGATAGTTGAATCAATGCTGCTTTATGGTTGCATCATTGTGTCTATGTGATAACAACATTAATTGTACGACTCTTGATCATATTAGTCGGATACAAAAACTATATTCGTTTGGTGTTACGCCTAGCAGAAGCACTCATCGGTGTGTCAATACGAAAAAAAGCATTTCAACAGAAAAGCAAGTATGATGGCCAGGTACGTGTTAGCTAAAAATCACTGTATAAAATGAGGTAAAACTTCGGCTATTGTTATCCCCTTAGTTATTCAACGCATATAGCTCCGCGGTAAGGCGTGTAATAATTACACATAGGTTCCGGATTCCATCTCCAATTCAGGCACTTTGATTTTTGCGTGAAATACTTCAGGGTATTTGACTGAGTGGTCCACGTCTCGTAAAAATACGGTGGTGTTTGTATAACTATGTATGAGTGCAGATAAAAGAACACATGACTCCTTCGAAGAGGGGTTTCTGGTTCTGTGAAGGATCATTTAGTGCGTTAATACATTGCATAGAAATAACACTTAAATTGGTTTCTGGTTCTGTGAAGGATCATTTAGTCCGTGAATACATTGCATAGAAATAACACGTAAATTACCTACCTTTCTATCGCCATTCTTCTCTGTGAATGAGATCTCCTTCAGTTCTTTCAAAGCAAGATGCGTATGTGTCTTACAGTTGTGAGCTTCAAGCTCCACAGTTTCAATGGCATTGATGATTTCGTCGATATTCTCTAGATCATCTTAAAATATATACAGAGTGTTCATCGCAGCTGATGTTATTAGTACAATAATATTGTACTCAACCGTTTTTAACTCAGTGTATAATTGGTGTACTTTCTTTTGAAATGTACGCGGTTAGATTATGCAACGGCGAATGTAGTACCTTCATTGCAGGTCGGTCGCCCGTTCACATTTATCCAGTCTTCCTACATTTAATGTAAAAATCATGAAGGGTACTTACTCAAATGAAATGTGTGTGACGTAGTGCTACTATATACGATAAGACCGACTCTGACACTTCCCCCAGGTGTTTTGAGAACTCGCCTAACTAAGTCAGCTGCAGCTTCCCTAGCTTGTTTTCTCGTCTCCATGGTAATGGAACATGACACGTCTATAACGACCATGAGATCCATGCACACTGAAACAAGAAACAAAATGATGTAACATTAAAATGTTTAATCTATTAATTATTTTCTTAACGATTTTTTTCATTCGTTTCGAATTTATATTCGGATTCATGAACTCTTGAATGTTCCATTACTAATTAGAGGGTTATGCCCTCTTAGTTAATTATTATTGGAAGAAGATAATCCCTCTAGCTATAAGTAGTTATATTTCAGGTAACAATTAAATTGATCAATTTCCAAAGCAAATTAATATATTTGATCAGATATTTCGATTTCCTTTTCGACAAAAACAAGATTGATGTGAAACATTAGCACACTTTTTGAAAAGGTCGCTTCCAACATCACCAAACACGATCCTTTCTACTTCATCACGCGGTACAAACTTCGACCGTTAATTTGAATTTTTAAACTACCGGATGTTTGAAAATCAAGGATTACGAGTCTCGTACTGCACCGTTTTTCTTCAAACTTGTTCCATTCAAAGCATAACAAAAATCCATTTCTGTTGTTACATTATTCTCTTAAACAGAGTCCCTACTTCCAGCGGCATTTTGGTCCCCAGCTGTAAGAAGGCCTTCTAACAGCTGGGGACCAAAACGCTGCTAGAACGAGGGACTCTTTAAGTAATGCACCGACAGAAAGGCAATTTTGTTTTGCCTTTAATGGTATAAGTTTGAAGAAAAACGGTGTAGTATGAGACTCGCAATCCTTGATTTTCGAGCATCTGGTAGGTCAAAAATTCAAAGTTAACGGTCGAAGTTTGTACCGCGTGTTCATTTTATTTAGGAATGGTTTATGTTGGAGATGCGCCTTTGATGAAAAAACTCAAAAAGTGCCAAAATGGGGAAAGGTCAACAGGTATAACAAATAGCGCTACTCACAAGAGAAATCCGTAGACCCCGATGGAGGTAGTTCTGGGGGCCCCGGAGGAGGAGGGGGTGGGGGAGGGATTGGATTTTCTGCACCGACACCAGCTTTTAACCCTGATATTCCCTAAAAAATATATTACTTCACATTGAATTGCGTTAAAATATGTGAAATAATTAAGATTTTCATTATTGCATTAGGATTGCGAGTCACATCTCGTATTGTTAATTAGTTAACTACTTACGTCCGTCTCTGATATTACGTCTTAAATAGTATGTGTTAAAAAATGTTAAGCTTGGTTATCCACATACCGACGCCAATCCCAACGCGTCAAATTGTCGTACTCCAGCTCTCCTAGGGTCTATTTTAACCTGATCTTCCAGCATTCCCTCCACACTGACAACACTTGCTATGAATACCACACAAGAAATTAAATATAGCATCGCCATTTGTTCAGCAGGTACCTGCAAACAGGCTATATAAAATTGCAGTCCCAATTTAAAGTCGACTCATCAGTAAATATAAATCGTATGATTCCCTTTTAAAATGTCAATGACATTATTTCATTTGAGAAGCATCAAGTACCCGGTAGTTAAAAGTATCAGATTGTTTTTTCCAACACGATAGCCATCTAACCATACTTTGATTTATACTTTCATTGCCCATACATTTTATGTAAAAATGTACTATAATATTAAAAAATACACATCTGATGTAACACGAGCCTATTTTCTACTACCTTGAATCAGACTCGGTCGCCTAAAACGAACCTATTTCAATTTATTTTAAAATATCCAAATCAATGAATCTTTGTAAATAAAATAAAATCTAATAGTCGATTTTGTGTCAATGCATAGAGGCACGTGCTTTTGAAATAAATTGAAAGATAGATAAAGATTTGAAGGTTACAAAAATGTGGATATTTACCTTGAACGAATAATCCTGTATTCTTATTACGAAAGAAGTGGCAGGCTATCTAAAATATTTGCTTATAGTCGCAAAATAATCGAAGAATGACGTCTGCCTCCCTTGAATTCAGTCATCCGTATATTCTCATTAGTCTTTGATCGTCCCATTGAAAACAAACGTTAAATGAAATTATGTAGTTCAGAGTTATGGGCGTACACAATTATCATGTAGGTTACGACAGTTATCAAAGAGAACGTTAAGTGAACGACAAAGTCATAAGCAGAGTATTTTTGTTTTTATCATCAGTGGACAATCAACATTAAAAACTTGACCCTAGCTCAAATTCCATAATGGTCCATTATTTTCACTCAATTTCTTTTTATTGATTTATGGCCTTTTTAATAAAAAAATGTAAATAAGTAGGTGGTTTGTTTATCAACAACAGAAACCTGGCGCTGCATCAGAAAATGAGAACACGTTTTCTATTCGATGTACTTCTTCGTTACAAGAATAAACTAATTTGCATAGTTTTCCAATACATAATATTTCTGTGTTTGTGTTTAACTAATGTAACCTGAATACATTTGACGTGGATATTATGTTATGAATATTCGTTACAAGGATGTAATGCTAATTTTGGAGTTAAAATGTCCAAATACGCAGGTGAGGTGAACTAGATTCATCACATAACCACCCTCTCAAAATCAACAAAATGTTTGTATGTACCCTGTACCATATGTTTGAAACGAAATAAAATCCAAGAAGCTTGAAACACATTCACGCGGTCCTAACTTCGACCGTTGATTTGAATTTTTGACCTACCAGGTGCTTGAAAATCAAGGATTGTGAGTCTCATATTGCACCGTTCTTCTTCAAACTTATATCATTAAAAGCAGAACAAAATTGCCTTTCTGTCGGTGCATTACCTTATTGTAAAGAGTCCCTCGTTCTAGCAGCGTTTTGGTCCCCAGCTGTTAGAAGGCCTTCTTAAAGCTGGGGACCAAAATGCCGCTGGAAGTAAGGACTCTGTTGAAGAGAATAATGTACCATCAGAAAGGAATTTGTGAAATGCTTTGAATGGAACAAGTTTGAAGAAAAACGGTGCAATATGAGACTCGTAATCCTTGATTTTCAAACATCAGGTAGGTCAAAAATTCAAATTAACGGTCGAAGTTAGGACCGCGTGACATTGGTTTACCATGTATTTCTATCCATTAACTCATCTACTTTGTGAACTAATAGTTTAACGAGTCGTGATTCAATAAAACAGATGCGAGTAGGTAGTTACCAGTTTCACAACCAGGTTGCTCCTTTCGGGTCAGATAGCATCGTTGGTAAAGTAGAAAGTTCCCTTTTACTTAAATTACATCTGTTTTAGTGGTTCATTTTTCATATCACCCTGTGTAGTTTTGCAAATTAAAATATGTCCAGTAAAAGAAAATGTTATCTGTCCAATACAAGAAAAGATATTTCACTTTTTGTGATTTCACAACATGGGCTCTATGGAGAATCTCCCTGAATTAGAAGTCACATTTAAAAAATATATATAATGACGTAAATCAAGATTATTTCTACTCGCATCTATTCTATTGACACGCAACGAAGACTGCAGAGGCAAATATGCAAAAAAAACTCTGTGATGTTGTGGTCTAAATTGCTTCCTTTTGGGCACACATATTATACTCAGTCTGGCTATCAAAGTGGATATAAAGTTACAAAAATCGAGCCTTTCCTTAAAACTGAGTGACCATGACTTACAATTTGGGACCTTAACAAGGAATACACTAGCATTTGTATGTTATCTTTGAGGTCAGTTTGCCATTTGCGGACAGGTAATTGGTGCGGATTGCTAAATAATAAATTAAACCTGGAACCCAGTGGCTTTAGATTTAGTGCAACCTTTTTAGACAATATGCAAATTGAAAAAGCACCATTCAAATTACGTACCATCAGCTTTATGATTAATTACCATTGCCTCTGTAACGTTACATAACAACGATAATTCTAACAACATTTCATAAATGATTGTGAAATACATAGAACTCTACTCCAAATACATGAAAGTACATATACACTCCCCTCCATAAGTTTGGCAACCTTTTTTCCCCCATTGAAGTACGTGTTAAAGCCTCTTTACCTTTGAATTTTTATTTACTTAACCTGCGATGAAAATACTTATACGATTGATGGAAACGTAATCTGACTTTAATTCCAATACCTCCAAATTTTCTCAATTTTTTTCCTCAATTACAGTAGGTCAAAAATTAATGATGAATTTGATGAATTTTTGAAAATCGACATTCCCATGTTAACCAATGGGAAATGGTAGGTTTGCCGCAAGTCATATGACAGAATATCCATCCATCCGAGTCCTTGCAAAAAATACGAGTTAGGCAGGTAATTGAATTTGCTAACTTTATTTAACAAAAATTGATATGTTTCTTCAGATTCAACAAAGTTATAGGGCTTTAAAGTCAAAATTGTTTTTCAAAAAACCTCTCCCATTGAAATAACACAGGAGGCGAGAAATTCTTTTCAAAAATGACTTTGAAGCGCTGTAACTTTAATATTCATCAAATAAACTAAACACTTAGTGTTCAAAAAAGTTAGACAATTCAATTTTCTACATAAAAATATTTTTTGCTGAATCTTTTACTGAAAAGATATCCTGATTTCTGATTTGTCCCGAACCCTCCATTTCCCATTGGATTACATGGGAATGACGATTTTCAAAAATTCATCAAATTTATCATCAATTTTCGACCTGTTGTAATTGAGGAAAAAAATTGAGAAAATTTGGAGGTATTGGAAATAAAGTCAAGTTACGTTTCCATCAATATTATAAGTTATTTTATCGCCGGTTAAGTGAATAAAAATTCAAACGTAAAGAGGCTTTAACACGTAGTTCAATGGAGAAAAAAGGTTGCCAAACTTATGGAGGGGAGTGTATATCAATAGATTATCTAGATTGAAGAAAAAATAAATGTCAGACAAGTCCTATTACACTACTTTTGACACCTTTGATGCCCCGTCTTACTTAATGTGTGCTATCGAAACATCGATCGTTTAAGGATTTAAGTCCTGGTGCATTGTTTGCTGAATCATACCATGAAGGTGTTGTTTCCAAACCTTACAAGGGTCAAGTTGGCAAGTCATCAAATCCAATGTGAAAATCCATTCATCACCATGACAACTGTTTAACTAGTGACCTTGCATGTGTTATTGATATTTCACACACTGATCATTATGTGAATACTGTCCTCTGATTGGCTGGTATTGGAAACGCCTTGCCTAGCTATGTGTGAATCTTATTTTTCGGTATTTAAGGACAATCACCACACCGTGGGTGTAAGGTTGATGCTCGTTGTGAAAATGGAAGCTGCAAATGTGCACAAAAATGAGGGATGTTGATAAGGATAAGTTAGATTTTTTTAATAATGGAATTCGATCTTGAATACCCCATAAACAGCTGCTACAACCTATATTTTATTATTATATCCAAGAGTAATAAATCACTTTAAATTGCTTATACATTATATTTTGCAATAGAACTGTCTACAATATGATGCCGACTTTAGACACCAATTAATCACTACATGGAATTCGTCGATTATTCTTTCTCGGTAAATTAAAACATCTGTAAAACTATGTTCCTAAATTGTAGCAGTTAGTATGATTTTATCATCCATGCCGTTCTTTCTTCTATAATTTGGAAACACTACCCAAATTATCGTCACTCCATGGATGCCATTTTTAAGTTTATTTGCTTCTGAGATCGTAACGACTTTTCTATGAAAAGGTGCAGTCATTCGATCTCCGGACGTGATTAAAACATCACCAAATATGGTATAATTTCGGTCATTATTGGTAAAATTTCTCACGAAGGCATCGTATGCTTTTGTCCCACATCCAGTTTTGTCAATGTTGCGTAGCTTGTCTATGAATTACAGTCTGTTATCGGAGCTGAACGGTAATCGATTTCCTATCTCATTATCAAAGCTGAAAGCTGTTACAATGGGGGCGTTTGTATGACTTAGTATTGTATCATGCAAGATCTCTTATTTGCCTGATCGGCCCTTGGTCCAATATTTCACTGTATTGCCCATTGAAATAACGTTATTGTACTATTAATGCGAACATGTGTTATTCACTTTTAGAAATTGCTTATTTCCCAAGTACGAGGCAATAGAACATTGTAAAATAACTAAGTGGGTGCCTTAGTTTTGAAAACTAAATTTAGAATATATTTCAAATACTTTTATATCAAAAATAGTAGAAGCTCTAGCATTCGTTCTTAGTTGGTGTAGAGTCTGGGAAGTTTAATACAATCACATTATATCCACGCCTTTTATTCTATCTTCAAAAACGCATGACATGCTAAGTAGATTTTAAGATGATCCCAATACTTTTTGGACAGAGCTGGGCATCCGATATTATCATTATGACCAATCATATTACCCTATTGCTTTTCTTTATATTGCAACATATGCGTTGTTATTTCGTAAAACCTGGGTTAAGTGAAATACCTTTGCTACACCCTCCCTCCCCCTAATGACTAATAATGTTCCATTCGAGAGGTTTTTCACGCACATGGGTTCATTTGACATTACGTCACTAGGTCATGGTCTCTGAAAGTGTTCTTCTAATGAAGGTGTTCCACTTACTGAGATGGTCAACTTACAGAGGTATTCCTCTTTCAGGGATAAGATATGAAGAATAAAACAGAAATATCAAATATATTTTGCAGCATTATAACAAACTAAATTTATTGCACTTAGTATAAAAACATATAGTATGGTAGTTTAAAATAATTAAACAATAGAAATGTGTGATATAATTTTCCAAGCTCATAGTCCATGTGGAAGCGTTTGAGTCCGTTTGAGACAGTTGCACGTCCCGTTCACATACTGGAAGTAACACTTTATAGGTTATCGGGACAAGGAAATTGTCCATTTATAAAGAATACGAGGTCATCTATTATTGTGCCATCCGAATCTATATTGGTGTCATAAACTCCTTTGATAATGCCATTGTCCGATGCTGTAACTTTTATCTCAAGATCCATACCCGATTTGCCTCTGTTGTTTGGATACGCTATCCAAATAACCGTCACTCCTTTCTCTTTGAGAGCATTTGCTTGCTCTATTGTTGCCTTGCGTCGATGCAAAGGAGCTGTCATTCCATCTCCAAACATGATCAGAACATCTCCATATATAGTGTCATTACGGTCACTGTCTGTGAACATATTGTTAGCTTGAATAAATGCATCGTAGGTCTTTGTTCGACACCCAAATCCATTACGATCTATTGTAATAAGTTGTTCCACAAACGGTCCAACATCTTGTTCCGTATAGAATGGTTGAATGTTTCCTATTTGATCGTCGTAGCTGAACGCTGCAACGGCCGTCCCCTTTGTGGGATTAAGATTTGAATTGCGTACTATATCCGCGGCTAGATTTATAGCATGAACACGATCCTCCATGTCAATCGAACAGGAGAAATCAAACGCAAAGGTGATATCCACACATCCTGTAACGATTAAATAACATTAAATTAATATACTCGTATAATGTATATTTGTTTATCCCATACTTGGACTTGTTACAGGTACATAAAGCCGGTTTGTAAATAGAGATTATCCTATATGAGGTTCAGGATATTGGGATTATCCCGAGGCCAATATAATATATTTGCCCGAGGGCCGCAGGTCCCGAGGGAAAATATATTATATTGGCCAAGGGATAATCCCAATATCCTGAACCGACTATAGGATAATATGTTTATCCCATACCAATCTTGGTCATCTGGTTCACATTGTTCAATCGTGGAAATATTTTAGAATATTCATGTCCAGTTTTGTTTTCTTGGCCGTTCCTGTTCTCTCAAATATTCCCACATTTTTTTCTCGAATTTTTTGATTGATTAAGTGGATGCTCCTTCCCTTTTTTAAACCATCAAACAGATCCCGATTGTCTGTGTTTTCTCCATTGTCGTTTACAGTCATTACGCGAACGTTACAAATGAACAAATATGCGAGCGGCGATTATATCTGCCCGCTCGGAGCGGGACGTAAAGCTATATCTGCCCGCTGATGAAAATATAAGTTTTTACAAACCGGCTTTATGTACCTGTAACACGTCCAAGTATGGGATAAAAACGTTTATCCTACATTTAGCGTACTAAATGTATAATAACATGAAAAAATAAATTTGATATTTATTGGCAAAATGAATATCCGGAGGATATCGTAACGATATACTCCGGGCGGAGGATATCGTGACGATATACTCCGGAAAACCCAATATGCGGAGGATATTGTGACGATATACTCCGCTTGTTGATTTCCCGCCAAATTAACTCTATTTGGCATGAAATTCATTTTGCAATGATATTATACATTCAGTGCACTCCTTGTAAGTGTAGGATAATAAGAACATCCTATGATTTTTTTCAGAATATCAATTTAATCTACTCGGTGATCATTCTATAGTCGGTTCAGGATATTTGGATTATCCCTTGGCCAATATAATCTATCTACTCTCGGGACCTACGGCCCTCGGGCAGATATATTATATTGGCCTCGGGATAATCCCAATATCCTGAACCTCATATAGGATAATCTCTATATATTCGGAAATCACAGTCAGGTAAAGAACTAGTATTCGGAACATATGTCGGTCTTGACACATTGCCGCGGAATATGAAAGATCCCGAAATATGAATGGTCTCGAAATAAAAAATACCTCGTCAAGTTAATACTTTTGCTAAACCTTTTTTATTACTTATGAGTAGAGGACGAGATTTTATAATACATTTTTCATATATATTTATTGCATTTTCAAAATAACACTACCATAGTCCTCCGTAAGCATGTTAAGTACTCTCACCTTGGATCGTCTCAGCTAGTCCACAGTTATCCGAGTAGCGCTGGTTGAATGAATCCGCCATTACTCCAATTAGATCCATTTCCGATATATTGAAGAGATGGAGATTCCCAGGATCATTAGGAAGTAACTTATATTCACCAACGTCTGGTTTCAGTTTCCTGAGCGAGATAATGTTCGTTTTAATAGAGCGAGATTAGTAAATCAAATGTTTACATTTTTATATCATTTGACATAATTTCTGATGATAATCAACGTCTTAAACTAAAAACAGCAGTATGCATGTTGTTTTCTTCGCCAAATTATGTATAGGAAAACTAAGGTAGCCTTACAGTCGCGCGCCTTGTGGTCTCCATACGGTTCATTTAATGTTTACAGACCGGGGTGTCGCCGTAGAAATCATAACTCGTGATTATAACTGTTTCAATTACTGCGGTCGCCTTAGAAATCAACAAGCTCCACAAAAGCCGTAGAAATGTTCCATGATGGCCTTAAGCCCCCCTCACATATGAACGAATCCACTAAACGCAGTCTTGCGAATAGGAATTGAGTAAAATCCGTTCCCATTAGTATGTGTACGTTGTACATCGTTGGGGTGTTCGTATGTGTAAGTTTCCCCTCGGAAAGCTTCGGAAGCATGCACAAAGATGTGCTTCAGTAAGCATGTTTACGTTCCCAATCGCTAGAATTGACATCGCAAGACTACGTTTGGTGGATTCGTTCATATGTGAGGGGGCCTTTACGTTGGGTACACAGTCGACGTTAGGCTACTAGATGAGCTTTGCAATCCATAAGATCGCCGTAGGTCCCCCTGCGGTTACCTTGCGCCTACCTTGGTTTTTGGCAAAAAAACTACGCCCGTCGTAGGGCCGACCTAACGTTACCGCGTGCCATCATTTATCACGGTAATCGTAGAATTAGTGTATCCACAAAATAAAAATTACACCGTACAATGTAACTGCTCAATTATCTGACCGTAGAAATCCTTAGGCGACCGTGTAATGTTACTGACCGTGTGGTCCCCTTAGAAAATGTGACTAAGGCTTAACTCCGAGCTATAATTTCTGCGGCGACGCTAAAAATGTATACGCCGTACGGAGATTGCAGCTGATATTCCTCTTAAAACGTGGTTGATCTTAAAAATCTAAAAGTGGAAATCTTTATAGAAGCTATGAACTGGATTTACACTTCTTAATGCTGAAATTGTTAGTTTATACATACATTTTAAGAAAATAGGTATGTCAAAGAAGGTGTAAACCAAATATTGACCTGATAGCTCAGAAAAAAGAAAAAATTCGAATTTTCTCTCAACGGTCCTTGTTGCCCCTTTAACAGTTACTCAGAAAATAAATGGCAGTATATCGGGCGTCACCCGGTCACATATGATGCTTTTTATTTTTGCATTTATTTCTGTCTTAAATGTAAATAAATATATTATTAACACCAAATGATAATTAAGTTGAAGAAAATAATCTTCCAACATACCTATTTTCCAGAGCCACAATATTTAATTCTATGCCGGCCTCCTTAGCCAGTTTAGCCTGCTCAACCGTGTCGTCTCTGTAACGTGCCTGAACTGTGCGGCCATCGGTGAAGACAACAGCCACATTTGGAACATCCTTAACATTAGGTTAATATTTGAAATTAATATATAAATGAGATTACAATGGAGCAATAACTATACTCCTCAAAAAAAGTTAAGGACCAGTGGTTTTCCTCATAGGTTTACATATTAACCCCCATATTTAGAATAGAATCAAGATACAGATTTATTTTCTTTATTGGGATTTCTTTTGTTCCACGCTTAGAAAATAGTCGTTCAAACAAATATGGGGGTTAACATGTAAACCTATGATGAAAACCACTGGTCCTTAACTTTTTTTTGAGGAGTAAATATTGCAATAAGAGCTATACTTATATAATTTGTGCACCATTGGCAGTCAGTTACTTCACAACGATGTGGATAACAGGAAATGAAAGATTGAATGTGCAAATTATTACTTTTATATCAACATTAATATTCATCATCATTACACAAGACAATTGCATTATTTTCATATCCCTAAATGCTCTAAACTTTCCCTTCGCTATCTGGGTCCTAATCTTTGGAATGCTCTACCACATGATATTAAAAAATGCTCCACTCTAAATATTTTCAAATCTTCATATAAAAAACTACTCATCTACGATAATGTATAATACCAATATCATACTATACTGTTGATTTTATACTGGTACCCGATTTTTGTAACATTTTTACATTGTACATCCTTAGATTAATTGTTAATACCATTTTTATATACCTACATGTAACATAATATAAGTGTTTTCTTTTATATGTAGTCTAGTTGTCATTTTAATGATTTCTGTTAAACCGCAACATACCCTGTATACCCACTAGGGTGTCTAGCGGCTTGTTTTTATAGTGTATATTATATATGAATTATGAAATAAATAATTGAATTGAATTGAAATTCTTTTACATAAACAATTTTTGTGAATTTCAGTCACTGAAATGGATGGTTATAGCTTTGTTTGATGTATTTGAATCCGAAAATCACCAAAAGACGTTTGACTTATTATTTTACAGAAGTCACAACGATACGTTTCCAACACTTTCGAACACTGAACACTTATTATTTTACTGAAGTCACAACGATACGTTTCCAACACTTTCGAACACTGCCGAAGACACAAAATCTTCATCTATTAAAAATCAAAAATTGAAAAATTTGAAAAATGATAACACATTTTGCAAGTAAACACACCAGAGCATATGGGATACATGCTTATTATTTCAAACCTCACCAGGTATGGAATACAACAGTTATGTACGGTCGGTTTGGATACAGGAAATATCCCTCGGGAAGATATATTGTATATCCCTCGGGATATTCCCTGTATCCCAAACCAAAACCTCCCAGTGCTTCAGGATATCCCCAATATCCTGGACCTCATATAGGATAATTAATACATATACTTACGGGTCTGTCATTGTGTTCAGGGGTGAAATAAATCTCTCTGAGTTGTTGTAACGCAATATGCGTGTGGGTCTTGCATCCTGCTGGACTTAACTTTGCATTGCTAATTTTAGCTACAATTTCGTCCCTTGTTAATACACCACCGGCTATAAAGAAAATCGACATTATAACAGCATTTTAAAATATTCTCATAATTTTGGTTTATGTAGTAAATTATAACAAAGCATTAACATGCATAATGTCACCACCTGTCATTTATTTCAGACGCCATGTTACAGACGCCGAAATGCCAACTGCCGTTGCCAAATGCCAAGGGAACAGAAATTTGGAGACTATAGCAATATGTGTCACCATTTGTGGTGGTGACGTGACATAAAGCAACAATTCTGCATACTTACTTAAGTAAAACTGATGTGACGTTCCCTCGCTGTAAACCAATAGACCAACCCGCGTATCACTTCTCGGAGTATTGAATATGTATTCGACCAACTCTATTGCAGATCTGCGGGCCTTTTCTACTTCGTGTTGCAATATGGAACATGATACATCGAGAACAATCATCAGATCCATACACACTGAAAATGAGTTGCATTGGATTTGTTTAAAAGTTTTTACGATACATTGTAAATTCTAAATGCATAAATAGTATAAATGAGATGAAACTAACCTTTATATATAAACAAATAATCAGACTCTGCAGAGAATATTTTTGGACGGAAAATCCAAAATGGCCACCTTAAGATTTACCCAGAATGCCCAAAACCTAATCACTTCAAGATATGTATACTAAAAATTATCCATGAACATTTGAAATGAATCTGTGAAAAGCGTGTAGACAATACCTAACAATTCTCACCACCATTTTTAGAGAAAGTATGTCTAATAAATGTAAAAACCGGTCTTGCATATCGACAGAAAAACAATTATTGCGATATCAAATTTTACCTTAACTATTTATTATACTTTCATGAAACAAACGTACCGGTTATTGTTATTAAGGGAGAATAATGAATAACTTTTTCACACTATTGAGGTGAATACATGTGCGCATGACGATGTAGAGAGTAGGTAATTTGAGTCCAATTATCAACTAATACTCTTCTCTAATTAGTTCCAATAAAAACTTCTAAAAAGCAAGCCAAATGTCCTGTCTATGAACCCAAATTCTTACTATTGAAAATGGATTCTATCAGTACTATCTATTATGACTCTACTTGTTGACACTGGATCAATTTGAGTTCTGAGAAAATGAAGATTTCAGTAAGGTTGCAGTGACTTAACATGGGGTTGACTCTTGACTTAGCATCGGGATACCATCATGTATGTCACCATAGGGATGTATACAAAATTCTTATTTTCTCGGAAAAAGTACCATTTATGTGAAGGTTTTTGTTGATGCTTAAGCTTTTATACATGACGTGCAAACGTTTTCGGTTTTAATTCAAAAATGATACTCATCTAAGCTCCTCAGGTGGACAAAAATGGTAGATACCTTGTCAGTAATCAATTTTATACCCCAATTGGTGTATTGGTATATATCATACGAAATTCATTTTACAACAATCTAATGTTATTTTAAAAACATTAACATGATGCTTTAAGAAACCTACATGGCGGATCACCAATGTCCCCGAATGGTCCATCGGGTGGGCCGGGTGGGCCGGGTGGGCCGGGTGGGCCGGGTGGAAGTGCAGGAGGCGTTGATTTCGGTGGTGGAGTTGTTTCTTCTTCTATTTCATTTGGCGGCTGCGTTGGGGGACCTGTTGTAGGAACGTTATCACCAGCCACGCCGCCTATGAGACCAGATATTTTCTGCAAGAGACAAGTGCGTTTGAAAGTGAGATTTTCTGCAAGGGTCTTGATTATGATATTTTTGCAAAGATCATATGAAATGTAAGAGTTTATTACAAAAATGCTCTCTTAAATAGTTTGCAACTCTTTCGAAGAGTCTGCAACAGTGATGCTGTCTCGAATATAAATAGCTAACACTAATTCTATCATGCGTGTTGTCCTAAGTACGCAATCTTACATCCTCAAAGTTGGCGAAGTTATTACACCATATCGAAAATAATTGAATAAAGTATATTTGAAGAAAGAACATCCTAGCTTTACTAATAAAGATGTTACAAGTTGGGAGGCCTTGTACCCCGCCCCTCCCTCCATGGGGCTTCGTGTGACTTTTTACCCTAGGGCTTCTAGGGTTAAGACTTGTTACCAACGGTACAAACTTACGTCTGAAAATTTTAGCATTTTTAGGTTTGTGTTTTCACCAAGGTTCACTTCATCTAAGCTGACTTTGTTGTCCCTGCCCTGACCTGTGATACTGCCCTCGCTTCTTGCCTGGCCCACGCAAAGAATAGCAACAAGAAAACAGCATGTCTGCAACGTAGCTGCCATACTGTATGACAAAAAGATTGATTGAGTAATTTACAGATTTATGAACATAGTACAACGCATTATAAATGTACATGAGCTATCTAGTTTTTCGGATTGTATCGTTTAGACTCAACACTCATTGATTCATGTGTTGTTGAGGGATGACACAAAATTATAAAATATGAGCATACTATTTTTTAATGAATTTAATTTTTCATAATCAAAAGATTAGCAAAACAATTGTATAATGTGTCATTAAGTGATGAAGCAATCAAAAAATATAAGCAAAACCTATATAGTGGGGGGAATTTACCCTTATATTTGGCAGAATATTTCAGATGGTGATACAAGTATAAACTTTTGCTTTTCTACTACTTCAAACCTTTTAAAAAAAATCTGTCCCTGTGATCAATGGATTTTTTTACTTTTTCCCCCCAAAATCCAAGATGGCCGACACACTATAGCTCGGAAAATATATTTAGCTCTGATTTGGCAAATACAGCTGTAATATAAAGTTTAAATTGTGTTTTCAGGACTAAATGCACTAATAGGGACACCACATAATACATGTCATGAGCTTAAGTCAAAATAAATAATTATATGGGAGTTAAGCAAGGTTCATTTCTGGCCCCCCTCTTATTTTGTTCATTTATAAGTTTGTATAACCCTACTCCTATGAATTAAACATAATTAGTAAGACTGTTCTTAAATTTTAGATTTTTATGCTCTGCTACATATCAAATTAGTATGTATAAATGACCGTAGCCTAAAGAATTGAAAGATTTTCACAAATAAATGGTTTATCGAGTACAGACATTTACCATGCATTCACAATTACAGACTATTACAGCGACATCAGGACCACTAAAAGCAAATTCAATTATTCATTAAATTTTGGTTGAGGTTAAAAACATTAATACAGTCCATCAATGTATTCTATGCATTATTGAGTATGAATATGAAATATGTGGTTTTCCATGACTCTTCAGTAAGGAGGAATGAAATACCAAGCAGGAAGGTGATGTGAAATTTGAGTAAGAATTTGCAAAATTTAATCTAACAAAAATCTACCATTATTTGTAGAATTTTGATTAAATGTAAAATATTAATTCATCCCATAAATATATATTATGCATTCTTTAACGGTGTCCAACCCAAACGCTCTTACATGCACAACGGAATGTTTCATCCACGCGGAAACGGGGCTAATGAAGATCCCACTATGACTGTGGTAAGTATTGTTTCACAAGTTTCTCTTACATATCACGCGTTATGGTGACATATTATGTACCATTCAATGAACAATACCCTGATCAAAGCTCCGTAGTGTAGATCAAACAAATCTGAAGTTGACGAATTGACCACAAATTACGAATTAAATTAGTATTTATATGAAATTTGCTCTAAAACATAAAACTATTGACAAATAAACAAAAAGTTTATATGTGAATTAATCTTTCTTCTTTTGATACCAAGTGATACAATAGATCTTTTCTTTCTCTCATTGAAAAGTTGAGCCTAGTAACGCAGTGTTTCCAGTTCACTGTGTTAACAAGATCGCAGCATTTCTTGAATATGAGAATGTCATCATTTTTAAGACTTGATTTTTTGTTATCAAATCACGATTACAATAATGTATGGTTTGATCAAGGTTTGGAATTTGACCAAAATATACTCTGATGCTCAACTCAACTAGTCACATGTCTCGACAAACAGGGTTTTGACCGGAAGAATGACAAATACGTTTATGAATTTTGATAATTATACTGCTTAAGACAGCTCTTCCTAATTGCTTCAAATGTCAACAGCCATCCAAGTACAATATATCACACCCATCAAATGGTATACTTGAAATAAGTAACACATACTTCTTATTCCCATCATTGGGGAAATTGTCAGATGACTCATCATTTCAGTAATGAAACGCTCAATCTTGCATGTAAGAGAGTTTGGGTTGGACACCGTGTCCTTTAATTGTGAAAATCAAATATGTGGGATGTCATGACTCCTCAGTAAAGATGAAAGAAACGATTGGAGGGAAGATAACTTAAAATTTGGGTAGGAATTTGCTAGTTAGAAATTAAATCTTCCAATATTCTACAATTACTTTGAATTATTAAATTATCACAATTTCTAAATAATATTTAATGAACAATTAATTTTGTAATGTCTGGGGCTAAGGCCATGGATGTTTTTTTAAGAATAAACAAAAATGAATATAAAATATGGTAAAAAATCTATTCTAACATTTTGCAAACATGACATATCTGCAACAACTACATGTACTAGGGCAACAGCCCAACTCATATGTGGGTGTTTTCCATATACAGAACAAGTGAAACAATTGATATAAATACACCCAGAAAGTGCTTATTTTGCAAAAAAAGAAAGACCAAGCGAGAGAATTCCACCTACTCACATGCCTTGGAATATCACATTAAAGATACAGCCTACAGGCTGGTGTAGTTTGGGGACAAATGCTAAATGCTTCACCACCTGGCCTTTACGACTACATCAACTGGGGATGGGACAATAATGAAACTGTTACCCCACTGTGGACAACCCAGACACAGTCCTCCAAAGCCTGCCAAGCTCTTGTACAATGTTCATATAAAAAGCTATGTTCTGTATGCACTTGTAAAAAGCCAGGACTTACATTTTGTGACAGTATTTATGATTATTTATAATTATAACAGAGTAAAAAAAGATCCAGGTGGAACTCCTTCAAAGGCTATTTTGTATTTGGCAGACAATAATTTAATTTGAACCTGAAATATAAGATAAAATTATGTTTGAAATATTATCTTTATTCAAGAAAACAGGTTCATTCACTAAAGTTGTTGCAAAATAAGAGCCCTCCCAAAATACTAGATGTAAACAACATGCTTTACTACTGAAACAGTATTATTTTTAAACCACATTTATCTCTATATATGAATCTATAGTGTTATTTGTACCAAATTATGCGTATATGGTGGCCATTTTGAATTTTTCTTGAAATACTGTTTGGTTTTATCGATCACAGGGATGGAATTTTTCCTAATAGCATAATAACAGATGTAAAAAGTCAGGACTTACATGCGCAGACTTGTGCAATTGCACATGCAATTCTGTATAAGTCATTAACATTTTATGACAGTATATATGAGATTGTGATAATAACAGAGTAAAAAGGAACAATGTGGAACTCCTTTAAAGGCTATTTTATACTTGTAAGACAATAATTTAACTTGAACTTGAAATAATTGATTGAAAAGATGTGTGAAATATTATATTATTCAAGAAAACAGGTTCATTCACTTCAATTGTTGCAAAATAAGAGCCCTCCCATAATAGAACCTTGTAATATAAAGTCATTTTGTCCAAATTCAAATCATTAATGAATGTGACTGTATTTCTAGATGTAAACAACATACTTTACTACTGAAACAGTATTATTTTTAAACCACATTTATCTCTATATATGAATCTATAGTGTTATTTGTACCAAATTATGCATATATGGCGGCCATTTTGGATTTTTCTTGAAATAGTGTTCAGTTTTATCGATCACAGGGATGGAATTTTTCCTAATAGCATAATAAGAGATGTAAAAAGTCAGGACTTACAAATACAGTCTTCAGTTGTTGCAAAATAAGAGCCCTCCCAAAATAGAACCTTGTAGAATCCCTATAAAAAATCATTTTGTCCAAATTCAAATCATTAATGAATGTGACTGTATTTCTAGATGTAAACAACATGCTTTACTCCTGTTCCAATATTATTTTTAAACCATATTTATCTCTATATATGAATCTAGAGTGTTATTTGTACCAAATTATGCCTATATGGCGGCCATCTTGAATTTTTCTTGAAATATTGTTCAGTTTTATTGATCACAGGGATGGAATTTTTCCTAATAACATAAATAACAGATTAAGCCATTAAATTTGCTTGTATCACCAATTGAAATATTTTCCAGCAAATTCCCCCCACTATAATGGTATATGTAGTGATGAAACAAAATCTGAATATATTAGCAAAACCTATAATGGTATATGTAGTGATGAAACAAAATCTGAAAATATTAGCAAAACCTATAATGGTATATGTAGTGATGAAACAAAATCTGAAAATATTAGCAAAACCTATAATGGTATATGTAGTGATGAAACAAAATCTGAAAATATCAGCAAAACCTATAATGGTATATGTAGTAATGAAACAAAATCTGAAAATATTAGCAAAACCTATAATGGTATATGTAGTGATGAAACAAAATCTGAAAATATTAGCAAAACCTATAATGGTATATGTAGTGATGAAACAAAATCTGAAAATATTAGCAAAACCTATAATGGTATATGTAGTGATGAAACAAAATCTGAAAATATTAGCAAAACCTCATTATGTTCTGTGTCATTGAGTGTGATGAAACAAAATAATAACATTCAAGGTGAGCCAAAAAGGTAACCAAAACAAATGTTAATAATTCCGTCTACCAACATGGATTTGAACTCATATTTGAACTAAATTAAATGTAAGTTAGTAGAGGGTATGTTTAGATAATATACAATGGAACAAAAAAACATTGTAATTATTCCGAGAAGAAGCTATTGATAAGAATGGCCTATATTTCCGAAAACAAATTAATCACAACAGTAACACTTATATAATTGATGACAAAAACTAGTTGATTACAATAAATAGTTGAGTACAATAAACAGATGTTTGAGACAAAAGACAACCCACTATCGTTGTATGATTTAAAAGTATCGTATTAGTTCAGAAAACATGTTTGAATCTAATTATAAGGACCAAATTCAAAATGAGAAAATGCACATTTCGATATCAATTTCGCTTGAATCTCCTTGCCAACTTGAAAGGTCAAATATGGCAACAACCTTCGATGCATATTTTTGTAATAATAAAATATCATCTAAAAGTAGTATCGAATTTAATAGAATATTCTAAAACCACGCTGTTTTGAATTGAATGATCTTAATCCTTGTATGATTTACATGAATGGTATGAGATCAGCAGATATATATATATTTCTTTATTGCGACCAATTCTGATCATATACATATAGTTTAACATAAAAGGTTATAAAAGGTTATGAAGAAAAAACATACAAAAATATAACAAAATATACAGTAGTTGTTTAGTGCAGGACGTTTAGAGAATTGAGAAATCTAGTTCTCAGTTGGTACATATGATACACTGTCCTGGCTATTATAATACAATCATCATATTCATTTGGGGCAAAAATATTTTCAATTACATTTAGGTCACTTCCGCCTAAGTAAGGTCGTATAGGATTTCTAGTTGTTTCCAGCACATCACAAAACTTAATAAAATGTAACAATGATTCATGCGAATTACACATTGGGCATACCCTATTCACATTTGGCTCGGTATGACGACCAACACCTTCACCAACCAGTAGTCTCACCATAAGTTTACATTTGAATATCATTTCAGGTTTGTATTTACATAGCTGGTACCAGACTATTGGAGTACGAGTAGTTACTACTTCTCTATAATGTTTGATTTTATTATATGTCATACATTGAAAACGCCATCTTTGCAGAGACTTTGTAAGAACAGAACTTTTCACTATCTTTTTCCAGTGCCACTTGGATGGAAATGTGTTATTAGAAATATAGCTATCCATTCTTCCTATAAGATCATATTGCATTCCAAGTTGTATAATTTCCCTAATTGGTGATGAAACTGTTACAGCACATTTATCTACGAAGAAGCTATATAGTATAGCATACCATCTAAAGATACTTAACTTCTTACAAATACCAACACTAGTATTAAAGATGTGCCAGAAATACATGAGCTTCCTGATTGCAATAGTTTCGCTTATACCTGTCCAACCATGTTTAATATAATGATTAGGACCAAATTTAAAATGAGAAAATGCACATTTCGATATCAATTTCGTTTTTCTCTTGGTCATCTTTGAAAGGTCAAATATTGCAACAATCTGCGATGCATATTTTTGTAATAATAAATATCATCTAGAAATAATAAAACCATAACGAGTGTGATGCATACATCTGTTGACGTAGATTAATGTTTTTGACACGTTTAAGGCATGTTGCAGAAGGCGTGAGCTATTTTGCAAGCTAATTTCTCTTTTAGTATGACTACTAAATGTATGATTTTGGCATAGGATATAATAATAGCACCCCCTTGTGTTAAATATGAAATACATCTAAAGAAAAAAATGCTTACTCGTGCATCGAGTCTTACCTTAGCTATGGGTAATCCAACAAGGCATGTACACTTGTTTTTACCCTTTTTATAGGAAGAGTTAACAATGAAAATTTTCGCTACATTAAACAGCGATATCAACGATTAGAATCATCGTTAGTATGGATATCTGCGGTTCTGAAAATAATAAAGCAAGAATAAATGCCTGTTTACTCCAAAATTATTAGAATTTTATTAAAATGAGGCAAATAATAAGAAAACATTGTGTATTATGATGTTGTTTTTTGTAATTACAGTCTGATACCTGGTATATACATCGCCTTTTAATCCTGAACATAAGTTATTTGTTTTATGACACAAATCGCACAAATCGAACACTTTAACCGTTAAAGTGAATGTTAAAAAATAGTAGCAGATATACGGAGTATGCCATACATGTGTATCTGTTGGTCACTTTCTTATTATCCCAACGGACGAAGTTCGGTATGGATATAGTGAAGTCCTCCGTCCGTCCGTCGGTCCATCCGTCTGTCTGCCAGTCCATCCGTCTGGCCGTCTGAAAGATAACTCGAATACTGGTGGACGGATTTTGTTCATATTTGGTGGAAAGATGTGTATCGGTTAATAGTTGTACGCAACAAAAAAATCCAAGATTGCCGCTGCTTAAAAATGGCGGTAATTTTTCGTAAAAATCTTAAGTTTTTCATTTTAAACCAAAGTAATAAATATTATTGTTACAAATGTTAATAGTATATTCACAACATCTATCTATTTCATATTCTATTCCGAGTTTTTCACCATGACCCCAGAGTCTGTGTAGGGGGATGTGGAAAACAGTAATTTGCGTTAATTTGAGATCTTTCTAAAGTATAACTTTATTATACTAAATTGACAGGCAATTTAGAGCAGATTGGAAATATTGTATCGTTTTGTAATTTGGCCCTCGTAAAATTCAAACTGTCCGTCTTATGTGAGATTTCGCAATAATTTTCTGATCTTCAAAATATGGCTATATTATACTCAAATTGAGGGACGTTTAGGATAGATCATTATTATGGTATTGTTTTTCTGGTTTAGTGGGTTGGGCATCAGAAAATTCAAAATGGCTGCCAAGAGGAATTTGCATTAATTTTGAGATCTTTCTTTATTATTCTTAAACAAAAGTTGTTTTTCTGATTTGGACCTCGTAAAATTCAAAATGGCCGCCTTACGTGGGATCTAGCAATAGTTTCCGATCTTTTCAAAGTATGGCTATATTGTTCTCAAATTGAAGGATATATAGGGCCGATCACTGTTATGGTATTGTTTTCTGAAATTTCTCTAAATGTTATTAATTTTTATGACCAATACAGATTCATATGCAGTGTTCGTTGGGATTTGCTACTCCGTGGGGTTGCCGTTTTCTAGTTTGAAAATGGAAATACTGTATTGCATCTTGATGAACCTAAGAGGCACTGCTTGCAGTGTTTTAACTGAAATACGAAGATGACGTATTTAACAAACAGATGTTGATAATTATAAGCAGGTGTAAAAGGGTAGGAGGTCCTATCAAAATATGGTCCTACTTTCCATTGATTTATATCGTGAACTAAATACAACTCTCTTTTAGTATCGTATCCGCAATCAGGGCCAGTAAGGACCTAAAGAAAGGAGACCATAATCCCCAGGGGACCATCATTTCCTTTACACCGGGGCATATAAAAAGGCCCTGTCTAACTAAAGGCGGTTGTTATCGCAATTGGATGGTAGGAAAGCAAAACATTTCAGTGTGTGTTTTCTCACACGGCCGTCTCACGTGTTCCTAGAGGCAACCTGTGATGACGTCATTACTAAATTGAATGGGTGCATGAAAGAGGGGGAGAAACCCCATAGTTCAAAGTTGATCTACTTCTCTAATGTAAATCTGTATTGAGATGACCTACCGTCCTGATTGGTCCAAAATCGACAAACAAAAGTAGCGGATTTAAATACTATTATTATTTCCTAGCGTGTTAACCACTATCGTAGCTAGTTATTTTACTCAAGCTTCGTTTTCGTGGTGATGCAATTTTACTTTCGTGGAGGATTTCCTGTATCACACGCTGAAACATGTGATAACAGATCTCATTAAATGGCGTGCAAATTTCGTTATACCCCAATTCATGCCTTTCACGAACTATAGGGATGTTTATATTATTTGTAATATATTATCGAAATCATAATTTTACTTAACGATAATAAATAAATCTCGGCCATTCCCATTTAGCATTGCTAAATATTCATTTTCTGATAATAAATCAATTCTTATTATAGTAAAGAACAAATCGTTCGTGTATAAATATGGCTAAATAAAATATATGTTATACTAAATATCTTTATCGGATAAATAAAGCATTCTTTCTTTTCTGCGCAAAATAGAGAAATACAAGTACTGGATGTACCCGACACCTCAGTTGTCATAGGAAAAATGAACATATATATACTCAACAGAGTTATACCCATTGAGATCGGGATCCAATTTCTAAATAATTGTCAACGCTTGTCAGTGAATATTGCAGTTTACGTTAAACTTTACAATTTTTATTATGATTCTACATTACCTTGAAATGATCAAGTCAAGTTCAAGATTATCAAAATCGATACAAAATCGAATTGCTCGTGCTTTTTTGTTGCATTGCAAATCAATAGCGCAGAAAAATGCAAGAGATCATCTTTAGAATATAAATATTTACGACGACAAAACACAATAAAGCGTTTGTTAGCATGGTCATGAGTAATAAATCATCTATGATTATGTTGAAAAATGTCATTATGTTTTATTGTTTACTTGATGACTGTGAGAAGTCTGATTGGTACTAGAATATGTTAAAGAATTAAGTAAATACCAAAAGGGTATATTGACACCCCAATAGTACACGTTAAGCATCAGTATAATAGGGAGTTTAAGCTTGCACATAAAATTGAAACACCAATTTAAACATATGGCAAATCGCCCATACGAATGCATCGTTAAAATAGTTTCCGTTCACGTTTAGGTTGTGATAAACATTGCAAGCAATTCCCTCTATATTTAACTGAGCGGGAAATCGAGTGATACAATAAATCAATTTAGCAATTCACTTATGATATGTTTATTATTCCGTAATGTATATTTTATGAGGTGTTTTATTATTATCATTTATTTATTTATTGATATTACCATTTATTGCGCAGCTCTACGTCCATATGTGGGACAAATCGTCGTCTATATGTAGGAATACATTTATGGACGTATAGAGCTGCGCAATAAATGATGACGTAATCAAACGCTTCATAAGTTATACGTAATGAGGGAATGATAAACACGCTCCATAAGTGAGTTGCGAAACTCTAATTTGTCTGAGCGTAAATAATACTCCTATTCGCGATAAGAGTTCAGGTGGTAATTTACATAAATATCTCCCATGATGCATCGCTTTGGAAGGGACAAATTTTCATTGGCCCGCCGAACGAGTCGATTACTCTGAACGTTTCTCAGCTTCTGATCTTCCATCAGCCCTCAAGCATAGTTATAATCCAATCTATTCATTAATCCGAAAGATAATCGGAGATTTAAAGTAACATTATTTATATTTTTCGATCTTCGATGGCGTCTGAGCAATTTCTGGGATATCAGTGACGTCACTGGAATTGGACGGCATTTTCAACTACAGATTTCTTCGGATTTGGGGATTATAGCTCAAAAAGCTTTGTCATATATCTTAATTACATACATACCTATTGTTTGTGCAAATGAAACATGTTTAATAGAGCCGCAGTGCGGCATTGAAAATAGCATCCCTGTGTAATCCAATGGGAAAGAACCCGGATGTAAACGAAGTTGTACCATACATGAGAGCTCTTCAAACGAGAGGTAGCTAAACTGAACGAAATTAAACGTTATCGCGTATTGGTATATTGGCATCCGGCAGTTTCAATTGGTTAATTAATGTATTAAGACCTGACAATGTTTGAATCTCTATTTTGTTTCTTATTTACAAGTTAAGAAAGAATTTGGTGATTTTTAGCTCGCATGGTGAGCTTTTGCAATCACTCACTTGTCTGTCTGTCTGTCCGCCCGTCCGTCCGTCCGTCAACTTATATAGAAATTATATCCATTTTTTTATTTTCAGCCATTTTAGTTAACATTAATTTGTCCATCTGTCTCGCGAAATCCACTTTTGGACCAAGGAAACGTTACTCAGACAGTCATCGCATGGAGCAGATACATGATAACGAAACATGAGTTAACACATACATTTTAAATGCTGTGTTGCATTTTAAGATTCTGATTGACTTGAATATCGCTATGTGAATATTACTGTAAGCATTCTACATGAAATAAACTTATAATGTCATAAAAAGATGGCACTTTTATCAATTCCTTGTTTTGTAGTTCACCATTACAAAATAACTATTACTAATATAATAAAAACGAAAATATTACTTTTTTAAAGTGTTAAAACACATAAAAGCCAGAAGGTGTTAAATCCACTGCTGGGATGGTTTGATAATAACACACTAAGGTTTGAAATGAAATTATGAATATATTTTTGGAGATATAAGGTCAAGGTATAAGGTCAAAACCAGAATTCTAACATATGTTATTACTAGCCGTATATCGTCGTGTATCGTAATCGTATCATTATGCCGACGGCAATGTACGGATGCGAACTATGGTATTCTTTAAGTCCTAATGAAATTGAAACAGTAGAGATTACACAGCGTCACATAGCAAAAAGATTTCAGGGTATGGTGAATCGTACACCGAGTGGAGCTGTGATAAGCTCTCTGGGGCAATATTCAGTGCAATCGTATATACATAAATTAAAATTAATGTTTCTAGGACGACTATGCAGATTAAGTGACATCTTAATACAGAAAAAAATATTTATAATTCGCCTTGCGAGCACGATTGTACGAGATGTCCATAATCTGCATAGTCAGGGTTTTTAAGTGACGTCATGTCTATTTTAGATACATATCCTGTTATCCGTCAAGAATTCTTAACTTATTTGGAAGGAAATACTTTTAAACATAGAATTATGGACAAAGGAAAATGGAAATTATTAGTAAATGGCCAAATTCAGTATACAGAATCAAAAACATGGCGAGAGACTGTACACATTAATCCAAGATTACAACGCTTTTCAAATGTTCATATAGAGTATAAGCCTATTATTTATTGGGAACTTGGTCTAAAATATCCCATGTTTACTTGGCGATTTGGCCAGTTGCTTTCACTCCTTTTACTTTTAACCGAAAAAGAAACGAAATGCCTTGCATGTAAAAAGTTAACAATTGATATGGTCAGTCACCTTGTTCTTCACTGCCAGCATATCCGAGTTATTTATTTGAGAGAGAAACTCTTAGATGGTATTGTTAATATACTACCTATTGATCTATCAGTTCAATTATTGAACACTTCTGAAGATATTATTGTAGAAACGTTATTAGGAAGCACTACTGATGTACTTCAAAATTGCCAAGATGGTACAATTGAACAGTTCCTATTGAATAGTGCATATTACATTGATCTAATGGTTAAAACAGTTATCAAACAAACGGAAATGTAAAAACTCTAAATGTAAATCAATATGTAATAATATGTACAAATGTAAATAATCTGTTAATGTGAATTGTCTGTAATTATATGTAATGTTTAAATCTTCACCTATGTGGAGGAAATAAAGACACTGAACTGAACTGAACTGAACTGAACTGAACCGGGATGGATACACGCTGTATCCATCCCGGTCCCGCTCCTTTTTTTAAATTAAAAAAAAAAATTCTAATTTTTTTCACATTTTTTTAATTTTTTAAAAAAAATTCTTTTTCCAAATGTTTTGAAAATCCCGCAAACTTTAAGACCAAGAAAACGCGTACCTTATGTATGTTTTGGAATTTTGGATCTTTAAAAGGTATGATGTACCTAGAACCTCAGTAGGTATGAAGTTTTGTCATGACTTTATTGTTATCCTTTTTATTTGCCTTGTAAACGTGTTAAATAATACGTTTGGTAAATTCATTGAGTTTGTTTTATATTTGTATGTTTTAATTATGATAAATATCATATGGAGTGCGTTATATTGAGGCTACAATTAAATCTGGATCACGATTCTCCTAGATCCTATAGGTGTGTATACAATTCATCATTGTATTAAAACGTTCCTTTGTTCGTTTCTATGTCAATGTTCTTAAAATTCCTCAAAATCGGCTTCATTATTAAAACGTATACAAACAAGTACATCTAGAATTCATTGAAGTTGTCAATTCCTTGAATTTGTATGTCGATACCTTTTAAATATCTAGATGGAAGAATTAGCATTGGGATTTTAATATATTTTTGTCGATTTCGACCGGTTTAGACTACAGACGCCAACCGCCGATCGCCAACCGGCGTCACCAAAAACGAAGATCAGAACAATTTGTCACCACTTTTGGCGGTGACATAAAAATGATACAAGTTAGGTCATATGCCCAAATAAAAATCAGACTAAGATCATTGAACGAGGAACAAAGAATTTGAAACACTAGAGAGAAAACGAAAAATAAACCTTTGAAAACGAAGAAACCCTATCGCTCACACTGTTCCATAACGGATATGTTATCCAACTAATTATGTCCTCGACTAATTAACTATAGATGCTTACACCTTAAGGGATCGTCACATTAATATCAACAAATGAACCATATAGATAACCGTAATTGTTCATTAAATTTGCAATCCTGGAGCTTCAAAACGATAATTGTCTCATTTGTAAATATATAAATAAAAATAAATTCTTAAAGATGCATTATGCCATAGGTTTCTCCCCCAGACAATCAATGATGTCCTATTGTTATTGCTCATATAATATCTCACATACCATTGCTATATCTTGAGAATAACCTTTGGGTATATTATTGCCGAAATATCGGAAATTATCAACAGAATAACCAAACTCCAGAATTAAACACAATCGATTCCTCGGCTAGCGAAAGAATTCCCATTGAGTCACACAAGCGCCAACAAGAGCCTTGAACCAGGGAGCCAATCAGGTTAATGATAAACAAATTCAACTACCAATCAGATAACAGGAGGACTTTCCCGGAATATTCAAACTTCGGATTAAATTAATTTCTCTGAAAATAATTAGATCGGCCAGCACAATCGCAAAATTAACACTGAAAGAGGGGGCTTTAGGACTTCTTCTTTGGTAAGTAGATGGGTATATATGTGGTGAAACTCAATATGCAAAAAAGTCCAAAGGGGTTTTGATTGTGCTATCCTATGGCATAGAGCCTCTTTAATTATTAAATAGAGCTAATATCTCATTTGTAGTTAATGTACATCCTTGATGGCTTCCTATATAACACCACAGATTGTAAATCCTTGATACATTGATGCATTTTAAAAATCGAAGTGTTATATTTTCATTTTGGTATTTGCATTTTTATGGTATCACAAGATAAAGGTCTATTCTTCGACAATTTATGTCTGCAGTTTATTCTGTTAATATCATTGTAATATTAACGGGGTCGACTGGATATATTAAGGAAACTCTAATATTACGCATCTCATAAAAATGAAATGCACAATTTTGAATGTCGTTCTCGTTGGAGTAGCTATGGTACTGATATGTTCACCTACAGATGCAATGGACACTGTTGAAATGGACGAAGAAGTATCGGACACTTCGCTTATTGTCAAGATAAGTATGTATCGTATGACACTTGACTAACCTTACTTACTTTATAAATAATTCGATGTCAAATTGTTTATACTTTTTTTGATTTCGTTGTGTTCAGATTCAATACATATTATTAATAGAACATTTGCGTTATTTACGATAGTATTTATACGAACTGTTGTAGTTGGGCATGGTGCACCCGTACTTCCTGTTGGATTTACAACTTCCGCTATAGGTAAGCGTGTGCTGTTTGTTTATTGTTAGTTGATGGCAAACTAAATGCTATGATGGGAATACGGTGGGTAGTGACCTACCTAATGAACAAAGGTCATAAGATATAGAATTCTGAAACAAAAGCAGTGACACACACTACAAGTACCATTGTTTATTATTACCACCTTGCCGGGCCAGTTCTAGGTGTTTTTAGTGCTAGTTTAGAAGGCATTCATTTTACTATATCGACCTGAGCTATAGGTGACGTCATAGGTGGTCCATATTGCCGATCTAGAATGCATTTAACGACCGGCAATTTTCCCCGGGAAATTAGATATCGTTCAGTGCGTAAGATTTTCTTGCTGTTTCAGTCCTGGTCATTAACGGTGGTAATACTACTAATAACGTCATTTCAAAGGGCAATATAGGGCCGAAGCCCCAAGGTCCAATATTTCACTATATTGCCCTCCGAAATGACGTTATTGTACTATTCTACTGAATAGCCTATAGATATAATTATTATTGACAATAAATTGTTAATAAAGAATAAAACGGAGTAAATATGAAAATAATTATTTGCATAATCAAATATTTCTTAAGATCATATCAAACAATACTAATCATAATTTCCTGTGTAGCGGGCAGTGCAGTATTATAATGTATTTTCAGTTGGTTCAATAGATTTCATGAACATTTTTCAGTTTGTGCATGCGCAGATGTTGCATAGATTGTTTTTCGGTTCATGTAGATATTTTGATGAACATTTTAGTTTTTCATTAGCATAAATTGTAATGTTTCCGATGTTACTATTGTTTTGAATTACTTTAATTTTTTAGTTTGTGCAGATGTCGTGATGATCCTTGACATATCATGCTCCATATCACGCCCAGCGAAGCAACGTGTTAGGAACATTGCAGCGGCCGTTGCCCAGTCCCTTCTTACATTGATAAATCCTGAGGACCCATCATCTTTCAGTCAGGCTAGAGTGGGGGTCCTTACATACAGTGAAGACACGCGACACGTTTTATATCTAAGTATATAACAATGCTGTACAGGGGCGTAGCCAGAATCTTCAATTAGATATAGACAATCAAAAATTACTAAACGAGACAAATTGATGCTAAATGAGCATGATTGTAACAACTATTTTGGTTTCATTTTAACTGTTTCTTTGAAAACAATCAGAACGAAAGATAGATTCGGATTCCTGTTATGGTCGGTCATTGTCGAGCGTCTGGCTATACCGATCCAAGTACTTTCCCAGCTCTCAGTGTTAATATTCATATAACGTTAACGTAAAAGGGGGATGTTCTATGATTATGGGTAATATGATTTGTTTCGAGCAATGTTTATCTGCACAACTGCGCTTTGGAGAAGTTTTTTGTGCTAATTTCTACATTCTACTTTCTTTGAGTTGAAACGAGAATACATGTTGGCCATAAAGCCTCAGTCAAATTTGGTCTTAGGCGATCGCACGTCGACTGTAGCTCCCTGAAATCAATCAATTTCTGCTGCAACCATTGGAAAACTTCGGCCGCCTTGCGATCTCCATACGGCGTATCAGGGTTTTACAGGCCGTAGAGTTGCCGTAAAAATTAAATCTCGGAGTAACAATTTTTTCTTTCATGCACCGTAATTATCAACAAGCCACAACCACACCGTTAAAATGTCACATGCATGATGGCCGTACGGTCGATTTGCGACAGCCATTGGATTTTATGACCTTTGCAAACTGTAAGATCACCATCAGGCCCCTGATGGTTGCCTTGAATCTTCCTTGATTTATGTGAAGAAAAACGCTCTACGCTGATCTTGCGTCATCATTACGCACGGCAGCCGTAATTTTAATGCCTCGTCAAAATCAAATTACGCTTTACGACCTCCCTGGCAAATGTAATTGCTAAAGTGCAGAAGAAATTTTAAGGCGACCATAGGAACGTTACTGACTGCATAAATGATATACTGTACGTCCACCATAGCAAATTGTGTGAGGCTTTAATACAACTCGTCTTGCTTTTAGATCATACCAAACCAAGTAAGCAAGCCGTTAAAATTATCAAAAATGTGAAAATAGTAAAAAACAAAGAAACGCTGTGTAGGACGGCAACTCACCGAGCACTACGTGATGTACGAAATTATTTCTTCAATACCAGACAGCAAAATAATAAACAAGTGATCCATCTTTACACGGATGGACTCACTTTCCTAAGACGTAACAGAAAGGCACTCTATCGAGAACAGAAGAAACTCAAGGATATGGGTGTGATCATAAATGTGATTGCTGTACCCCAAAGGTAAGATAGATATGATTCAAACAATTTTTGAAAATTCGAAGTATTTTCCAGAATTATGGAAGATTTCTTATCTTCTCCAATTCTGGGTAGAAATAAGAGAAATGGGTCGTTTGCAACTTTGTAATTTTTGTAAAATACTCAGAGACCTCTAAAACTAACTTTCTACCTCAGATTTTTCGTTTTTTCAATAAATGATAAAGATGGGTGTTGCAACTTATTGATTTATATTAATATTTTGAAAACCTTCATAGATCAGCATGGACCTGCCATAAGAGTACAACAGGGACACCGACAATGTCAATTAATCCAATACTCCCACCATGAGTTCGATTCCCTCCGATTTTTAAATCAGCCTCTGATGTATTAATTTTTGTAAATCAACAAGAGAAAATTTGTATCGATCGCCAAAATTGAAAAACAAATGAAGTGCACCGACCACGAAAAGCCTAATTTATTAATCTCAGATAAATGCGTACACAAATTAATGAATAAAACTAATTTATGGGTTCACGTTTGCATTAAAAATGCAATAAAGTGAAGAACGTATTATAATTGCAGAGACTTGCCCTGTAAAAAAATACGTAACAAATATGTGGAAGAATGTTCATTAATTAGGCCTATGTTCTCCAGCTACAACATAATTCGTTTGCACAAAAACGTGCTCTGCCAATTCTTTCGATTTTCTTAATACAGCGACATTCACTTATCATGTGTTCGATGGCTTTACATCGATTATCACATTGACCCATTAATTATTGGGTTTAAGGCCGATATTGTAGTTCTTTTCATTTATATAGACTTATTGTCTTCTTCTCTATGTTGACTGGCCCTCGCGCTCCGCTAAACGCTTCTTTATCACCTCGATTTCTGCTTCCAATTTAATACACTCCGCTTCACCGTCCCATTCTTTCAAAGTCGGCATATACGAACAGTCTTTCATCTTATGATGGGCGTTCAGGCAAGTGTGTGTGTCAGTTGCATCATGACAGCGCTCGCAGTCGTGTTTTCCTAGATGTTCCACCTGCATGTCGACGAAGTTACAAGCGTGCATAACACGTAATTCTCGCTCACTCACGATACAACGCATCTTCAATATTTTCTTCTTAATGGACTTTTGTTCAGCCGCCTGTTGCTTGTTGGTTTCAATTGCGTTTCGAATGGCTTTATTCTGGTTAAATATTGTTTTTTCGTCACGGAGAAGCTGTTCTGAAATCAGAAACAAACTCAGGTCATGCTGCTATTCAAATCTAAGAAAAAAGTAAAATGAATAGTTGATCATAAGCACTGAAGTGGTTGCCCAAATACAATGACGGCTGCACAATATCATAAATTATTGCTCACAGAAATTCTGAAAGAGAAAATCATGATTGAAGGTACCGCATATTCGAATTTTACCCTTTTCCTCAAATTCTAGTTTCTTCTTCTCTTCTTCTAAAGTTTCCTTTGCAGCCATTCGTGTATCAATTATTTCCTCTACAAACCCTTGTAGTTTTTGCGTTATGAACTGTATACCGTATTCAATGTACGCCATGATTATGCTATTACTTGAGTAGCAGTACACTTAGTATATGCCTATAATAATTCACTTCCGAATCGTTTGATAACTCTGTCAGAAATGGATCTGTTTTGTTTATTTGTCTCTATGGTTATGCTGCAAGGTTTTGTTTATGACGTCATCATACAATTCGGGTAATAACCGTGACGTATATAAGCAGCAAATCAATCGGCTAAATGTCAAAAAAGATAGTGTGACGTCATTGCCAATGTGTTTGCTTGTCATCATGGCAATTATAAACAATATAAGGCTTGTAAAACCGTGTGGTCTCACTTCTTCATGAGACAGAGTGTAATTGCCAATTGGCATTTGTCTCAGATATCGTCTTACTTCATTAATGTTTATTCTATAAACTTTGGATTACAAGAATATTATTTATCAATTTTGTTTTGGCTGTTTTATTGAAATTGTTTAACCCCAGTGAATTTGTAAACATGGCAATTATAAACAATATAAGGCTTGCTGGATGTAAAACCGTGTGGTCTCACTTCTTCATGAGACAGAGTGTAATTGCCAATTGGCATTTGTCTCAGATATCGTCTTACTTCATTAATGTTTATTCTATAAACTTTAGATTACAAGAATATTATTTATCAATTTTGTTTTGGCTGTTTTATTGAAATTTTTTTAACCCCAGTGAAATCGTCACATCAAACTAGTTCTCACTACGTTCTTGGCACTCAGATACCCATCACATCTTTCTGCCTACAATTAGAATATGATCTGATTTAGTTTTTATCAACAATTTGCATGGTCACACGTTTTCAACAAAATCAGGTCATCCAATCGATATTTGCTAGTGCACCACAGGAGTTCGATTGCAATAAACCGTGATGTCTTTCAAAATAATTATGTGAGCGTAAGTGCACTTGGATGAGCTATTTTTGTTGAACACACGTGAGCATGTATTTTGTACTGCAGGGCTTATGATACATGAGGAGAAAACTCATTAAAATATACGCAACTGATTCACTCGAACCGCGGGCATACAAAAATACAGCCCCAAACTCTCTCATAACCCTCTAGAAAGAATGATATCGCATGATACCAGACGGGAAAGCGCTTAAAAACGAGCTTCTTCGAAATGTTGATGGCGTCCTTCTCTATTGTAGCTCGTTCAATATGTTAAAAAATTATGTCCTACAGTTGGTAATCTATGAAAATACGCTCAAGACAAAATAAATAAATACAAAAAGTTCGCAGTAGGTTCTTATTAAAGGTACCTTACATATGAAGGAATCTTAGTTATGGACGTATTGAGCAGGTCGACGCCGTTCGAAATATCTCCAAATGATTCCATCATTTGAAGACATTCTATCTGTAAAGTAAACATAATGAAATTCTACAATACAGAGCTATAATTTCTCTGTAATATGATACCGATCTTAGCAAAATCAAAGTAATCTTAGTAGAGTTATGCGTAAAAGTGTTTTCTGATAAATAAATCCCTAGTTTTGATGTTACTATGGAAACGGGCGCATTCGGGCCAATTTCATAAATGTTACATGAGTTTTCAAACGGAACCAAGTTTATCCATTTCTGACCGACTGAAACTGCACCGTTGCCACATGCGTTCAACATTTTTGCTTAACATCGAATAGACATAACCTCATTTACCCCCCTATCACACCAAACTAGTTCTTACCCGTTCTTGCCAGTCCTACGAAAACATCGTAAAACGGGCTCAATCTGGCTGTGGTCGGGAAATATGTCTGAAATAATTAGCTGCTTCGTTCTTAAACAGTCCTCAATACGTCCATCTCGTTCGCAGTTCGTTCAGGTCGCACCACGTCGGTGTGCAACGTCGTAGAACGCGTCCCTTAGTCTAGTAGGTCAACATGACCTGATTACAGAACGGTATGGTCGCCATCGAATTTTGAATCGATTCAAAATTCTAAAATCACATTCCCGTCTGAGAACGTTCATAAAGTTCGTAAATAGACCTTAGAAAGTTGCAGCTACGTCCATTCCGTTGGCACACAGTTTAAAACCAGTTTTGAAGAACGCAGTGGCAACTTATTTGGTGTGATAGCTATATTTTTGCTAACTCGTTCATAAGCAGTGTTAAATACGTTCTTAATCAGTTTAAACCCGTTTGCAATTAGTTCTACCTCGTTCTCAACACGCCCTCAGACAGTTCAACTCGTTGTTAAAACGTCCCTAGTAGGATTGAAGTACGACGGTTCCGTTCGTAGTACGTCGAGCTCGTCGTTAGTACGTTGTCACTCGTTCTAATTGTAGAACGTGACGACCACGAGAACATTTTGAGCATATTCTAAGTTCAAGAGGACCTACCCGTTCGAGTACGTTCGATGAAGTTTGTAAATAGATCCCAAACAGTTCTTAGTAGGTCCAGTCCGTTCGTACACAGTTGAAGCCTGTTTTCGAGAACGTAGTGAGAACTAGTTTGGTGTGATAGTAGGGTTAGCTATAATGTTCCATCCTTGGCCCAAGGGTATTTCACTTTTTTCCAGGAATTCAGTAATAAATGAAGTCCTTTGAATGAAGGATGATAATGTTCATTGCAGGATTGGTAAATTCGAAGAGGAAGAATACACGACGTTACCGCATACCCAACAACATTTATATAACTCTACGGAACCAAACATTGCTAATCAACTAATAGATGGCCTGATAAATGATGCATCTTGCGAAGATATAGCAAAAACGTCATAGTCAGATAAATAAGTTGTGCAGCTATGTTACCAAAAACAAAGGTAAACATAAAAATAAACGAAATATGTATACGACCTCTCTAATTCAAACACCTTTCAATATGAACACATTTTCTCTGTTCCAATTTGTACTCCCCATTGACCGCAATTTTAAAAAGATTTGCGATTTGAAAACGTGCTAATCAAAACAGTACAACACGTGGCTTAAGAGGGAGGTTTCTTCCAAATGAACCTGTAAGGATTTCGGCTTGTCTTTTCTAAACTATCTTACAACAGAATGGGGATAAATTCACAGAGATGAATTTTAAGTTTAATCTTGCGATGTATATCTCTTTTTACTTATCATTTATAGATGGCATAGTTCAAATTGAATCCAATGGTGACGAGAAATTGTCATATACACATGGACACGGCATTACAAATGCATATCAGAAACATTGTATGAAAATTTAAGAATGCAAACGTCTTTATTGTACTCCTATTAACAAGAGCAAAATAAACATTAAACAGTTTTTATACCGCATTTGTCTCGTTACTGGTATTTATAGTAATATTATTCAATTTAACTCAAGGCAGAATTGTTATATTATTAGATTTTAACAACATTATTATTTTTTTTTTATTTCATTCAATAATATTGTACAAATTACATAACAACGTACTTATTATTTCTATAAGGAGAACATGTATGCCCGAGACACATTTAATCTGATTCTTCCAACAAAATACTCAATCGGGAGCCTGCCGATGAATCGGGGCAAATGTGACTCGGGTATTACTTCTTGTTGACGAAGATTTGGCATTTTTAACTCACCTAATGCCTGGGTCACATTTGCTCCGATCCATCGGCCGGCGCCAGCCGATTGAGTGTTAATATTGTATTCAATTTTGAACAAAATACTCAATCGGCCGGGCGCCGTAGTGAAAATCGGAGCAAATGTGACCAAGGCATTAGTGAGTGTCTATACGTTTCTTATGTATCATATACGATGTGTATACTCCTTTGTTTCCTCTTAAAGATGATTTATTTTTTCCTCACACATAGCAAATAAACAAAAGTTGAACGATAAACCTGGACGTATCTCATCTACATAGCGTTTATTTACCATAGTAAAGATTTACAATATCACAAGTATTTTTTCGATCTGAAAATGGGATACGCCGGGGAAAAGTTATGCTAAATGTTATGTTTAATTGATACTGTACTACACATAAATTGTGTTTAGCAGAAGACATGCACCATCAATGTCATTTCATGCACTGAGTTCAATTCAAAATTGCGAAACCTAGTTTGGATATTTGTTTATACTTTAAAATTGATTGATAAGCAATTACATTAAATAGAGTACATACCTGTAACTCTCATAAATGTCTATACAACTCTTGAAAACGAACGTTATGCTCTCACGACACGTGCTCAAACACTATAAAGATGCGCGATCTCGCACCCATCTCTAGGTTACATCGCGGTTTCTGTCAGGAAATGATTATCAAAAACAAGCATATCTGATGTATAGTATAACCAATGGTTGGAAAGTTGCAAGAAGCGAAAGAGGTACATGTTCGCAGATGAGATAACTATCCTTGGACATTTTTTGTGGCTTAGATGAGTTCTGCTATCTGAGAGATACCGGCTCGCACTGCCCAATAAAGTTAGCTGAGGAGCTAACCTTAATGGATCAGTGAGAGAGAGACATCGTATTATAATTGATATTTTTGACTTCTAAATGGAAAAAAGTTAGCAACATACTCTAATTGATTTTGTGGAGTTAAACTTCTATAAATTGTAATTAAAGTTAGCAACCTTGTATTTGGTTTTTGGAGGTTTAAAATTTCAAATTGTAATAAAAGTTAGCAACATGTATTTTAATTGCTTTTTGGACTTTAAATTGTTATAAATGTCCGTACTTTAAGAAATTGTCTTTTCTCAACCAATATCAGTAGAAATGTAATAAAATATATAATGTTGGACGGTGAGTGTCTGACACTATGAATTCAATGATGATCTCTTCCTCATAGCAAATAACTCTACATTTACCTACCTTGCTAGATTCATATGCTTACATCCGGTACTAACAACAACGCTAACTCTGCAAACAAAATATTCATTAATTATGTTCGTATTTCCCCAACAAATAAATAAAATTCTTGTATTCTTCTAATATACAGGAATGAAATGTTTGTAAATACAGCATCCTGTTCTTTGAAAATATTTGTTCTCAAAAATAGTGAGAATATCCTCAAATTATGAAAATCGTTCAGGATCTTAACATACACCACTATTCATAAATATAGACGGTTTTCACTTTAACCATTTCATAATAATGACTTCAGTATAAATTAAACTAATCCTTTCATTATTAGCATCATGCATTCACAATGAATGTTGATATTCTTACAGTTTTTTCAATGAACTATCCCAATTGTTAAAATATAATTATAACATACAACGTAACACGCCCTATAAAAGGTATAATTGTCGAAAATATGACAAACGGTGTAGTATCGATAAAGCATTATATGAAAAATAATCGTCTAAATCAATCAAATCCCTGAAATATAATATATCTAGCAGAAGCAACGGAGTGTATCATAGTTCTTCACATCACTTTAATGAACACTTGGGCATTGTTATGTTTAAATTCAAAGTATATTATAATACAATCGTATAATACCATCGTATCCATATACGTAGAGTTCTAAAAAGGGGAAGCCGAATTGCGTTATTTGAAATATAAAACACATACAATGAACATCGGAGCTAAAATCTTGTTTATTGCGTATTTTGCTGTGCACCTGACCGACGTCGCACTTTCCGGAAAATATCAAACTATTATCCTTGACGGCCCAAAGGCACTGAGCGATGATATAAAAGACACAAAGATTGTACTTCGAATAGGTAAAAAGCATTTTTCTACCTCTTATATTATATTAGATAGACATGTAGGAATGTTGTTACTTTTAAACAATGCTTTTAATAAGAACAATGTTGTCATGAATTCAAACATACATACTGGGGCACGTTAGGACGCCCATAGATTTAACATTGCGTTAATCTCGTTGGACTTTGTGGGATTCCCCATGAATATGTTCATAATTTCCATTTTACTCGATGGGGCATGTTGGAACTCTTTTGGGATCCAGAAGGCAAAGTAAACGATCGAGGAGTCATTAGACGTAATGTCACATCTTTGTTCCAGTGTTTTATGTTGGGCTAAATAATCAACGATTACATTGGCGTCGGAAGGGGGGGGGGGCGGTCCGTCGGAAGAGGTGGGGGTCGACCGCCCCCCCCCCCCTCCCCATTTTTTAGAACTGAAACCGAACCTAGGATTGGAAGCCCCGGTGCTAATTAAAGTCAAGTGTAATAATGCCAGAAATGATACTATGTCCGTTTCTAGTCTACATCGAGCATCTATATCATGTATCATCATCTATATCATGTATATATCCAGAAGTAGCTAGTTCTATCTTCCTTCAACCTGTAAATAATGAAGAAATCTTAAAGATAATTTCTTCATTGACAGATTCTGCTGCCGGCTCAGATAATATCAAGCCAAAAGTAATTAAATTAAACAGTCATCTGATAAGCTCACCACTTGCTTATATTATCAATCTCTCATTTATGCAGGGTATATTTCCAGATGATTTAAAATTTGCAAAAGTCATTCCTATTCATAAAAAAGATCGCAATGACATATTTACACATTACCGACCTGTATCTCTTCTGTCTGTATTCTCTAAAATTTATGAAAAATGTATGTCTCACAGGTTGCTTGATTTCTTAGAGAAACAAAACATCTTATACGAACATCAGTATGGTTTTAAGAAAGATCACTCAACATTCATGGCTGTTTTAAAATTTGTTGAATCAGTACGCCTTGCCTTAGAAGATCACAAATATTCCATAGGATTAATGTGTGACCTGTCTAAAGCTTTTGATTCATTAAATCACAATATATTGATGCAAAAATTAAATTATTATGGTATTCGGGGAACTGCCTCCGATTGGTTTCAAAGTTATCTTTCAAAAAGAGCCCAGGTGGTACAATTTGAAGGGGAAACATCTGATATTGTTGAATTATCATGTGGTGTTCCACAAGGAACAATTCTAGGGCCTCTTTTGTTTATTATTTATATAAATGACCTTTACAGATCTTCAGAGGCTGCAGAAATGTTTCTATATGCTGACGATACAAATATACTATTTTTTGGTAACAATCTTGATGACCTCAATACCACAGTAAATGAGGAACTTTCTGTAATTAATGAATGGTTTAAGTGCAACAAACTCGCATTAAATCCAACAAAAACAAATTATATCTTATTCAGGTCTCCAAAAAAAGTAATTGAACATGAAAAAATAAAAATCTACATGAATAACTCACTTTTAGATAGAACTATAGTTGGAAACTTTCTTGGCGTACTTATCGATGAAACATTATCGTGGAAACCTCATATTAAACACATTGAAACAAAAATTTCAAAAACATTAGGTGTACTTCATAGGGTAAAATTCAATTTAGATGGTAAAGCTTTGAAAACAATATATTATTCACTAATTTATTCATACTTGAACTATAACTGCATAATTTGGGGGACTGTCCCTCCATCTTATTTGACCAAGTTACACAGACTACAGAAACAATTTATTCGAATTTTCGATATAAACTGCCAACCTAGAGATCACACACTCCCACATTTCAAAAGAGCCAATATCCTGAATGTATTTCAAATAGTGTACATGAATATTGCAGTTTATGTTTTTAAATGCATTAAAGGTGTAAACAAACCCTGTAAGAGGCAATTCAAATATTATTTTACTCCTAGTAATGAAATTCATGATCATTCCACAAGACAAGAATATAAACTTCGACCAGCAAAGTATAGAACTGATATTGGAAAATTCTCGATATGTAAACAAGGCACTGATATATGGAATGATGTACCTGGAGATTTACTTCGAATCAATTCTGTATCACACTTTAAGACAAAACTGAAGCAATATTCAATAAATCATAAACCATTGGTCTAAATGGAAGAACAAGGAAATAACAATAACAAATCAGTAAATTCATTAGTGTATCTTTCCTTCAACATTATCATATCAAAGCAAAAGTTATGATTAAATGCATAACTAAACATTCAGTGTTGAAGATGACCACAAAATTAACATATATCAATAAACATGACCTTAAACTGACCCATACTATTCAGTTTATCCTGAGACACATTTCTGGCACTCGATCAACTGTTCTTTTTCTAAAGGCATCGTACATGTGGTTGTGGGGGGGGACTGAGGTGGAGATGGGGTTCAGTGGTGTGTAGACATTTTGTAATTTTTTTTCATTATTTTACGTTGTAATATGGATAATACTCCCATTAGGGGGTCTTCCATCTTATCTGATGTATATGATTTTATTATAAACTGAAATAAAACACAATAACATAACATAACATAACATAACATGTATAGTTTCTCAGGAACCCATACAGTATGTAAATACTTTGAAAAATAAGTTTAAAAATAAGTCAAGTTAAGTTTTCTAAAAACACAGTTTTTTCTTGTTTTTATTATTCGGAATGTTGCTCAAAATGCACCAGAGGGGGTCTAAATTTGAAAATTTTCTGGTGGCACGCCCTCCCCCCGCCCAGATTGCGCTTCGCGTGCGGTGCGCTTCACGCACGACCTATCCATACCCAAAAATCGCCCCTCCCATTGCCAAATCCTTCTGACGCCTCTGCGAATAATGGAAGCAAATCTCAAAAATGTAACACATGGTTTCTCAGTATACACTTTGCATATAATTCTTTATACATTTATGTTTGTGTTAAACTTTATCTTTATAGAAGGGAAAGGCGCACTGGATCTTCTTCCGCCAAGCGACACTGGTGGTATTGGTGAGCATATTGATTTTGTTAATGACACAAATAACATAGTTCTATTTTTAACCAAGATTATACTTAAACCAAAAACAGGTTGCTGATTTAACTGTTTCATGTAGTCTCGCATAAGCATAGTAATGGTAACCATAGTTACTGTAACTTTGTAAACAAGGACATATAACAAGTTGTTATTCCTCGACTATATAGCAAATGCAAAGTGTAAGAGTGTACGTTGATTAATCATAGAGTTGTTTGTTATTTAGATATCGATCTATGGTACTCTTTATACTAATATATGGGATCCGGAGGTCGGGATTCTATATCGCTTCTGTATATACAATTAATAAGAAAAAGAGTTGACACAAACTCAATGACATTATAAACAGAGAAGATTGCTGCGAATCATTCTGAGCTATTGATCCGAATAATCATTTTAAACGTTAAAATAATCATTTTAAACATTTTTGGGATCATTTTTGATTGGATCAACATACATCCATGTTAAAGTTGGCCCCAACCAGATTTAGCTCCCACAAGTTTAAGGGATATCAGATACAGTTTAACTAACTAGAGAAATGCGCTCTGGTCGTTATTCAACCGATTACGTTTCTCAAAGATGCGTTTCTGAGACAATTGTTGAATTTACTCTAAAGCTCTTAGACGTCTTGGGTAAAACGTTTTAGCGTTAAAACGTTTTATAAAATGCAATGTTAATCCAAATTCTCTCAAGAGCTCTCGCCTAAGAGCGTTTAGCTAAAACTTTTAGGACCCTAATTATAGTCAAGACGTCTTATATCGTTAAAACATTTACAAATGAGTCTTAATCCATCGGTTTTAGCTAAGAGCTCTTATCCCAATTTTTTACGTTGCGCTGATCGAAAAATTTGAAATTTTGAAAAATATGTAGTGTAATTTTCTCAAATACGATGAACAGTCGGTCAATTAACTCAAGCTTTTTTGCCAGGTACAGGTATCGTAGACGTCCTTCCTATGTCAAATCGTATGTTTATTTCATAGACAATTACATGTTACTTCCTTCTGAGGTTCATTTGAATATGGTTTATTCCGAAAATATTATGAAAAACGAGTTAGTTGACAAATAGGGTTATACTGACCCGCCATCATGAGATTTTGTATTTGCAAATCAACCAACCAAAAACAACATCCGTTTTGTCTAATCCGCAATTATTCCGTAAATAATTATTCTCATTTTTTCTTATAAGACATATTCTGAAATCATGTTGAATAACAATGTCTCGTGAATAAGATGAGCTCATCTTGAAACAAACTCAAGAATGGGAGTCGGGCCTCAGATAAGTGACAGTTTATCTAAAGACGACTGTTCTTCATGAAGGCTCTCCTGATGACCATGCAATGTATCTTTAATTCAAAATACCTGATCAGAAGTATGATATCAATCGGTGAAGATATTTAAGATTCAAAAGTGCATGAATTGCCACAAATGTGCAAACTTCCAAAATAAAAAATGCGTTGACCATGAATGAATGAAACGAATCCCTTAAATTGAAAATTATTGATATTTTCTCGAATAGTGATCTTTAGGAGATAAACATGACAAGGAATGACATGCGCGAATAATTTATTTAAATTGAGAAAATTTGTTGTTAAAGTTGCTCTCTAGGTCTGATACTACCTTCAAGAAAACAAAACTAATCTTGAAGTTTGTATTTTAGTCTGTGCTGATGTCTTGATGCTGATAGACATATCATGCTCGATTTCAAACAAGGACAAACAACGCGTTAGAAATATATCAGCTCTAGTGGCCCATTCACTACTTACGTCAGTTTATCCTGAGGATCCGACTTCCTTTAATCTGGCAAGAATAGGGGTGCTCACATATAGTGAAAAGACACGACACGTATTGTATTTAAGTAATGTGAAAATTCTTTTTAACTTTGCAATATAATTATGTCTAAATATGCACTAATACAGTATTGAAATTGTATTCAGAAATATTTTGTTTAAATTTAGATACAGGGTGATAACTAAACAATGAGTCAAATTCATACATGTTGACATTTATTTTCAGATAATAGCAAATCAAGCGAAGAAATTGATAAAATAATACGAAACGTTGAAATTAGAAAATCTAAACAATCTCTATGTAGAACGTCGACACATCGGGCACTTAGTGATGCTAGAACGTTTTTCTTCAAATCGAAACAAAACAACAAACAAATAATCAATTTGTTCACAGATGGACTTACTTTTTTAAGACGTAACAGAAAAGCACTCTATCGAGAGCAAAGGAAACTTAGAGAAATGGGTGTGATAATTAATGTGATTCAAGTACGTCATAGGTAAGTCAATCCGTTGCAAAAGCATATGGATCATTGGCTATTTTATTTTTTCTTGAAACTGGAAGGCCTCCGAAAATGCCTTAATGAAGTCATGTATTTTCTCATTTCTGCTAACCAGTCTTATCTTTTATATTGAATATTGCTCATTTCTCAAAAGTATTTACATTCAATTGTAACTACAAAACGTAGTACTATCAATACCTCTTTAGAATTATTAAATAGGTTGGTTCTGGAATTTTCTGTCCAGATTTGTTGTTTTACATGTTTAGGCTTCAATAGATCCCCATTATATGGATAAATCCTTGTAAATAAAACGAAATAAAAAAAAATAAAGGAATGTGTATCGACATAAGTGAGTCTATTGATGAAGGAAATGGTTGTGCAGTGTTTAAGATTAAGAATTTTTAATTAACTGTTTATCATTTCATTTATCTAATATTGATAATCAATAACTTTTGTCTCTAATGTCGTATTTAATTGGCATACAATATCATCGTGTACCGCAAAAATGAATGGAATATTACTTTGATATTATAGGAAGGGGAAATACGAGGAGAATGAATACATCAATTTACCACATACACAGAATCACCTTTTTGAATCCAAGGACAAGAATATCACCTCTCAACTCATCGATCGTCTAATAGAGGACGCATCGTGTGCGAACCTAAAGGCGTGACGTAGACCGTAAGGACTCATTTCCATCCCATTTGTCATGACGTGTGTATTCTTCTCAAACAGTAACGATACCATTACTATTAAGCTTGTATCTAATGTTTAATGAATTAATTGAAGTAAATTGCTAGCATTGAAAAAAAAGTTTATGTCAAACGATTAAGAGATGAAGGTCGAACACCTAGAAACATTCTTAACTTGTGTTTTTGATTTGTTTAAGATGTCCATAGAAAATCAGTTCCTTGATATACTTTGTGTCGTCGAGGGATACAAGGGATGAACACGGGATATATATACATAGTGCAAATGCTTTATGAAGTAATAAACTATCTTATGAAACAATCTAGTAAAACGAAAAAGTCAGGACAGCAGTACTAATACTACTAATGCGGCGTTAATACAAGAGCAAGACATTTATATTGAGGCTAAAGTTCAACACAAATGTTAAATTGATTAACTTTGTTGAACTTTCATTGTATGATTGTATCATTGTATTAAATGTTGTAATACATGAACTTGAAATAAAAATGATTTAACTTATGGAGGCTCTTATCAAGAAACATGGATTGACCTGATCCGAAAGTGGACCTCTGTTCCATAAAACATGGAACAAAGAAACGAAATACAACTAAAGTACATACATCCCCCCTCCATCCAGGGTGAAAACTTGAAAAGTATGTCTGAATCGAAATTACTGGGTATACTCGTAGCTAGGTTATTTGGATGTAGAGCTTGATTACAAAGCCAATGCAAAACAAAATACTTTTACAGGATGAATAAACATTTGCTGTGCAACAATTCATTTATAGAAAAATTAATGTTTTTTAACTCAATTATGTGATAAACAAGCTTACAAAACAACAATAAATTACATGTACCTTCACCTTTGCTTGTATACAGCCTGTTTCCATCATCGTGTATTAGTTCAGTATCGATGTAGATATCAGTGATTTAAAATATTGCAGTGAATAACCGAACAATCTGGATTAATCATATGTCGTTCATTCCTACAAGACGCAGAATAGCTGAATGGTTCCAAAAACGCAAGTAAGCAATTCTTAATAGTTGATATATTAACATTTATATAGCATACACATATGATTACTTGTAAGAATAGTGGGATAAATAATGAACAAGGACGTGTACAACATATTCCCGCCGAGGGATGATCATGTTATTTTTATTCCGAATGCCTAACATTGATCAGTTGAAGAGACATGATTTTAGGACAAAATATTCAAAATGGCCGTCTTAACAATTACAAAGAATGCCCAAAAGCTATTTATTTCGAGATTGCTGTACAAAGAAAGATAACTGAAAATTTAAAATCAATCCGTCAAACGATTTGCCTGGAAACGCATGAACACGATTTTACAGACTACTTTAAGAACGAAAAATCCAAAATGGCATCCTTCACATTTACCAAGAATGCCTCAAAACTAATCAGTAAGAGATAATTGTACAAGAAATTATCACTGAAAACTTGAAATCCATCCGTCAACCGGTTTGCCTGGAAACGCATAATATACAACATTATACAGATATAAGGACGAAAATTCAAAATCGCCAACTTAACATATACCCAGAATGCCCCAAAACGAATCAGTTAAATACTATATTCGTACAAAGAATCATCAAAAATACCGGATTAAATGTCACATAAAATGTGTTAAATATAATGGCAAATATATAAAACACCTAAAATGAAGATCTGAGAAAATAAGAATGTACAAGAATGCATTAAATCTAACAAAATATGGTCACCGTGGTATTTCAAAAGTATAAAACCATTAAAAAAGAAAACATCATAATATTTCATTCTTTTTTTGACTGCTCAGGGTACTCTCAACTTAGGTTGCCAGATGGTTACTATAGAACGCAGAATATTAAATGTAACGTGATGAAATTCATTTTGTGTATGTATAATTATAAGATCAACATTCTGTGAACAAATGAGCTGGATTAATTTATGTTTACAACAATTAGAGCACGTTTGATCCTATTTAGTGATCACCCTGTATAATCATCCCTGAAAATTTGAAATCGATCTGTCAACCGGCTCGCCAGGAAACATAAAGACAAGACTTAACAGCGACGATTTTAGGATGGAAAATCAAAAATTGCACTCTTTACATCTACCCAATATGCAATAAAAATAAATCATCTCTCGATTTTTATACAAAAAATTATCCTTGAAAATTTGAAATGGATCCTTCGAATGGTTCTCTGAAAAGTATTTCATACACAGAATGATCCCTGATAATTTGAAGTCAATCCGTCATATGGTTTGCCTAGATACGCTTAGACAGACTTCACAAGATTTTAGGACAGGAAATCTAAAATGACCGCCTATACATTTACGGCCAGAATGTGCAACAAGACACAGAGTGAACAGAATCAGACCTTTGAATATAATACATTAGACAGTTTTGGTGTTGTAAAATCGAAAATGGCCTCCCTAGTATATACTCGGACTGCCAAAAAACTAAACTTTCATCCATAAAGACATTCCTAGAAATCGCAGACGAATATATGGAACGGTTTGGCTAGAAATCTGTGGACAAACCTCGACATAGAAAATCTGAGGACGGAAGATCCAAAATGGCCACACTAAGATTTACCCAGAATGCCCGAAAACATTCAGGTCTAAACTTTCATATTATGTAGAAACATCCCTGAAAATTGCAGAGTAATCCCTGAAATCGTTTGGGGTTGGTACATAATATTTTTCTAACAGTAGTTGTGAATGTTTAGGCTTAGTTTTGGCATACTCATTTCTCATTTGACTTATCTCTCCGGTACTTCTGCTAAAACATATTTGCATATATCATTTCAGTAATATTTGCTCCTTGAAGTCTATTTGCTCATAAAGATATTTCAAAAAACTGTTTTTATTGAAGTGAATGTGTAGTGCTACTCTTTGCCTATGTTTCCTTGCTCTTTTAATATTTCATCTGAGTCAATCGTGCTCTTTGAAGTTTCTTTTTGCTGGATTTTGCAATTCTCGTATTTTATCTCGAAATCATATGTATTGCTCCTATTAAAATTACTTTGTTTGTTAATGTGGTTTTTATTGCCCTCATTATGCTTGTAATGTTGTCTAAATAAACCTTTTAGACATAATTATTGTAAGTTGTAGTTTAATATTATATAGTACACTAGTACAGTATAAATATACAGATAAAGATCCCTACAAGGAAAATATGATTTACATCATGTTAATTATACATTTATTATTCCCCATGTCACCAAAGATAATCATCATATGTTCAATAATCTTTTTTTATACGGAACTTCGTCTTTTTTAGCGATGTATAACATATTCCCAATTAGTGTGTGCATTCTGTCGATGGCATATTACGTGGACGGTGGTACAGATGAAGTCGGTGGTAATAAGGAAGATACTGCAATAGTAATTAAAGCGTGTAAGTTACTTTTCGTATCCCATACTGATGTTTAATATGTACACACATGCTACCATGCAATTATTTTTAAATACTTTCAAGTTCATCGAAATAGTTCATACTTAAAACTGACTGGTGTGGTGTGTTCACTTGACTGGCGAGTCATCTGAATACCAATTACTCGTGCATACCCATTATGTCTTGCGATCGCTCATCTAGGTTCTTTAGGGCAAATTCACGATAGTCGATATACCTGTATTCAAATGCAGTCAAATTCTGTTATTCTACCAAAGACTGCTCTGTGTTCATATCAACGACATTTAATTTATGCTATTTTAATGTCAACACAACTGGCTATCATGACCATGCAATACAGTATATACTCAAAATATTGCTTATTTATTCTTAAAACATCTTAAACGATGATTCTTTAGACAAAAAATGAAAGTTTGCTAATACAAACTCAGACAACATAAAAATAATGTATCATGCTCTTCGATAATTTACAACTTGTTAATAAAGTATGCAGACGAGAAATTGTTATTTTTTCGGTGAATTTAGATTATGCTGTCCAATATTTTGTATTCTCTAAACAGTAAGATTTCACCAATACGATTTCAAATTACTATTTAAGAGAAATGAAACTAATCCAATGTAGTATTTAAATGATTGTTCAATAAATTTTCAACTATATCTAGTTTCACGTTAGATTATGGTTTTGGGATATACATGTATAGTCTACTTTTCTTATGACAGATTTACACATACAGTTTGCTTTTCTTGTTGGGTTTCTTTAAAGTTTTCAGTCACCCTTCCCTTTGGCATTTGTGCTTATATATTCTTAGTAAATTGAATGTGTTGGAGGATACAAACTATATGAACATAATAAAACGTGTTCCTTTTATGAATATGAAATATCAAGCAAATCCCTTTTTGGAGCTTTTTATCAACAATTAAAAATTATTGGATCATATAATAAATTTAGTTATGTTGTCTGACTTTGTATTAGTAAACCTTCATTTTTTGTCATAAAAAGCATCATTTAAGCTGTTTTTAAGAATTAATAATTAAAAATTTCACAATAAAATAGCTCACAATAAATTCGTTGATATTAATACACATGGCACAGGCTTTGGTAGAATAACAGATTTGACTTTATTTGAAATATCAGTAAGTTCTTATTTTTAAAGATGGGCAAATAATCTAAATAAAGTGTAATTTCTGATCCATCGTAATCAGAATTACATAACAAATAAAACCTGTCTTTAGCGTCCTAAATAGTGGGGATAGTATATAAAAACTATGCATTTTGGAATAGTTTTAATGGAAGATCACATTTCTTTGCAATTGATATATCGCAAGACTACTCACAATTTATACGACTAAAATAGTGGTTATAACCACTTGATCAATTGTTTGTTATAGTTGGAAAAAACAGGCCAAATGTGGCGCCAATAAGGCAAATCAGAGACGACAAATTCGATGCGGATCCTGCATTTCCTGGTATGTATATAAATAAATATACATTGTACATGTACATCCTTCCCCTGGTATATGGTGAGAGGTTTTGGATATTGGGGAATTCGATAAGCAATATATCGAAGACGAGTTTACGAAACATGGTCAATTTTACAAAAATACATTAACGGTCAAGTCATCCTCCGATCACAGGGCTTCAAAATCCAGAATATATTCTTTATTTTTACCCCCTGCGATAAGTAGTTAGCATTTCCCCGATCAAGAACTCGCAATCTGATTGGCTGTCGCAAGTTTGCAACACTGCGACAGAAATCATGTTTTTAAAAGTCATTGCGCATAATTAGATCACGTGATTCAGTTTAATCGGGCGCTTTTCAAATTGGTTATAGCAGGGGGAAGAAGGAGGTACAGATTCTTAATACATGCTTAGGCGGATGCGGTCAAGTTTGATGTACCCTTATCTTCCTGATTTGAAAAGGCGAAAAAGTTCAGTCTTGCGCCTATTTGAAGGCTTAAAAAACAGAATAAAATGAATATTTTTGAAAAGGTTTGAAATCAGTCGATAGAGAAGACAAACACAAAATGACGTTTCAGCTTATTTACCTTCAACTGCTCCAAACATGCCAATGATTCTTCTTTTTGCCATTTTCATGATATTTATGGTATTTTGGTCATCAGTTTAGACTCTTTTGTTGATTTTACGAAAACACCTGGTTTGTATATTAAGCACTATGGGGGGAACAGAACCCACCCTTCCTCCATTGAGATACATGTTGAATTGACAAAGTTAAAATCATAATTCCTCAATTAGGGATCACAAAATTAATTGAGTTTTCCAATAAATTAAAGCAAAACATTATAATTAGGGAGATTAGTTATTTTGTGGTTCAGAACGGATTGGCTTTAAATGATAATTAATTTCTTATCTGACAGTGGGGCTGCCCAGTGTCGGTCAATCAAAAAGACTTCGTCCGCAGGATGCTATTGTCTCTCATTGGGTTATTCTATTTTCAGATTCAATTTTCTCAGTCTAATATTCTATTTTTGGAATCATTGTCTCATTTGGATATTCTAATTTATGATTCAGTCGCTCAGATTGCTGTTAGGTACTTGCTCGTTGCATAAAGATGATAACACAAGAAAGCATATGTTGCTGATAATATTTTATTTTGCACATCATAAGTGCAACAAGACGCTATACATAATTATGCAAGTTGGGTCTAAAACAACTGACGGGTGGAGGAGGGGAATGGGTGGATTTCCAAATATAGCAATATAAACTGATAAAGTGTGAATACTAGTATAGTATTAATAATATTATTTCATAAACTTGTATTAACACAGAAAATATATTTGAAGTGTTCTTCTGCTGTGTACGTCTCTGCTTTAAGAAATAAAGAATGTGAACCACTCACATTCCCAAGCTCCGCCCACTAATTATAATAATGACTGTGATAATAGACAAGACGCTATGTTCATAAAAACACTTATTTGGAATAAGTGAATATTTATGATTCAGTCGCTCAGATTGCTGTTAGGTACTTGCTCGTTGCATAAAGATGATAACACAAGAAAGCATATGTTGCTGATAATATTTTATTTTGCACATCATAAGTGCAACAAGACGCTATACATAATTATGCAAGTTGGGTCTAAAACAACTGGGCAAAAACATGACAAGATTTTAATCTCTAGTCATGACGGCCCAACCAAGTACCAGACAGCAAAAAGAGGAACTAAAAACATGTAAAAACATGACTTAAAGTTATCATCGTGATATCAAATGTAATTACAATATACATACATCAATACTGATGTTTAATAAAGATGGCGCACAGTACAACATGTGCGTATTAGTCCAACCTGTATTACAGTCAATTTAGCTGTGGAGGTTGAAAAGATGTCGTACCGAACAGTTTGTGCATGTGCAAAAGATGAGTCAATAATGTATAAGATGAGTCAAACAACTGCCAGTTTGGGAATTAAAACACATAATTTATTTAATACGTATATGAGCCCTGGGCTGATGGTTATGATAGATTATATTTGTTATAACGTCATACTTATTTTTCTAAACTAGAACATCATATATATACATCGATCGGCACATGGACGACCAGCAAGAAAACGCAAGGTTTTATCTCACACGTTCCATCTGTTCGGGGAGCATAATAAATCAAACAGGAAAACAAACGTTTAATCCTCGTTCACTGGAGAGGGAGAAAAGTATATTGCAGGAAAACGCAAAGCTTTATCCTGGATCATGTATTTACATTAAAACATTATTAATGGTATCATAAATTTTACATATTGGTTGAATTAAGTGATTTAATTCTAATATATTTTTTCATTGCCGATTTTGATTTCCAGCGCCCAAAGGATGCAATGTCTTCTTCTGAAACATTCCGACTTCGTAATTCAGTTGCTTTTCCTATGCGGAAAGAATGTGATGTATATTTTGTACTGTCTAAGCCTATGGCCTCGACTGTTAGTTTGAGTGCAGCGCTAAATTGATGACTTGTCACCGCTGAACCGCATTCGTCTAAAAATAGTTGTTGTTTTGAAAGAATTTTATCTTCAGATTGACTCGTAAATCCAACAGATGGGCGTACTTTTAAATACTTTCGCAAAGCTCTCGAGGGACATAACAGTTTGTCAATTTGTTTGTCAATTTTCAACTCGCTTGTTTGGTTTAATCGGCTGTGTTTGAAATGACGGAGTTTGATTACCAGACAAGATTCATTAATGCAAACATCGTCCAATTTTAGCGCATGATCACTTGATTTTGTCACAGAAACTTCAGATACCCGTAACATTGCTGAAAACATTAAACAATACATGGCTTTATAAAGTTTTGCATGAGTGTCAGAAAATAAAACTGGAAGCACTTCTACGAGGTTTCGTAATATGTCTGCAGTTATTGGCAATCTTTCATCGTGCGAAAGTGTAGCTTTTGTTGCTCCTCCTAGCAATTTTCGGATAAAGAATGTGTCCGCTGGATCAGGTTGTGATGCTATCTTATGAAAGAAAGATAGTCCAGACACGAACGATGTAATCGAAGTACCCTTGTAATTGTTGATTGACATATGAGCTATGAAGGACGCTAGATTTCCCGAAGCAATAGGAAATATATCCCCTTTTAGTTTTTGTATTTTATGAAACTCTGCATATTTAATCACAGCCCGTAAATAACTTCTTCTTGTTGAATCAGATATCGAATTTAAGACAAGTTCATTTATTTTTCCCTGCAATTTTAGAGCACTATTGGCAGACCCTTGATTTCCACTGGCTCTTTTTCCAACCAAGGGGCTATCTTCCCCACCTGAAATTTACGTGAGATAGCATCAGCGATTACATTTCTTTTAGTTGAGATATACTTGGCTTTGACCAAAACATTGTTTTCTAAACAAACAAGTGTCAATTGTCTAAGTATTGACATGGTTCGTGTGTTTTTAGAAGACATCGAGTTGATTGAACAAACAATTGCCATGTTGTCGCACATAAGGTACACTTTGTGATCACGTAAAAGTGGGCTAAAAGTAGCGATGGCCAAATAAATTGGGAATAGTTCTTTCGTTGAAATGTCCCATTGACGATTATCCTCAGACCAAGGGATGAAAAACCATTTTTTTCCATATACCGCACTAGCACCTATATTTCCACTTGCATCTGTTTCTAGCCTGAGAGTATCTGAATCAACCCATTCTTTGTTCAAGAAAAATGAAACCCCATGATAGTTTGATAAGAACGAGTAATACATTTTGAGGTCAGCCCTTGCTGAAGATGACAGCTCTATGCGAACTGACTTTTTATGATTGTGTTTACTGTTTGCCTCAGATAACAGATCCCAGAGTCTTCTCATTGCCACGCGACCTGGACGACATGCACGATTGCAAAAGGATAGAAGCCCACACATTGATTCTAATTCCCCTAAAGCGATATACCGACACCGCATGTATTTTTTCAGTAAACATTCCACCTGCTGAAGTTTATCAACTGGTAAACGAACTTGCTGATTTATTGTGTCCAGTTCTAAACCAAAAACCACCATTACTTCAGCTGGGCCTTGCGTTTTAGAATGCTTGATGGGAATGTTAAGTTTTTCCGTCATTTTCAAAAATGTGTTCATATTATTTTGACATTCGTCACTGTCCGGATGGCCGCAAAAAATGAAGTCATCCAATAAATGCCTGACATATGTTACGCCAAAATTTTCACTCGCTATATATTCAATTGCGTGACTAACCTCCTCGAAAATTGAACAGCTGGACGATGCACCCATGGCTAATGTTTTGTCAAAATAAAACTTGTTTTTCCAGGAGATACCTAATAGCGCCCAGTCTTCTCTGCGAATGGGAACAATTTTAAAGGCATTTTGAACGTCACATTTTCCTAGCAATGCACCCCTACCACAAAGTTGAATCATTTCAATTATGTCATCTATTGTTTGATAATGGACGGATGAATCTGTTTTACTTATACCGTCATTGATAGAATCTCCACGCGGGAAGCTAAGGTCATGAATAACACGATATTCGTCTTTCTCTTTCTTAGGTATTAGGCCAATAGGGCTAATCCTACATCCAGTAACATTTGGTGGTAATGCATTGAAGGGACCAGCTAACCTATCCTGAGATAATTCCTTCTGAATATATTGATCAACAAAATGAGGCATTTGCAAAGCCGAGTGATGATTTCTAGTGATAATAATGTTTTGATTTCTTTCACCCTTAAATCGTAAATCAAACCCATTTTTAAATCCATTGACGAGGTAATTATATTTCTCTACGTTATAGCCATAAAGGAGGGCCTGTAACACACTTGCGTTAATAGGAGTAGAAACTGTAACGGTGTCAGGAAATAAACTTTCCAAGATAACAGATCTATTCTGATTTTTTGACACTGCGTGTTTTTTGTTCATTGTTTGACCCGGAGACGTTGTTGCATGGTTTTGAAGGGTGGTGGTCTTTGCCGCATTTTTCGCAATTGTGTGACCAAGAGCAATTTCGTTTGAAACATTTCCC